TGCACAGAGAGCCAATACCTGCTGGGTATATTGATAATGCAGCCCTGTAGATGTTGAAGTCCCACAATGAACTTCTTTTGTCCACCAGGATAGCCAGGCCCTTTTCTGCTGGGCTACTCCCAAGCCAATTGGTGCTCAGCCTGTAGTGTTGTATGAGGTTAGTCTGTCTCACATTCAGGACTTTGCACTTGTCTCTGTTGACCATCACGATGTTCACACTGGCCCATTCCTGCAGCTTGCCAAGGCTACTCTAAATGGCAGCTGTGGCCTCCAGTATGTCAACTGATCTCTCCAGTCTGGCATGGAGATCAGCTGAAAACTTGCTGAGAGTGCATTCTGTCCCACCCGCTGAGTCACAGATGAACATATCAAACAGGACTTGCTCCAGTATTGATCCCTGATCCCTCCTGACTGGGCATCAGTCAAACTTCAAACCAGTGAGGTGCTAACCCTCAGACCTGATGGTACAGCCAGTTTTTCACTCACTTAGTCTGCCCACCCCATCCACATCCCCCATTTATAAGGTTACTGAGGAAGACCCTATCAAAATCCCTAATAAAATAAAGCTTAAATGGCATACTCTGCTTTCCCCTTGCTCACTAAGACTGAAGTCAGCAACATTAGGTCAGACATAACTGAACTTAGAGGCGTAACATTTGCCTTTTTTCAGTCATTGGGCAGTCTTCTATACACCACAGCTTTTCAGATGTCATAGAGACTGAGCACACAATAACACTGGCAAGCTCCCTCAACGCTCAAATGCATGCCATCTGGTCCAGAGGACTTGTATATGCTCAGTTTGATTCAGTGGAATTTAACTTGATCCTACTCTACTGTGGGCAGTCCCCCACTCCTCCCAAACTCTGCTACCAGCCAAAGACGCTTGGAAGATGTGGAAGGTTTTTTTTTTTTTTTTTTCCCAGTAAAGGCCAAGCTGAAGAAGGCCTTGAGTATCTCAGCCTTTTCCTTGACCTTGATCACCAGGTCAATCACCCAGTTCTGCAGGAGGCCCACATTTTCCCTTGTCTTCCTTTTGCTGCTGATGTACCTGTAGAAACCCTTTTTGTTGGCCTTCGCATTCTCTTTCAATTGCAATTCCAGCCAAGCTCTGGTGTTCCACATTCCACTCCCTTACTAAAATACCGACCATCCTCTGCATGAAGTGATGGAACTGCAGCCCACTGTAATTTGCTTACAAATCCTCTATCTGTGAATGCTTTCTAGAAATGCTGTTTAAGGAAGGTGGTTGTTTTTCATCTGTATCTCATCTTCTGAAAGTTGCATGCATATGCAGATGCCTGTTCAAGCGTTTATTTAGCTGGTACTGCGGAAAATGCCATTGTTCTAAATTACTCTTTCTTCCTTTGTTTTTTGTTGTTAGTTGATTTGTTTCCAGTAACCTCAAATTTGGTGCAGAAGAAAAGGAAAAGTACACACATATACACCTGATAGGAGGGAATCAAATGATTCATTACCTTCAGCATGCAGCTTTGACTGCTAATCCATCTCTCCAGGATTTTCTCTAATATTTTGTAATATTTCAGCTCTGCCGAAGCAGCCTCACATGGTTATCATCAAAAACCCCAGCCCCTTAATGGAACAGTTCCTTCCTATTATTCAGATCTGGACTTCCTGTCCCATCCTCCTCTAAGGCAAAATGGAAAAAAAAAAAAATGGGGGGAGGGAGAAAAAATAGCCAAAGCTTTATTAGTTCTAGTCAGCTCATAAATGATAAATTCAAGGGTATTTTTTTTCTTTTTTAACTTTCTAGACATAGAAAAAGGAAATGTTTCTTGCTTTTCAAGCATTTGTATTTAGTATAGAATGTCTCAAGACAGTTTTCTTATACATAAAGATACCACTTGTTCAACATATTTTACACATGGTCATTTCATTGACTGTTTTTGATATGGAGTGATTGGTCTCTTTAGTTTTCTAAACTTTCACAATAACTAAGATGTGTTTCTGCAACATTATTAAAGATATGGGTCTATACAATAGGAAGTTATTTGAATTACAATATAGACAGAATTGTACACATTCTGCATAGTTATGTGTTACCTCTCTACTTCAGTAACATGATGATATTACAACAACTGTATTTAAGGTTGCCAAAATTTGTTTTTAAAATTCATCTTCTGGGTGTTTATAAGTTTGTCAATTTTTATTGCTGAACTGTTGCATTTATTCTCTACTTTTGAGAAACTTTGAAGATGTCTGAATATGAGTAATACATACTTCTGTTATTACAGTAAAGTCCTCTGTCACAAGTGAGATGTGTATTTACCAGTTGATTTGTCTAGTTGCTCAAAAAGCTGCACGCTTATTTGGATCGTCATTAAATCTGCTCTCTCTCATAAGGGTGTGGAATAAAATTAGGATCCAAATCAGGGCTCAGCTGATGCAAGACTGCCAAGGCATGGTGCCACTGCCCCTTTCCCGATTCTCTTTTTCCTTGCTGCAGCACAGGAAGGTCTGCTAGCCACAGGGCTGTCTCTCAAGACCCCCTCCTGGTGACTAGGAAGAGCCTAGGTGAAGGAAAAACCTTCCCTAGGACTAGGAGAGCCATAGGTGACAAAGGAGGAAAGGAGCAGGAATTGTCCCAGGAACTTTCCACATGTGGGCTAGAATCTGGCTGAGGCATGCTCTTCATACCTGGGACTCTGAATTATTCCCCTTCTACATCTTCATGTCAGCTGGGATCCTGAGAGACTTTCAAATGTCTCATCCCAGCTACCCCTGGCACAGGAGCCAGGGCCTGCACCATCCCTGCAGCACCATGCTGCTTCTTCCTCTAGCTCTTTGTGTTTCTGCTGCAATACCTCCTCCCCTCAAGGAAGGAGAGGGGGAGGGCAAGAACCTTCACTGCAATTAATGCAGCAGTATGTACCTTTTAGAGGTTACATTTTAGGGGTTTTTCAGCTCCAAACACTGCTTTTACTCCCCGAGAACATTTAATTGCAATGAATGGGGGAAACTGCAACCCTGTGAGACCCTTTTCTACCACAGATGGGTACATAGAGCCACTTGTCTATATAATCATCCAGCTACAGGAAAGGGATTCTGCATTTCTTTCATCACAGATAGACTCTTCACAGAGTCATCAAGACAGGAGCTGGCACGTGGGAGCAGCAGGCTACATGCAGTTAACAAAAGGGAGTGACTGACTTGGAATGCCAGGCTATCCAGGTGCTGGGAGAGCAGCACGGCAGGGCAAGCAGCTGGAGGGACAGTGGCACAAACTGCTACGGCAGGAAGGGGTTTTGACCCCCACCCTGGACACTGAGGCACAGGACAGGAAATAATAATGGGCAACTTTACCTTCCTGAAAACCCAGTCTTTCCCTTTAGAGCTCACTTTCAGGTGACTTCATGGGGTCTACACTGCTCTCTGTACTGTGCCCGTCTTTGAATTACAGATTCAGTGATGGCACCTGGGGAGGGGCAAGACTGAGGAACAAGAACCCAAGAACGCTGAAAAGACGGAGCGATCAAGATGAGAGGAGATACAGCAGTGGTGAAGCGGCTAAAACACAAGCACAGTGTTCTCCAGCAATGGCTGGTGAGCTAAGGAACACAAAATCAACACACTCCTCTCTCTGGAAGACTAAGGTTGAATTTAATCCCACAGCCACACCCGGGCAGTGCTCAGTGTCGAAGCTCTTTCCAACTTTTCCCTCTGGTGTAAGAGCGCTTTGGCTGTAAACAATGAGACACCTCCTGAGGCCTCTTAACAGGGGCAAGGTATGGTATCTACTTCAGTTTAGACAGGCCTCCACACAGTCTCATCTCCTTCTCTGGTTTCTTTCCTTACACAGAGAAAGACTCTTTCAAAGACTCTTCAAAGTCTCTTCAAAGACTTCTCAACTGGTCTTGGGCCCACGGTTCCCCTCAGTCAGACTTCAAAGTTCCACTTGAAAGAAAGCTCTATTGCCCAAACTTACAATTTTAATCTAAGTCAGTTAACATTTAGTGCTCCTAAAACCCCTGCTTCTGAAGGAGAAAATGATTAGACATTAATCTCAGTTTTTACTGAGAAAAAAAAAAATTTGTTACTTCCCTTTGCGTTTTGGAAAAAAGCTTGAGAATAACAAAGATGAAAATTCTAGGCTCTAAACCAAATAACACACAACATTATTATTTCAAGATACCATTTTTAAAGACCAACATTTCACTCATCTCATGACTTTTGCCCAGAGACTTGGCTGAGGATTTGAGTTTCCCCTCCATCGCACAGGAGTGGACAGGAGGGAGACACCTCGAGGCAGGGACTGGGACCCCCAAAACGCCCAGTGCCTTCCGCCAGCCTGTCCTTGTGACAAACGTGCCCCAACTCTCGACATCCCTGGAAGGTGTCCGGCAAAAACACCGTTTTCCTCCTGCTTCCGTGCCAACACGTGCAGCAACTACAAAAGACAAGACTGGCAGGGGGTCCGAACCCTTCCAGTAGCCAACTTGGGCAATGACAAGATGTGACTTCGTTAAGTATTTAAAAAAATAAAATAAAAGCCAGATCGCTTCAGGAAATTACCGTAACCCTCCTCCGCCCGGTCACCTCCGCCACACTGAAGGGACGGCCAGTCCCACCGCGCCATGCCGAGGCGGTGGGTGCCCACCACATGCCGCGGCCCACGTCTTTGCACCTCCGCGCCACGGAGCTCCCGCCCGAGGACCCACGGACGTGGGGCACAAGGCGGGACCCACCCGCGGGACCCCCACCCCCACTAACCCCCTCTCTCCCCGCCCCGGGCGGGACGCCCGCGGCCCCACAGGCCCGCCGGTGGAGCCGTGCCCCTGAGGCCGGGCGGCGGCGACCCCGGGAAGGCCCCGGCGGCGACCCCGGGCCCTGGCGCGCCGCCGCCCCCCGGCACCTATAGCGCCCATACCCCACCCCCAGCCCCGGGCGGCGGAAGTGTGTGTAGGGGGCAGTATAGGAATTTCCTGTGACGTCCCGGCCCGGACTCCATTAGGCTGCAGCTGGGCTGAGAGGAGACAAACCCAGCGGGCAGCGAGCGGAGCGGGCCGGGCGCCTGGGGCTGCCGGGCGGGGGCTCAGGGCAGCGGCGGCCGCCATCGCCAGAGGGAGCCCCGAGCGGGCGGCGGCGCTGCCTCCGGGACCCCCGGGGGGCACAGAGCCCCGCTCCGCCTCCCCTCACCCCCGCCGCCCCCCCCCCCCTCCCCCCCTTCCTCGCCCCCCCGGCTTCCCACCACGGCCGCTCTCGGCGAGGAAACTCTGGCCTCCGCTTCCTCCTCCTCCGACTCGGACACCGGCGGAGCCTCCCCGCCCCCGCGGAAGAAAGCCCGGGCCTCCCCGGCGGCGGCGGTGGAGGGAGCAGGAGAGCCCGGGGCTTCCGCGGGCAGAGCAGGCCTCACCTCGTCCCAGTCCCCCTCGCTCCCCGCCGGGCTCGCCCCCGCCGCCGCCCCGCTCAGAGGCAGCAGCAGCGGCAGCAGCAGCGGCGGCGTCGGCAGCGCCATGCAGGCCAACGGGGCGGGAGGGGGCCAGCAGCAGCAGCAGCAGCAGCCGCCGCAGGGGCCGGCGGGCCCGGAGCTGGGCTGCCTGGGCGCCCAGAACGGCGAGGCCTCGGCGGGCACGGCCGCCGGCGACCAGCTGGCCCACGCCAACGGGTTGCTGCCCTCGGCCAACAGCGGCGGCGGCAGCCCCGGCGGCCTCAGCGTCAATAACGGGGTGCCCGCCGCTGGGGGCCCCGGCCCGGCCGCCGCGGAGCTGGGGGGCGGCGGCGGCGGCAGCGCCCTGAAGAAGAAGAAGCGGCTCTCGCAGTCCGACGAGGACGTGATCCGGCTGATCGGGCAGCACCTCCACGGCCTGGGCCTCAAGTAAGTGGCCGCGGAGGCCCTGGAGGCCGCGGTGGGCGAGGGGGGAACGCAGCCGGGGGTGGGGGGTGGGGGCTTCTTCCTTTCCTCCCCGGGGGCGACCGGAGGGGCCTCCGTGGGACCGGGGGAGGCCCCGCACCCACGCCCCGCCGCCCTCCTCTACGCCCGCGGGGAGGGGACGGCAGGGTCCGGCGTGGGGCCGCGGGAGGCCGGTCCCCGCGGAGGGGGAGGGCAGCCCGATGCGGGGAGCTGGGGCGGAGGGGGGGTGGCGTGTGGGGGGGTGTTGGTGGCAAAAACTACCCTGTCGCAGCCTGGTAGTCCCTGGCGAGGAGCGACTGGTGCCCGGGTGCGAGGAAGAGCAGTGGGGCAGGCCCGCTCGCAAAAAAAAAAAAAAAAATGGAGCCGGAGATAATGTTTTCCAAGCCTGTGCTGGTCAGCTCGGTGTTTCTGCGAAGGGACAGGCCGGGAGCTTCCTCTGCCAGGGATGGCAATATGGAAGTCGAGTTGCACACCGATAAGGGTAGATCAATACAAATGTGTTAGTGGGGGAGAAGTTATCTGGTAAACATAATGGAGCCCGCAGCTGGGCGTGGGGGGGCGGCTTTTTGCAGATGAGCTCCAAGATTCGGCTTGTCAGCTGGGAGGAAGCGAGCACAAACTGAACTGCCACTTAAATAGGCTGTTTGGTTTCACTCTGAAAGCCTTAGTCCCTGTAAATGGTGAAGGCCTCTGCAGATTTCTGCTGGACACATGATTTTGATAATAATTCTATCTGTGGACTAGGAGCGAGTATGTTGGCTCTCTCTTAAAATCAGAATAGGGAGAATAATTTGCCAGTGGAGTAGGAGAAGTCTCAGAATTTAAGCACAACACTCACTTTGTGAGTAAAGCTAAAGCCAACATGTCATAATTTTGGAAGGAGGCTAGAGAAGTCCTGTAGAGTCTTCATGTAGCAACCACAAGAGAAGTCTTCAAAACACTGTGGAATGGGTCAGTTAGAAAGAACTTAGCACATAAAATAAATTGCCTCTGACACAAGAGGCAAGTTTACAGCAGCAGGCAACTCGTGACTGTTCATAGACGACACCACAGTAAATAAGCTATTTTTAGTGTAAAAGGGGGAGGGCTACAGGTTCATGAGTTTGTTTATTTTATTTTAAGGAGCCAGACTTTCAATACACGATGAAGAAGTAGTAGTTAGGCCTGTTGCAGATGTAGTAGCTCTCTGTGTTCTTTGGGGGGTGGCAGGGGAGGGAGCAGGGGATAGTAGGCAGCAGCTAACAGCTTTCTAGTCTGTATCTTCCTTCATGAAGTTTATCTTCTGTGCAGGGATTGCTGTTTGTGGTGGCTGGTAAGTCACGTACTTTATGGTACTTCAGCAAAGCTTTCAAGCTCGTTGACAACTTGCTTTAGACATAGGTAGCTGTTTACATGTCTCAGGTAACTGAGATGAGTCTTTTTGGACAAGCATCTGAATCTGGTCATAGTATTCTTACTTTAATAAAGTTACTTTTAAATATGGTTAATTGTTATCATAGCAGGCGGTATATTTGTGAGGGTAAAACTGGTCGGGTTTTTTTACACTGTATCTCTCCTGCAGCCAGACTGTTGATCTTCTCATGCAAGAGTCAGGATGTCGTTTAGAACATCCTTCTGCTACAAAATTCCGCAATCATGTCATGGAAGGAGAATGGGATAAGGTAACGTAGGGCTTATAGGACTGTATTAACCACTGTTTATAGTATCTGTGAGAGAATTCAAAATCCACTGTCCTTATATACTTTTGTGTTGTTTTTTTTTTTTGTTTTTTTTTTTTCTTTCTTTCTTTCTTTCTTATGCTGATTTCTGCAGGCTGAGAACGACCTGAATGAACTTAAGGCCTTAGTGCATTCTCCGCATGCAATTGTGGTAAGAGGCACACTTGAACTCTTTCAGAGCTGTATAGTTGGACTAATTGTAGTGGTGTAATCTTTCGCTATGGTTGGTTGTCCACAGTTGTTTTCTTTTTTTGTTTACTTTAAGCAGCTTGCATGCTATCTCAAACATCATACTAATCTGAACGGTTTTTTTTTCTTTTTTTTAATGTGAGATAGGAAGCCCAAAAGTACTGAGGCTAATATTTGATGTACTGAATATTTAAACTTTGTTAAACATACTTAACTGATAAAATATCCTGTAACAGTCCTAAAATAGGTCAGTTTCTGTAGAAACTGCCTATGTTGAATACTAATTTCAAACTTGAAATACTTCTCCCAACCTCTGTGTTCATGGGAGTCAGGTTTTCTTGAAGGAAGAGAAGTTTAGAAATAAAATGCACTGATACTGATGTGGAGTTGGCATTGTAATAGCACATTACAAGAATATAGAGACTGCTATAGACCATGAACAATACTGTTGCTTTTCCAGATGGCTTCTAAAGAGCAAATGCATTTGTATTGCTGTTTGGGATTTTATTTAGAGATTTTTCTCTTTGGCTGGCTGTTTTTTTTTTTAAAGGTGAACCTAGAAATAAAAGGTTGCTAGATCCTGTGATTTGACAATTACAATATGTGTTGTTATGATTTCAGTGACTTTGAGGAAAGTGTTCCTTGGTTTGATTTTTCTATCTCGAGATGAAAATCATTACTTAGCTCTTCAAAAGTCTTGTTCTGTTGTGTTTAAACGTTTATTTTAACAAAATGAAGTTATAGCTACTACAGTCACTTAGGAAGAAAACAGTAGCAATGTTTTTTGAAGTGTCTGTGACTGTAAACAATGAAGAATCAGCTGATGGCTGCTTAGCTCCACTTCTAGCTGATTCATTTGTTGTCAAGACAATTTCCTGTCTGGTGGGGGAGGGAGAGAAAGAGAGAACAGGAAGTGAAGTAGGGAAAACAAATGTTTTAACAAAACATCAGATTACTTCAGAGAAATATACATTCTGTTCTATTAATTTGGTCAAAGTTTGGCACCTCTTAATTACACTAGTAGTTCACTTTCTCTTTTCTCAAAGACTCAACACAAGATTTACCGTTCAAATACTTTAGAATATTGCATGAAGCGTTCAATAGTTTGGGGAGACTGAAAGTATGAAACCACTGTATGTGAATATGAATGGTCATTTGAAGCAAATTTTCTCGTGTTTCTAACTTCTGAAGTTACCAACTTTCTCTGTAGTATTGAAGTGTGTTACGTGTCTGGGAGTCAAGAGGTTTAACTGAGTATTAGCATTGTACTTTTTGGAGAACTTAATTTGAGGAAAAAGGGGATGTTTTCCTTCTGCTGTTTTGGAGGGCTCTGAAAGCATGCACTCTTTAATGCTGCTGTCTAACTGCTTGAATAAAACTTGGTGCAATAGAAATACTTGGTTGAGACAGAACTTTACCTGAACCAAATATTAACTATTTTCTTTTTAAAGTTGTTCTTCTTTACGTAAACTTCTTAATTTAGAACAGGCACCAGCATTAAATGTCTTACGTGTGTGTGTTAGTAAGACAATACTGATTTGCAAGGATAAGTTGAGCTCCTGCATGCTCCATCGACTGCACACTGTCTCCACCTCCTTCCCCATCAGGCTTTTTTTGTACATGGTTGAGATTATGGGTGGGTGTTAGTATAGTCAGCACTTGGAAAACTAGTGAAAGATCATTACAGGTGAGAAGGGATGCTTTATGCTGTGTAGATCATCCCAGCTGCAGCAAAGTCAGAGCTGATGAAGATGATAAATGTCTTGATTAGGGAAAGTCCAAACAAGATGCTGCTGCAGGTAACTCTTTAAAAACAAAAAATTAGATTTTTGGGTTTCCTGAATCCTGACTTGTGACTCGTACTGAATGACTAGATGTTTCAAAAATATGTGCATACAAGAAGAATGGGTACCTGAAAGTTTAGATGACACAGAGTATTTAACAAAGTAGGGTGTGTGTGTGTGTGTGTTTGGTTTGGTTTTGGTTTGTGGTTTGTTTGTTTTTTTCTTCCTTATAGTTAATATGACCCGGACAAAATAACCAGGATACATAGCTGCTTTTGAAATGTCTGGTCAGTGAAGGGGATACATAGGTATTTGAAAATTCTATGCTTGTTTTAATTTATTTCTGCAAAATGTAGCTAACCTCAATCTGTAAACCTTTGATGCTGTGTGTTGGTATGTTGGGGGAGATAATGAGGAGAGTCTGCTGTTTTTGTGTCGGTACAACTGAGTGCTATATAGTGTGCAATTAGTCATGTTTACTTTTCCAGCATGTAAGATACAGCTGTTTTGAGACAATCTGTAGGAAAACTTCATAGCTGATTCAAGCATGTTATTCTGTCTTGAGTAACACTTAGAAAATATCAGCTTCAAGCCACCCTGAGGTTTTGCTTGCTTTAGGGCTACTCAGGCATGTTGTGGCATCTCTCTTGGGTAACTAGTTGAACCTAGGAAGATACCTAGAGATTATTCCTCTATAGTCATGTGGAATATATTTTCAAATCGTCCTCTTTTTATTTTCATTTACTTACATGGGGCTTTCCCCCAGTTCTGGAGATACACAGCCCACAGCAGGCAGTAGAAGAAAAAAAAAAAGCAATTTATGTCTTGTTGTTTGAGCAAAGTGCTCCACCTGCCTGTATGGTGTCTCTCTTGCTACCAGCATTAAGGGCAGTTCCCTACTGGAATGAATTACTCTTTAAGTGACAGGATTTGGTATGGTTGAAACCTTGTTAAATTCTGTAGGCTGGAATATTTTCTGTCCTTTACATATTGAATCTTATATTTATGTTTTGGATGATTTTTAAGTGATTTTATCAAAGTAATAAAGACTACAAAGTAATGAAAACTGGAGTCTTAGTTCTGCAAGCTATAGACAGATAGCTACTGTGTTGAGTTTGTCTTGAAACATCAGCTGATAATTTCAGCATGTCTTTTAGTTACCCTCTTAATTTCAAAGAATAGTTGTTTCAGTAGTGTTTACTTATTTATTTTGAACTCTTAGTATAGTAATAAAACTGTTGTGGAGCTTGTTAAGATATGCATGTCAAAAATAACACCATAAATCTAATCCTAAAATTAGGTTGTTATACGTTTTATTCTTCAAACTTCTGCAGATTTGCTACTGTAACCAGTGATCAAAATGGCCTAATTTCTTGACTGTGATGAGGTAGTGGTAACTGAACAAAACCAGCCAGACTACAGTGCTGAGACTGTTGTGTTGGACTCTTTCATGGGTCCTAGAGAATGGAGAATCTTTGCTGTAAGCTCAGTGATAATGGTGTGTGGATTTAAATTGTTCAACAGTAAAGAGTATAATGATGTTGAGTTTACATTGCAAGCACTGAGATGATAACAACAAATCCTAGACACTCCTATTTGTCGTACATGGTATGATTTAGATTCTGATAATTTTTATATCCTTTATTTGGAAGGTGGCTGAAGAATATGGAGAATGAGTAAGCTGTTCTTGTGGGTGCCTTGCATAAGATTAGTTTTATACTTGTTCTACTTAGTGGGGTTCATGCTTTTACTTTACAGTTGCCAATATTATAAACAGTTCTCTTTCCTCCTAGAACAGGTTGTTTGGGCTCTAGAAAAGATGATGTACTCAAAATAGTCTTGTCTACCATGATAGTGGTATTGGAAGTAATTAGTGGTACTATTAGTAGGGCATATAAGTAGCCGAGAGAAAACAAAGACAAAATTCAGTTGTTAAAGAAAATCTATTTGTCAGCAAAGTCATTAGTTGCACAGAAATAAGTAGTAGGAGGCTGTGAGTGTCCTGATGTAAAACAATTACTTGAAATATGATGTCATTGGAGTGTGACTTTTGCCTTAAGGAGTCTGTATTCGTGCCATTGTTTGAGTATGCTGTAGGGCAAGTTTTGGAGCAGTTATCAAAATAGCTTAGAAAATCAATTTAATTTCCCTATCAACACTTTAGTCCTTGCCTTTTGCTATAGATAAGTTACAATTTAAAACTGCTTATCTTTTATTCTTATTCTCCATTATGTTAACAGTAGACTCTTTCATGAACTGTACAGTACTGTGGCATATTAGGAATATAAAAGCCTCCAGAACAAAGTCACACATGGCACCGATTACTTTTTTTGAAGTTATACTTTCTAACCCACAACTGAAGTTACACTTCTTTGGATAACTTGGTGACAGCATTCTGCATGGTAGTGTTCCTGTAATGCTTCCATAGAATTGTGACTGGTGTTACAAAAGCTGTTTTTTAGGGTTTTCTGTTTTTTGCTTTTTTCCCTAAATTTAATTAACATGCCAAGTCCTGAAAGTAGGGAGGGAGAAAGAGTAATTGGATACAGATATGGTTATTACATTTAAGGGAAGGATTATATAAATTTAATAACTATTACATGCAGTGAGTGGAGAAGGACGAGTTGGAGGGATTGTAGTTTTTATTACAAACGGGAAATGTCAGACTATTTTTTATCTGGTGCTGCTCATCAGTGTGAGGTGACCAAGAAGAGTGAAATATGGTATGTGACTGCTACCTGAGCACCTCCATGCATCCTTGTGAGCATGTGCATAGCTGGGAGAGGAAGCTCTTATCCCTCCTGCTGCTAGTATATAAACAAACAGCGTGAGGTCTGCTGGCCTACTGCATGGAACCAACCACTGAGGTTGTAAATAATTGGGATATCTTTCTTTTGGTTTTCTACATGTCAGCATGCCAAAAAATGTCTCATCTGGAAAAACTGTACAGTGATGCTCTAACAATTCCAAATTCAAATAAACTAAAGAGCTGGACAGGAAATGTAATACGGGTTTGCCTGTCACATGCAGGACAATAGAGTACTAAAGACCTGTTTGAATGTAAGTCATCTTTACTATGTAACGTTTTATGCTTCACAAAGTTGTGTGTTAAATAATAGCACTGGATATGGAAACCATTCTTTCGAAGAACTGAATATCTCTGGAAACTAAAACTGCTTTATGTTTTAACTTTGGATTTTACATATAGTAAGCCATAAACTTTTATGTAAGCTTTACTAGGATGGGAGCGTCTTAAACTTCCCAATTATCCCTCTACTTAAGGAGGCTAGCAATGTGTTTGAAACTAAGTAAACATTGACCAAATATGAGCATGTTAATAGTGAAGTGCACAAGGTCTGACAGAGCAGAGGAAACTGGTGATTGAGCTGGTGGTGTATTTGTTAGAAAAGCAAATGTAATTTGCTACACCTAATTTTCATTCTGTTTCTCACTGATATGCCTAAGAATGTACGTTTTCTTCTAACCTGCTGACTCGTGAACCAGATATGTCTTTTCTCTCCATTAACTGATAGTAGTAAAGATGATGTGCAAATGCGGAATAGTTGGTTTCATCCAGAAACAAACAGTGTTTCTACTAAGTTGGTGTTAGAAATTTCTAGGACTTCAAGTTTTTTGACATAGTAAATGAATGCCTGGTTTTCTTTTTTTATCCACAGACATTTGTTGTTAGAGTAGCAGGCTTGATTATTTTTTTTAAAAGAAAACAACCAAGAACTGTTCAAGATTAAAGGAACACTATGAAATAGCTGTAATTAATTCTGAGAAGTGATTCCTAAATATAGGAATTTTTTTTCTGTAATCTTGAAAAATGATGCAACACCCAAGGAAGACAATTTAACATGGAACTACAAACCAAATCCTCAGGCAGTGTGAATTTGTTATTGCTACATGTTATGCAGCTATGCAAACAATCCATGTCAGCTCCTATGTAAGCAGTATGAGAATTTGCTGGCCTATTGTGTTCAGTGCTGTCATGCAGTCTTAAATATGTTATTAGCTGCTTTTGGGCGCTGTCTTGCTAGAATGTAAGACTGGAAAGCCTGTCTAATTCAGGGTTTGAAGAATGGTGACTGAAAGGGGAGTGAATATGAAAATGAGGCAAATTGAAGGGGGGATCTGAGAAATAAGGTAGAAAGGTACTTGGAGCCCCATAAGTCAGGCAAGAAATTAATGGATAACTTAATTGCTGCAATGTTGTTGAAAACCCAGCAGACAGAAATTGAGTAATGAAACGTTACATGTAGCTGTATTTCTGAAGGGCATAGTAGAATGGTTTCTACTGTTCTGTTTAGGCTCAAACGTTTTCTGAAACTTCAGTCAACCTTTTTCCCCTGACTGCTGCTTTCTGTCATGTCAGAGGATGAAGTTTTTGCTGCTGCAGCAGAAGTACCTGGAATACCTGGAGGATGGCAAGGTCCTGGAGGCACTTCAAGTTCTACGCTGTGAACTGACGCCTCTGAAATATAATACAGAACGCATTCATGTCCTCAGTGGGTAAGTGTTTGGACTTAGCTCTTTCGGTGATACTTTCTAAGGAATTCTATAGCTTTTGATAGCTTACATTGTAAAAACTTAAACTATATTAAAGCTATTATCCTGTTGATTAATAAGTTATAGTGAGATATGCTAAAATGGTGAGTAAAGTCAACTATTCAGTAGATAGTGTTCTGTTTCAGATGCTTGAAAACAACCTGATTATGATTTACTTTTGTAGTACTAGAACCCAAATTAATGCATATGTATGGTCATCTGATCTAGAGAATTATTAGCCTGTTATAATTGAATAAGTAGGTGAATATAGTCTGGTTTATTCTTAGATGAAAATAAGACATTTCTACCTTTGCTAAAATCAGTTTGTTTTGTTTTCTTATACTGCCAATTTGTAGACGTTTGTTCTGAGGCTGAGTGTTTGCGTGGAATAGTTCTCTGCCCTTTTTTGTATCAGTCTCAAGCTTAAATCACCTGTTTCCAGTTCCTTAAGAATGTTATGATATATAGCATGCTTAAAAGTTAAAAGAATGATTCTAGAAAGACTTGGTCTGTTGCTGTGTGTACGCTTTTTTAAACAGGTATCTGATGTGTAGCCATGCAGAAGACTTGCGTGCAAAAGCAGAGTGGGAAGGGAAAGGAACAGCTTCCAGATCTAAACTTTTGGACAAACTCCAGAGTAAGATGTTCTAGTGTTTAGAATTTATTCCTACCTCTGTAGATCCAGTATGTATTACATGACATATCTCAGGGAATTGACGTTAACTGCATTTGCCGGTTGTTGTTTTTGTATTTCTTAGTTAATGGGGATGCCTTTAGCTGCCTTTACCCTTTGGTCTTCTGTATCTAACCTTTTGCTGTCTCTGATAAACTATTTGTAATAGGAGCTCTTATTTCTTAGCTCTGCTGCATGCAGTAATGGTGATTAAATGTGCGGTTCAGAGGAGGGGGTGGGGAGTGCTTTGTAAATGCCAGCTGTACTGAGAGGTTGAAACGAAGTGTGGCCTATAACCACTAGTACTGGTTGATAGTGGCCTCAGACTTTGCTATGAATTATGGTGTCTTTTCTCTTTTTCTTGTGGCCGGTGTAATACTGTGTATCAGAGTTGTAAAACCCATGGTATTACTTATTTTGATAGTGTTCGAGAATTTCTTAAATGAATACTTATACTGTTGTTTCTGCAATTTTACAGTTTTGTTAAATGCTGGCTTTTGAGTTAGCTCGTGTAAATGGTGCTTGTTGGCCAGGACAACATATACTACAACTACGAATACCTTGCATGCAGCTCTGCTTTCCAGAAGTTCATGCTTGTAATTACATATGTATAGCTGTAAATTTGACAAACCGTAGGCATTCTTTTCCTGTACCTTTTAAGCTTTGTTTACTAAGGTCTCTTCCAAAAACACTCAAATCAAAATATGCTCTTACTTGTAACTTGGTTTTGATATATATATATATATATATTTTTTTTTTTTTTTTTTTTTTCTTAATAACTCTTTTAAAGCATACCTACCCCCATCAGTGATGCTTCCTCCAAGGCGTTTACAGAACCTGCTACGTCAGGCTGTGGAACTACAACGGGACCGGTGCCTATATCATAATACGAAACTAGATAGTAATCTAGATTCTGTCTCGCTGCTAATAGATCATGTTTGTAGTAGGTAAGAAACCCTTGCAACTTTTAAGATGGGCAACAGTGTCTTGTCTTTGTCTTTTACAATTAGCTTATTGTACCTACTGTTAAAAGGAACATGAAAACTATTCTGAGTTGGTTTAACAGGAGTTGACTGGGAAAATAACATTCTCATTAAATGAGTAGTGTGGGGGCATAGAGAAGGTGTGTATAGGAGGCTTTGGTTGCTGGACATGGGGTAATGGGGTAAGACAGAAGCTTTAAAAATTTAACCAGATGGGTATGAATAGAATATATTACTAGGCTAATCCTTAGCCACTAGTTTCTTGTAATTTTGGAACACCAGTCTGTTTATTCATCAACATGTGATTGCTGTGTTTTTTTCACTGGAGAATCACTAGTATGTTACTTATCTGGAGTGTCTTCAAGATTACTGGCATGCAGAAAGCCTACTGAACCATACTTCATGAAGTCAACTTTCAGCTTCAACTTTTAATAGTGTGCAGTGAGGTGCTTTTAGACACAAAGGTTCAAACAAACTAGAAATGTTCAATAGACATTTCTGTTTTACACAATATGTAATACGAATGATTTAAAGAACTGTTTTCTCAGAATTGTAAGGTAGTAAGAATTGAATGTCTCTTACCTATATATTGGCTCCTAAGACTATGTAGATAACTTTTAACGATAGTGATGCTGCTTCTGAATCTTCAAAATGCCATACTCTGCTAGACGTGAGGCAGGAAGATGTTTGTTTTTAACAAATGGCTGACTTGAGTGCTTTGTCCTCATCAAGCAAAACTCTGCTAAGGACCTAAAAACTCAGCATAGCTTTTATGGAAAACTGCTGTGCATTGTGCAATAAAGCAATGAGGGCTGGGACACCTAGAAAACAAAGGCTGCATGTGTTGCCCTTATTTTTGTTCATGTAGCAGCCTAATTCTTGGGCTTATAGGGGAGTTCTTTTCATGTTGAGGTTAACTCATCTGAGGAAGTAATTAAGTACTGATAAACTTGCTTATAGCAACTTTTTGAACTCAACTGCTTTGACTTAAATTCTTGGGTTACTTGGAATCTCCTTTTAAGACGCAGACTTCCATGATACTTCACTGCAGCCATCTTAAGGTTTAAAAATTAATATCTTCAGCACTGCGTGTATTCAAGTAACTATTTTAGACTGTTGTCTAGCTTGCAATTTTGCTACATCACATTGTTTCAGCGGTTTTGTGTGTGTGTGTGCACATGTGGACATTTGACTATTCCTCGTTTTAAGAGCTACTGGAAATGATCAGATACTGGAGTTGTGGCTTCCCTACTTCAGAAGTGAGTCTTAAATCAGCCTAACAGATTTAATTTTAGTCTTTACACAAGTCTATAAGTAACACTGGATGTTCTGTAGGGGATTTGATGTGATTAATCAAACACCAAAGAGCATGGTTTACTGAAGGCAGACTAGGTAGATCCAGATATAAAAGATACTATATGCAACAAATCTGGACTTCAATTTCAGCCAATCTGAATCTGTTTGCTGACATAAAAGTATGACCATAGTTTGTTTTGTTTTGTTTTTTACCTAATGTGGTACTTGCTAAGTTTGCATATTTGGTATGTATACATACAAAGATACTGACAACTACTTCAATTAAAAAAACCCCACCAACGAACCACTTCAAAATAAAGGCTTCCATTCTGTCCTCAACTCAACCTATTGTACCTACCTATTGCAGGGGTCTGAGATCAGTATGTGGTGCGCTGTACATGCTGCCATGCTTGGGCATAATGAGGTGAGTTAAAGACAGTGGAAGCCAAATTTTCATTAAACTGACAGAAGTAACGGTAGTCTAATAGCTTAGACAATTTAAGTTCTGTGCTACTTGAATGATAGAACACTGACAACTTTCCCTTTTTTAGTTGGAACTAATCTGTTTTGGACTTCTGGCAATATTTTGATCAAGCATGCTTAAATTGCACTAATAGGTAAAATGTTTAACTAAAACTTAATCACTTCATAAGAATGGGAGGTAAGAGGGAGAAACTTCTGGGAGTGAAAGTGAGGGATTTCATCTTACTGTGCCTGAGATTTGATGATAGAGAATTGATGCTCTTGGGGGTGGTCATTTTTGGTTTTGAGAGCCTTTGGCCTAGTTGGGTGTTTTTTTGGTTTTGTTTTCCCCCCCCCCGTAATTCTTTTGTCCTGTTTTCATGTAAATAAACTTTAGTCTGAGTTTGCAGACAAACAGTGATGCCCAAATGAGAGGTGAATGCTGCTGTTTTCTAGGTATTAGCTTAATGAAGCATTTCCGAAAAAGAACCGTGTGGAAGCCATTGTATATAAAGGGAATAAGAAAGTAGCCGTTTGGTGTTATATTTAGAATTTTGAACTTCTGTAGATACAACAACAGATACTTTTATTAGATACTTTGTATTAGTCTTTGAACAACATTATTCAAGTGTGTTGTGCCAAACAGAACAATTTGTAATGAATCGAAGTTATTTAATATATGCCTTCCTATCTGTGAAGTCAAACTTGCTGGATTGAATGTTTCATTAGTTAGGAGAACTTTCTGCGAGAGTGCTCTGATCTGACTGGACTGTGAATAACATAATTCAGTACCGGGCTGTGTCTGCAGCAGCTGTATTGACTGTGCCTGTTACCCTTCTGAGGAACCTAAAGGCCACCTTACTATGAAAACTGTGTACTCCAGCATTATACTACTTGCTTTTCATGTCTACAAAACCTTGGCTGCTTTTCTTAAGCTTTAAAATACAACAGTTATTGTTCTATAGAGTATTTTTTTAAAAAATTAGGTATGCTGAAAGGGCTTTCCTGGGACACAGTGTGCCCCTTGTACTTTGTATGAGTTATGGATAAAAACTCTTTAACCTTTTAAAGCAAATTGCTGCTCTGAGGAAAAACATTAACTATGGCTAAATAATAATGAAACACTTTTCCTGTAGGCACACATATCTGTGTAAGGGTTGCCTACTTCCCTCTAGACTTCAAGGAAAACAAAGTATTCTTTCAATGGTGGGGGCTTTTTACCTTGGGCTCAGTGTTGTTCCAGTGGCCAGTAGACAGCTCCTGGGCAGCTTAAAGCAGGAGCAGAACAGACTTGTGTTTCTCTATAAACGAGTAAGTAGACATACCCAAGGAAGTCAACTACAAGTATGTATATGTACGTTTTGTTTATCCTCTTTCACCATGAGATAGGAAATGAGGGACTGTATGGTTGTTTAGTGCTGCTCAGTAGTCTTTAAGTATGGACTAGGAAGCATTTTAGTCTAGAAGAAAGTAGACTGAGAGGATACAGACACTATATTAAGCATAACTTTTTCTAGCTTCTGGTAAGTATTTTTTCAGGTGTCTGTCAGCCTGGCTACCACCAAACTGTATTTTTAAACAGTAATGTAAAGGAAGTAAGTTGTTGTGTGGGGTTTTTTTTGGTTTTTTTTTGTTTTTTTTTTAGGCCAGTTTATCTCCAGTGATAATTACAACTGTACATTCACAGAGACTGTTATTGTTACATTAGTACTGTTGTGTCCCATTAGAGTTGTGTTGCCCTGTTGCACTGGGCACCATAAAAACTCAACATAAGACTAAACCACTTCAGGATTCCTGAAGTTCAAGAAAAAATGTCTGTAGTTAGAGGCTACCTTTTAGTGCATCTGAACAATGAACTTGTAGTTACTGCGGTATTACTTATAAAAGCAGTCATCTGCTGTAAAAGCGTACATTTATTTTATCTTCACTCTCAAATTCGTATACAGTAGTCAAGCTATAAATAAAATAAAACTTGTCTCCAGTTCCTACATAACTTAATATTTTGACTGCTGGCTTTTCCTCGGTGTGTAACTAGAATATTAAATGTTAGACTTAAAGGAATCTTTGACTCTTCTACAGTAGTTTATCATATAATATTTTGTTTGATTAAACACTTAACATTTTACAGAATAATGTAGACGTTGAGGGAAAACAAAGTTTTCAAGTTGAAAGCTCATAATGGTATCATGTTAGTTATACTTAGGTATTGTATGTGGTACCCTGCAAAGAAAATGAAAAATGGCACAAAATGAAGGCAAAGGAACATCTAACTTACTGCAAGATCACATTCAAGAAAATTAAATAAGACTATTCTTTTACTCAACTTTTATGTAAGAATCACTCCTAAAGATTTGACAAGATTGGAATCCAAACCTCTTTGAACCCTGTGTTTTCTATACCTCGTAGTAGTGTATTGTAATAAGCTGTTACATACCTGATGAGGTCAGTTTTATTCCAAGTTACTCCACTCACCTAATTTGTTATTTTTTCATATAAGGATAGTTCTACATTCTTAAGATTAGTTATGATCACTTGGTGGTTGTGAGCTTTTTAACAGATAAGATATGTCACTGTGTACTTATTTGAAGCAGCTGTTAATAGATGAATTTTCTAAGTTGTCTAGTCTTGCATTTAAATAAGTTTTTATTTTTACTAGCTTGATTTTTAAAAAAATCTCTTACTCCCTTCTTATTAATCTGTGATTACATCCCTTTCTTTTCCCAGGAAACAGTTCCCATGCTATACACAGCAGATACTAACGGAGCACTGTAATGAAGTGTGGTTCTGTAAATTCTCCAATGACGGCACTAAACTAGCAACAGGATCTAAGGACACAACTGTTATTATATGGCAGGTTGATCCAGTAAGTGTGCAACGTGTTAAGATGTGTATGACTTGTCTTTTCCTTCCCTCTCCTGTTTCTCTTGTTAGGATGGTTTGATTTTTGTAGGACATGTCCTGTAGCCTGCTGACTAGGGTGTTTCCCTGGGATGTTAGAGACTGAAGGTCACGGTCAATGTAAGTTAGCGGAGGAGGACACTTGAAAACATGATGCCTGAGTGTGAGGCTTGAACTGTTGGCTGCTTTGGATCAGGAACTTTGTGCCCCTAACCAGTACCATGGGGTAGAGCCTGCTGGTACCTTCCAGGGAAGCTTCTGAGCTTGGAAGGCCTTAAGAAGCATTGGATGAGAGTGAAGGGAGTATGGCAGTGAGGAACTGTTCTTCTAACTTACTCTTGATAGGAGTACTGATCTATGTATGTGACTAACCCCTTTCTGTTATCTTGTTACTACTAGCAGACTTGGATTTAAATACTCTATCCCTTTCACCATTTATTACTTTATTTCTGAGTAATGAAGTGGTATGTGCTAAACTGAAGTTGTATCAGCATACTGCTTCATGCTAGTTGCTGCTGTAAGATTTGCCTTGGCTTGAGATGAAGATTTAAGTATTTGTCAGAATCCACTGTCACATAGAAGCATACCTATCCATTTTCTTACGGACTGTGGTTTTAGGTTTTGATACTAATATGTGGCACTATTTCTTTTATCTTAAATATTCTACAGCTACAAGATTTATTTTTCCTACCCATATCTATAGTTATGTAAATAAAAAGATTGAGCAGTGAATCTGTTTTAATTTACTTGTAGGAGTGGTACAAAAATATGTCCATATATTTTATAACAATTGAAAACTGAATAATATTGAACATATGCACACAGTATTTGGAGGAGTTAATGCTTGTAAAACACTATCAGAAATAAGATTCTTACGTTTTTTTAACCACACAACTGCAAACTGGTATGCTAAATGGAAGGTGAAATGTTTTTGCAGTTCCATACTGGCTTTCAGTAGGATTTGAGGGCTGAACGTAGTCCTTTTCTTCCACTACAGGTTAGGAAGCCATATAATTTGAGCCCTTTTTGCTCTTAAGAAGATGGGAAAACTTAAAACCGTGTTTCATGTGCATAGTTGTTACATAGCCCCTGAAATAATAGGAAGTGCTGTGGATTTTTCAGGCACAGAACTGTTGTGGTTTGTTTGGCCCAGAGCGTACTGGCTGCAGTAACAAGAGATGCATAGCAGTTTAAGCTGACTTTGTTACTTAGTTAGGAAATGATCTGGGTTTTTTTTTTTTTTGTTTGGCTCTTTTTTTTTTAACAGTAATTATACGTAAATTACGGATCAAATTTTTGCCTCTGACCTGTCACTTGGTTGTAGAAGCACATTTTCCTTTTATATTGATGGGTTTTAATACCCAACATCTTGATTAGCACACTTCATAATGGATTGTTAGCTAATATCTTGTTAATCAAGCCAAATAAATGTTTTGTGTTTTTAGACTAACCCTTTTGGCCAAGGGTTGCTAAACAAAATCTCTAAATAGTTAATGGGGAAGTAGCTTGGTAGAGTTTAACCTTCTGTATTTAAGTATTTAAAAAAAAAAAAAAAATAAACCTTTTCAAGGAGATGGATGTCTAAATAACATTAGGCCATATAACTCAAATAGTTTGTTTTCGTATTTGCCAGAGCATGCTTCTCACACTTCCTATAGCACTTGACCATGTCTTTTGAACCATAAGTTTTATCAAGTTTTCAAGGTTTTAGGTATTTAAAATTATTCTAATTTGTATATATAAACTACAGGGAAGAAACATCCATCAGATTCTGTCTGGGCAAGTGATAAAGGAACACTGCTTTAACAGTATTTCTTTTTCCACACACATTTCATGTGTGAATCCTTCATTTCTCCTTTTTCTTCATCATGCCTCTTGCAGTATAATGACACTGTTTCATGTATTTTCTTCATTTCATACCATGAATTTATTATTTCTTTTCTAAGACTCAGCCACAGGTCTAAGATGTCTTCACCCATGCTTCTGTTCCCATTTTCATTTGTTCATTTCAAAGTTCTTATTCAGACTCAGCAGCACTAAATAATGCCTTGTGTGAACTAGGTTTGTGTGTGGAATGCATTATTTGACTGTTACTAAGTGTGGCAGAATCTCTAGAGCACAGAGGATAAGCACAGTAGGCGGATCACCTTGTCTGGCATGCATCATCTTTGATAGAGCTCTCCCTTAACTTGTTCCTTACAGAAACCTTCATTTTTTCTGCACTTTCTGAAAACTGTTGACAGGTTTTTGGCTTTTCAGCCAAGGAGCTCTGCATACTTAAGTTGATACCTGAATAGTTGTTTCTTCTACATAACAAAAATCTGGGAAGATTTATGTAAGGGATAAAAGTGCTGAGATTCCTTTTGGTGGTGGGTGGGAAGCAGATTGACTAAATTTGTGGACGTTTCCTGAAATACCATTGGCTGCTGTTTTAGAGCAAAAAATGGTATAGCAGCTTTGCTGTATTTGGAGAGAAGTATAGGAGATAGTAACAGCCTATAACAGTAGTCCTAGTAACAAGGTCCTATCATTAGCAGAGGAATATCCTATGTATCTTGCTCCTCATGAGTCTCAAATGTGATGCAGAAGTGACAGACTAATCCTCGTGTAAAAAGAAATAAATCAGTTGCAGGCAAGCTCCAGGATGTGAGTTGATGTTAGACATGACTCAGTTTCCTTGCAGATCAGTTTAGCTACAGACACAGCAGTGTCTAATGCAGACCAGGAACAATAATTAGAATGGAAAAGGGGCCTTGAGGAGGTCCATTCATTTGCCCCTTTTTCTCTGTGCTTTGAAGATTATTCTTAACCCACTTACTTTTGAGGAATTTAGTTTCCCTAGTGAGCAGAACCACCAAAACTGCAGGCTAGCCGATAGTCACCATATCCCTCGCAGCTGACCCTGGGAAACAGTCCTTCATGTCACTGTGTTCCTCTGTTGACCGTGTCCTTTCTCTTTAGAATCAAGAGGTGCTCTGCTGATTAGTACTAAAACAAATGAAAGAGAAGGGGCAATTTGAGAAATCAAGATAGATTTTTCCAAATGAGTCATTCTTTTTCAGTCTTTTTGAAGAGAAGTAGGAGGTATAAACATCCCCCATGCAGGAAAAAAGGAAGGGGAGAAGAGGAAAATCCACTTGCCCTTTTCCAAGAAGCTTCACAAAAATTACTGTCAGCAGTTTAACAAGTTCGGTTCTACCTTCTGTATATGCATGTTGTTGTCAAGAGTCAGTGCTAATACTGTACTGAAGCATGTTTCTGGGTTTAGGAAGCCAGTGTATGATTGTTTCACAGTATCTAGATGTACTATTTATTTTAATAAAGTGCTTGAAAGTGAAGTTCCTCTGACAAGGCAACAGTAGAACAGTTGTAGCATAAAGGTGATGCAGGGTAACTTTGTGTGAGTGAAGTATGCCTCATTCACTAAATCTGGCAGAAAAGATGCAACAGCTTGCTGCAGGCAACACTTGTGAAATAAGAATACCTCTCAAAGAAGCTTTTAAAAATATCTTTCGGTAAAACTTCTTTCTTGAGCAGCACACACAAGATACATTCAAGTTTATAAAAACATTGGCACTTAGAGGTTTTCCCTTCTCAGTGTACATGAAGGGTTTGGTTCTCTGTTTAACCACAACAGGCTTCCAGCATGTCTTTACTTTTTAAAAGTAACTTAATTCTGTAAAATATGGATAATAGTACTTTTCTATTCTAGTGGATGTAGAGAGACTTGATACTAAAGAAATCTATACTAAAGCAAGTGTAATGTAACAACTCTGTACACAATGGTATTTTGTGAGTTCCACATTCAGAATCACGGAAGTTTAGAACAAAAATACCTAAAAATACCTACAAGGGTTCTTGCTCTGTACACTGAAATTTAGAAGCTTTCATTTTATGGTCCTACTCTGTAAACTAGCAACTGCTTTTCCAGTAAGAACCTATTCATATGTCTTGTAAAATGCAGGTGCCAAGTTGCATAAAGCAAACGTGCCATGCTGTACTTGGACACACTGTATATGTGAAATCTAGTAGGAGTTAATTTGCATTGTCTCAATAGAATCTCTCTTGTTTCAGGATTCTCACCAGCTAAAACTACTTAAGACGTTAGAAGGTCACGCATATGGTGTCTCTTATATTGCTTGGAGTCCAGATGACAACTATCTTGTTGCCTGTGGCCCAGATGATTGTTCAGAGCTTTGGCTCTGGAATGTACAAGTAAGTGGTGACTAAGAGTGAAAAATAAAATTTTGTGGTCAGCCTACTGCTTTTGTTTCAATATATAAGTACATTAAACATGAAATAAGTAATTTTTCAAACTTATGCAAAGGTGTGAGTGTAAAGAAGAGACACTGATCTCCCTGTCTGCCCTCAATTTGAAAAAATGACTATGGCAGCCTACAAATTCTGTACTTGGTTTGTACAGAACTGAAATTAGAGTTCAAGTCCTACGTGCCTGGGACTGTGCAGCAATTCTAGTGTATCTGGTTACTGATCCTTTCTGAGAAGGGATGGCATAAATCTATAGGACTTTAGAGAACTACTGAAGAGAAGAACAGTAAATCAATAAAGAGAAACAGAGGGCAGAATTATCATCTAAGGGAAGCAATTGCTTATTGAAGATTTTAACAAGTAGCAAAAGTAAAAGATACAAACTGGTTTTACTTTCTGTAACTCTCTCAGTGATGATGGTGGAAGATCCACAGAGGCTTAAACTTATGATTTCAGAACTTCTTTCAGTCAGACACTGGGGCATTTTGACATTTCCTTCATGAATTTGAAAATCCTTTTCTACGGTTGATTTTAATGGGCGCTTGATATAAAAGCTTCCCCTGCCTCAGTTGCAGGCTGTATAGTTTTTCTTGTGTTGCCTTGAACTCTGAACTAATTTAGTTTCCTAAGCCAAAAATGTTCCCTTTATTCACTCTTGGAATACTTTCCTTCTGTTTAATTGACTAAATTGGCTCAGTGAAGAGCACTAGAGCTGGCGCAAGGGAATAGAGAAGCCCTAACTGTTTTGACAGTGGTAAGCCACTCATTGGCACTGTCTTGTGAAACAGTAGCATTATAAGCTAGGGATGAAAGCTAAATTTTGGCATGGAGAGCTCCAGCTCAGGAAGGAAAATGTTCTAAATACTCTGATACTCCCAACTTTTTACTAAAATGTATTTTGTCATCTCTGTTTTCTTGTTTCCTCCTGCTTCCTTGCTTTCCATGTTTTGTTTTGTTTGTTTGTTTTTTTATTTTATTTTATTTTTTATTGTTTCTCTCCCTTACATGTTCTTCCAACTTCTTTTAATTCCTCTCCTTACTCAGAATCTTCCAGTTGTCTGATACAGCACCTAGTCCATCTCTCTTGATTTGAGGGACAGTAGAAATTGTCCCAAATCAAGTCTGGGGTCCCTGGAGGTGCTGAAGTAGTTCTGCCTTTTTATTGCATTATTCTTAGGTTTGTGTTGCTTTTTAATAAACATGTTGAAATATATGCACTTCCAAACACTATGCATGTCAGGTATAGTTATTGATGCCTTTTTGGGAAAGGGTTCCAGTATGAGGCCTTGCTGCCTTTGTCTATTTTCCAGACTGGGGAGCTGAGGACAAAGATGAGCCAATCTCATGAAGACAGTTTAACAAGCGTGGCCTGGAATCCTGATGGGAAGCGTTTTGTAACAGGAGGTCAGCGTGGACAGTTCTATCAGTGTGTAAGTTCTCTGCATCTGTCCCATTGAAAACAAAGCAAGAAACTAAAGTTTTGTCATGATCACATCTGAGGGTTCATGTTTTTTCATGCGTGTGTGTACACTAAAACTTCTGATCCTTTGTAATTCAAAGCAGCAATACATTAATGCTAGTATTTCAGCAGCACTTTTCTGTGTGGAGCAGTTAAAAAGGCTCAAGCATCTTCTGTCTGCCTTAAGGAGGATTTGTGGGCTGGGAATGTTTTTCTTAGCTGCTCTAGAAAATACACTAATAAAATGTAGTGCCTTTGTTGACAAATATTGTTTATTCCATAGAATTTTGCCTGTGTCTGTCTTGGTTTTTGCATGCTGTCTTTGCATAGTGTAAACAGAAATTTGAAACCCTCATTACTTGACCAGTGTTGATTTTGGGTGATGGTCTACAGTCTCACCCTACTCTTGACTATTTGTCATCTGAACCGGTGTCCAAGATAATAGTGCAGTATGCAGGCCTCACTCACTGCAAAGGTGAGCGCTGTGACATGACATAGATGCATATGTCATGCATGAGAAAATATTCATTAAGTCCTCTCTTTCACAGGGTAAGATTGCTTTCCATTAGCAATTATCTGACCAGAAGGTGAAGAAGTTACTTGTGTCACAAATCCTGAGAAATCTGAGACTAACAGTTCTTTATTTTTTTCCCCTTTTTCTCTTCTGATCAGGATTTAGATGGTAATCTCCTTGACTCCTGGGAAGGGGTGAGGGTACAATGCCTTTGGTGCTTGAGTGATGGGAAAACTGTTCTAGCATCGGACACACACCAGCGAATTCGGGGTTATAACTTTGAAGATCTTACAGACAGGAACATGTAACTACCTCTTTCTTTGGTTTTGAATTCCTGGTTCTTAGTGTCAGAAGAAGACTGAGGAAGGGTTTGTAAGGCAGGATGGGAAATAAGTTATTAAAATGCTCTCTGTATTAAAAAAAGAGGAGAATAACATGGGGCAAGAATTAGTGAATTCTAATGGCAGCAAGAAGCATTAGATCAAGTAATAGAAATAACTTCCTAAGCACTGGAGTAGGTTTCTGGTGGATATTTTGACCTTTCTGTCATCAAGAGTTGTTGTATTCTCAATTCCTTGCATATTTTAGTAGATCCTGCCTTGAAGTTAGGAGTTGGATTTGTGGTTTGAAGTCCCTTTTGGTCTTGAGATTTGTCATAAGTATAAGCAAACTATTGCAGACCTCACTTGTAGTAACATAGAGGCATATACCTAATTTCAAATTCAGAACTGTCTTTCCCTGATAATGCGGCAGAGACAGGACATGCCTTTTGTCTTGGTGTTGCATCATTGTTTGGTTAAGTGTGTTCTTAACACTGTGTCTTATCATTTCAGAGTACAAGAAGATCACCCTATTATGTCGTTTACTATTTCAAAAAATGGCCGCTTAGCTTTGTTAAATGTAGCAACTCAGGTGAGTTGATGATAAATGGAAATGCAAATAAATCTGCGTGCAACTGCTACCTCTTAAAATATTTTGATGTGGATTAGAATGCTTGATATTAAGCAGTTGTATATCATGTAATACGAAGGCCTTAATATTCATAAATATAGCATGTCATTCTCTGACAAGAAGGCAATCTTATTCTTGAGACTGACTTTTTTTTTTAATGATTTATAGTCAAGAGTTTCATACTATGAAATATGTACTATTAAATGTTAATACCCGGATATTGCATTGAGAAGCCAGGTACAGCAAGAACTGTAGCAGATTGACATGTCTGGGTATGTGAAAATTAGGTTGTATTTATTTACTTCTACTTTTGGAACCTTGGGTAGGAATAGGAGCTTTCAAAATGGGAAGGAACATAAACTGGAAGTTTAATCTACTAGTTTGGTATACCTTTACTCTCTTGATTTAGTAACAGTACTGAAGTTGGCTGAAGTAATGTACTTACATCATGTTTGGGGGTTTTTTAGTGTTTCAAAAGAACGTAATGAATAATGTTTAATGATAAAATAACATTCTTATACTTCTTATTCCCAGGGAGTTCACTTATGGGATTTACAAGACAGAGTTTTAGTGAGAAAGTATCAAGGTGTTACACAAGGATTTTACACAATTCACTCGTGTTTTGGAGGTCATAATGAAGATTTCATCGCGAGTGGCAGTGAAGGTAACATCATTGCCCTTTGTGCAGAAAAGTGGAACACTGTATCCTTCCTATATCTTAGTTATATAACGATGATGTTAGCAACTGTCATCTATAAAAGCAAGCAACTGGCTCATTAAATAAGTTTGAGGAGCACTGAGATTGTGGCATACTTCAAGAAATAATTGTATGCTAGCAGAAAGAATCTTTTGAGAGGATGGTAGTAGTAGGAAGAATTAATGACTCTTTTGTGTTGCTTCTCTAAGGCAAAAGCATCATCTGCACAGTTTTAATTAGAAGTGGGTGGGGTGTTCTGAGGTTTCTTTTTGTGGAATGATGCTTAAGCATATGGTTTGAATCAAAAATACTTCTGGGGAGTAACAGCTTCATCTACCTGTTGGATATAGGTGTGGTGAAGTTACTTTAATTTCAAAAGAGTCATCTTAATTACGGACGGAGTAGTCTCAAATTAAGCAGTTGTTGACATAGTCTGGTAGGGTTTCTTGGTGATCAAAGGCTTTGTGGTATGTTTGTATTCAACTATCTGTGGCAAGAATAGAAATTAGTTAATGGTTTATATCTTGACATGGTTTAGTTCTGTCACTGATGTAGTGCCATCACCTCCCATGGAGGTCACTTAAGAGTCAAAGATACGCAGGGCTAAGGATTACTCTTGGAACATGTAAGTGATTACTGTTAGTACTGTGTAACTCACAGCTGTTAGGAAATAAGGTTGGCCAGGATACTTACTACTAGCCTCTTCTGGAAAATGCTACCTATTTTAGATAGTATTTTCCAGAATATTTTATTATGAGTATATCTAAAATAAAACCAAACTTCACCCTCTAACCAGACCCAGTGGAATACAATGACCGAAGGAGAAGGACAGCACCTTCAGTCTTCCAATCCAGTGTGAACCTCTTTTCATGGTTAAACAAGCTTCTTGTTTTGACATCCCCGTACCCACAATTTCAGGATTTGTGTTGAGCCATACTAATGTGCATACGTAGGTGTAGGTATTACAGTGCACCAGTCCTTGTTTTCCCCTACTTAACTATTTTTTATTATTTTCATTGTCTAAAAACTACTGATTGGTAATTGAGACTGATGACATTTATATTAGAACTGTCTGAAGCTGTTAGCTCTTTGCACTGAATTGTTGCAAATGTGGCTACTGAGAAAGTCTGTGGTTTTTAAAAACAAGCAAACAAAAATAACCAATTGCATTGTTACTGCTTTTTTAAAAAAAGCAATAGATCGATTACATTGTCATAACCTCTTAAAGTATGTTGTCAGCTATGTAGGCTTTTTTCTGACATTTGCAATAATAGGAGAAAAGTGGAGTTGTCTCCCCAAAAGGGAGATTGACTACTGCCTTAATCTAGCTAACTTGTTTTTTCCAAAACAGAATACAGGCATTCTGACAAGCCCCAAAATATTGGTTTGTGTTTAGGCTTTCTTTCTCCCAGACAGCAGAGGCTTGTGTGTCCAGTGTTTAAGTAGAGTGAATTGTATTGTTTGAGTAGTCTCTTGAAATAGTAAGTGGAATGTAAACACAACCAGAACATTTGCATCAATACAAGCATATATAAAGGTGTTGTACTCAAATGAGCTGATTCAGCAGAAGACAACTGAGTTATCACATGGTTCCATGATGCTATTCTAGCAGGTAGGTCAGAGAGCAAGTTCTGTTTTGTAAGGGATTGGGAGGAGGAATAGAGGAAGCGTGTTTTGTTTGCTGAGCTTTTGGAATAACATCTACATCAAAACCTCTCAAATAGACTAAAATACTTTCATTTGATACGGTAGACCTAAATACTAGGCTTTTGTATGATACTAGTAACACATACTTGTTCAGTTTGTATAGCTTGGTGTCCAAAGACATTCCTAGAGAAGTCAACCCGTGAGCTTGTTAAAGGCTGCTAGTCTACATTTGGGGGGAAAAAAGCCCACAAAAACAAACCAAACCAAAACACCTTAACATGCTTGGTTATAAAGCAATAACACTTCTCTAAAAATTGTAGTGGAGTGTCTGACTAGTTCACTATTCTATTTTTAGCACACTGCTAGAAGTAATTGAAAGCTTCCTATCACAAAGTAAGATCTGTATGGTTGTTTATTGCATCTACTTTAATATGTGCAAATTAATATCTTTAAATACCACACCAAAATTAATTGTTGTCAAAGACAGTAATAGCTCACATTTGGAGACCTTAAACTGCTTTGCTCTCCCTCATTTGTTCTGTTTGCACTTTCACTGGAATGTTCTAGGTCTTTACTATCAAGATGTATTTCATAAGCTATAGAGCTGTGATCTTATTTAGAACCCACTGACAGGTGGTGGTTGTAAATATTCAGCCTTAGCACTCATGACTTTTTATAGTGCATGTACTAATCTGTAAATCTGATTGTTTAAGAAAAATAAATAATCTGCAAGACTTCCTTTTGAATAAGATTATAACTCCATATCTTTAATTAAAGAGCTAGATTGGTTTCTTTCTTTAGCCATGTATGGGCTTATTTGCATTGCAGTCAAAAATATTTTTCTTCAAATACCAAGTATAGTAGACCTGCAAGCCTTAAAAGGGAATGTGTCTCCTAGTGGAAGAGCTCTACCCATATTCTCTTGATCACTTCTAGAAAAAGAACTTTGTTGAATGTGCAATAAGCACCAAGACATGCCTTGTACAGCATTAATGGGTTTTTTAGTTGCTAAGAGCTTGTGTGGAATTGCTATTTGACATGACAAATCAGTCTCTGCAGAACAGTGTTTCTCATGTTTTTTTTTTAATGCATGTTTTATTTAGATCACAAAGTATATATTTGGCACAAGCGTAGCGAGCTGCCAATTGCGGAGCTGACAGGGCACACACGTACTGTTAATTGTGTGAGCTGGAACCCGCAGATTCCATCCATGATGGCCAGCGCCTCTGATGATGGCACTGTTAGAATATGGGGACCAGCGCCTTTCGTAGACAACCAGGATATTGAAGGTAAGAAACAGTGTGTGTGTATGTTCTCTCATCACTAAAAGCTTACATCAGAGGCACCTGGTTCAGTGGATCTTCTTTACCATAAATAGGATAGAAAAATGCTTTTAACTCTTGAGATAGTCATTACTTTTACTAAAAAATAAGTTACTGATTTTTTTTCTTTTTTTTTTTAATGTATGGGTGTTGATTTTTAGTGAAGTTATATATGTTTGTGGAATAAAAAGGCAACAGCTGGTATTTCCAAAGTTACATTCAAATTTGTGTCATGGCCCCATAGAAAACTAGTGTCACGAAGACCTCAGGATTTTATTAACTTCATTATGTAGACTTCTTAAAATCTTGCCTCCAATGCTTGTGGTTTAATAGCATACAGTGTTATTAAAATGTAAATAATGCATTCTGACCACACTGCAAATTGAATAATAGTATTACAGTGCTTACGAAAGGAATCTTCAATGTCTGGAGAGAGTGAAGTTTCCCACCGTAGAATCTGTGCACAGCTGATTCTTTCTTAACCATCAGCGATTATTTGTGTCCAGGAGAGGCACACAATGGAGCCTTTTTCACTGCCAAAATGCACACTCGTTCCCAGCCCTTACTACCAACCTCCCCCATCCCCCCCGATTGTTAACGAGATGACCATTGGGGGGGGTGGTTCTGCAGTTTATAGGCTTCTGCCATTACACAGTCAACCTTTCGGTAAAAATTTACAGTAGACATTAAGATGACATACAGTATTGCCACAGGACCTCCTGGGTACTAGGTGTGGACATGAGTTCAAGGGGAACCTGGACAACATGATCAAAGAGAAATCCATTGAGTGCTACTAGATAGGTGAACACCTCTAGTTCAGAAAGTCCCTTACGTGTAAATAGCTGAAGGTTGTAAGGATGTTGGAAGGAAGAATTTCCTCCTCCCCCTGCTCCTGTGCTTTCTTACACGTCTTCTTCTGGTCTTGGACTAGGTGGACCAGCCTGGCCAATCTCCTGTTTGTAACGCCCTGATTGCACCCATAAGGACTCAGAGCCTGTCCTCCAGTTGGTTTTACTCATGGTTTTGTTTGTTTTTCTCTAGCTGCTTGCTCACTCTTAATTAGTTCCTTCAGAAAATGATCTAGTAAACGCCATCAAATTCAAAACAATAGAAAATGGATTTCTCACAGCAGTGCTTCCACAAGAGGTGTAGGTGCACGGAATAATACCTAACAACTTAGGAGTCTTAAATGGATGATAGCCAGCTTTGTAATTAGCACACTCCCCTGGAACTTGAATGCAAATGTGTGTTATTTCTCTTTGGAAGAGATGCTTTTTGTGTACCAACACCTAACATGCTAATTTAATCTCTAAATTATTATGAATAATGAGATCTAAAATACGTAAACTTTAGCATGGGATTTAGCTACAGTATAAGATCCATTAACTAATGCATGTTCAGTAAAACTTATGTAAATACACTGCAGTAATAACCTTGTAACAGAAATATTAACTATTGATAAGATCTTCGAGATGTGATTTCTTTCTCTTATGTTTTTGTTTTTGCTCAGAGGAATGCAGTAGCATGGATAGTTGATGGCGAATTTGGAGCAGACGACTTCAGTTTAACTTAATTAGTCGTATTTTAAATGGCTTGGGATTTGGTGCAAACAAACATGATTGATAGCTGGACAGACATGCTCGTCATGAAAAAGAACCATTTCTGAAGCCCGGTCGGGGCCAAACATTTACCACCTTGCTTCATAGTAACCAGTCAAGATGAAGCACGTCGTTAGAACGTTGTTGGACACCGTGTTGAAATTACCCCCCCATCGGTTGTGAAGAACTGTGCTACATTCAGGCTAACCATTGAACTCAGTATATATATTTTTCCCTCCTGCCTTTTTGTCTGGCAGGCTACTGTTCTTGTTGCTCTTCTGTGTAATGAAGTTTAAATGCTTGTTTGGAACACTTTATTTAACAGTTTAGAAGGCTTGATAGAAAGAGTGCTTTAGTCTGAAGAGTATACATTGGATAGGAAAGTATTTCCTTCTCTTGTTTCTCAAGTCTCTCTCCGCCTTACTTAGCTTGAGATCTTTGCAGCTTGGTTCATGGATTCTAGCCTTGCCCGTTGCGCAGTATATATAAATTGAGATGATAAACCAATGAACTATGTCAAAAGCACTCTCAGTATCGCATTTGACAAAAAGTTTTGTACTTTTCACATAGCTCGTTGCCCTGCAAAGGGGTTAACAGCACAATTTTTTAAAAATAAATTATTTATAGGATTAAAATGACTTCATTTGTATACATTTGGAATTAAAACAATGCAAGAAGTGTCGTGAAACATGGTATCACTGATGCTTTTCTGGAGTGTCTTGAGACCCAAGCAAAAGCAGTGGCTGGAAGGAGCTTTACGTAGGCAGTGAAGCTTGCTTTAGGAGGAGGAACTCGCTGTCCATCTTAACAGATAAACTGTATTATTTAGAAAAAAAAGGCGTTCAGAGTGCACCACCAGACTGAGAGCTTAAACAAAACAAGGTCTTTTGTTTTTTTTTAATTACATAAATATATGCAACAATGCTGGTGTAAAAGGTAGACTCCACCTTGAGGGAAGAATGTGTTGAAAGATTCCTTTCTTCACAAAGTCAACATTTTGTAAAAGCAATTAGCATAAAAATCATAATTAAACACTTGTAATATGGTGGAAATTTCTGTTTATTTGATAAACAAAGGTGTATAGATTTTCTTTTTGGGAATATACTTTTAGGTTTGCAGATTTAAATGCATCTCCCAGACCTTGTTGCAAGCTGGTGCTGTGATCATATTGACACATCTAGGAATAGTTCCACTAATAACCCATGTTAAGAAAAAAGAAAGACATTTATAATTTAAATATTTATTCCTTTTGACATAAACAGATGGCCTGGCATCTCTATGCTTCTGCACTACACACAAATTCATTATGCGATGGCACTGGATTCCCTTTCGCCACGTTGGGTGGAAAGGTAGTGTTGGTACTGCTGTGAAGTAAAGAGGGAGCAGGGAAAGGCATGCCACTAAGAATCGATGTGAACAGAAGTGTGGACTTCATCCTGTAATGAGATAAAAATCTGGTGTCCTTATTAGTCATGTGTGGAAGAAGAAGGGTGGGGGAACGTTTGCCAGAGTTCCTGGGAAGAGAAGTGTAGCCACTTTGATGAATGGGAGTGTGGTGTTTAACATAAACAGTCTTTTTTTTTAGTTTCCCAGGAAAACAAAGGGAAGCTTGGCAGTTTAGATTTTTTTTTTTTTTTTTTTTTTAGATTCCAGCCATCAGGTGGTAGGCATTTTTTTCTTGCCTTGTGTGTAAACATAAACATGATCTAAGATTCTGCTACTTTGAGACCAGCCCTGAATCTGACATACTCCTCTCTTAGTACCTCTAAAATGAAGTAGGAACTTAACATCCTTATCTTCAATCTAGCACATTTGTCTTAAGGTGAATTTCTTTGATAGCAATTACTGTTCCACAATACTGGGCATACATGTATGAATGTAAGACTACAGATCGGTTCTTTCTTCCATTAGCTAGTTCTAGAGGAAGCTGTTTGTTTCTCTGCCTAGTTCAGACAGTGTAAGATAAGTTGGTCTTGTTCCTGTGGCATCAGTGTTGCAGGGAGACTGACAACTTCCTAAGGTCGAATTTGAGTGAGCTCAACCTTTGGGCTTTAAATAAACGATGAATACATGAATTGTAAACAGTGTTTTGTATGTTCAAAACATGGTATAATTCATAAGCAATGCCAGTATGTGAATCTTTGGAAGTTACCCTAGTATTGTCTTACTTTGGAACTTACATTTTCAAACAAAACATTATTTAGGGAGAGTAAGGAGAATAATCCTGGTTTTGATGTCACTTAACAATGTCTCGTACAATGGTCTGGCACTACTTGCTTACCTCGTCCTCATGGGACTTCAGTGGGAGCTTTAGGGAGGTGGTGAAGGCTGGATCAAATCTCAAGTTTAAAGTCTCCTATGTGCTTCAACAGGCATTTTTAGTGTGGTGGCCGTATCTAAACAAAGTGAGACTCCTTACCTGGTGCAAGCTGTGTGGGGGAGTGTATGGGCTGATGCCTACGTTCCACTGCAACGTGGTAAAATTAGAAATTTAAACTTAGTATTTTTGCCAAAATACTGCCCCTCCAATCCGAGGCTTCTCTCCAGACTGGATTTGTACCTCTAAAATACATTTTGGGTATTTAGAAGCAGAGTTGGGGAGAAGCATGTGCTCTGATATCTCCACTTTAGTTTCATGATGCAACTATGCAATGTAAAGGAAAGGCCCGTATAGCTGGCACTGTTTCAGAGCATCTCAGTAACGGCATTTTGCATAGCTGTCTGCTGCTTGCAGGTGGTGAGCAGAGATGAGAGAAAGGTGAGAGTATTCTTCATTTCACCACACTACTTGGTCCCACAGCAAACTGACATTATAGATCTAGCAGCACTGACTACACTTGCAACCTGCAGATTAAAGAGGAACCTAAACTATTTCTAATGTGTCACGTATTCACAATATGTGAATTGAAAAGTACCAATACTTTTTGTACCCAGACTATAAAATGAGACTATGGGGGGTGGGGAGGGAACCAAGTAAGTTTGCTCATTTGCAACACGTTGATTTCCATGTGCTTAAAAATGTTCATAGGCTGGAGTCTAAAGCTGGAACAAGTACACACCCGCAATAAATTACTGTATTTCTACTTAACAGACCTATGGCTTTAGAGAGGAAAATACTGTAAGCGTGTACTCCTTTTGTAACTTTCTTTGGTCAGCTGTTGGCTTAAAATATTCATGGTAGCCCTAGGTTATTGTCAAGGCAGATCATTTAAAAAAAAAAAAATAATATGCCAATGCATTTCATTATCTGAATGTTCTTTAGCTGTTCAGGTAAGTAATTTTCAAGGCACAATGGAGCACAAAAGGGAAAATGCTAGATCTGTCCTTGTTCTGGAGGGGAGGGTAGTGGGGGGAGATGACACATTTGTTTAAAATTCCCTCTGTCTTTTCTAAAGTTCTCCAACTTCAGTTAACTTCTTTTTATGATTAGAGCAAAGATGCAAGCTAGAAATCTATCCAGATCTTGCCAGTTACTTCTCAACTGGGCTTCAAACAGGTAATGTTTAATAAAACTCAGTATGTTGTTGGGAGTTTGTGTCTAGTTTTATACTTTTACACTGCGGAGTGCTACTACCACCCAAAGCCAGTTTTGAAGGCTTCCTTAGCAGGAAACCAGGACTTGTACAATTAGCTGTAGTTTGAGGGGGGAGATGTTGTAGACCCAAATGGGGAGGGAGGTAGAGGAAGAGGAATAATGGACATAAAGCAGGATTTACTGACCAACAGACAAACTACTGTAACTCAAGGGGGAGGAAGAAAAATGCACTTTCAATAGTTTGTCCATATTTTTAGCTACAAAATACACTTGTATCTAATTTGAGACAACTATTAAGAGGAACACCCATCCCATAAATGGCTAATCCTCCTTTTGACCTCCTCCTGGCTTTTCCACATTGGCTTGAGTCCATTTTCAGCTGCCATACTTAATTTTAAGAACTGCTACTTTTAACATGTTTAGAAAGAAAACAAAAATAAATCATTAACTCTGACACTTTTTTTAAACAGGGTGGACTTAATTGAAGTGTGCAGTGTTGAACTACTGCAGTAGCTGCCTCTAGTTAAAGAAATAAACTGTAGACAAGTTTTCTGTCTATTAATCCAGATAATCTGGATTCAGTAAAATGTCTGTGAGAGTGTTCCTCCCATCTGGTGTGAATGTGCGTGTGCATGTGTTCCATGAACAGACAGAGAACCAAATGTTCTAGGTACTTGTCATGTTTTATTGCATACTTTAAGTTGTGTGTATGTGAAGTGTCCTTTGACCGGAAGGTTTTGGTTAATATCAGTATATTTTTATAAATTTGAAATTCATTGTGCCCCATCTTTTTTCTTAAACATTTTTCATTGTTAGGGTATATGTGCTAGATTTGGATCTTTAACATTTTTAGGCACAGAGGGAAAAAGTTATTGGCTCCTTGAAAACTTATGGGACAAAATGGATCCTCAAAGCATGTATGTACTTACAAACCAAGCTGTAGAGATCAAGAAAAGAACTTTATTGTTGATCTCAAGATTTCTAAATTGTCAAGATTTATATGGAGTTGTGGTGGAACTAGTTAACACTTAGAGCTTTTGGTATGTAATGACTATTTGCTATGGACTGATATTAAATGTTTCAAAGGATTGCGTTCTTAAACTTTCTGGATTTTTGTTACTCTCCTCGGATTATATTAAGTAGTTAAAAATTTCTTTGCTATATTACATTAAAAGCATAAGAACTTTGGGTCTCGTATTTATTTTCACTTGTTTTACTAATTATTTACAGAACACCGTTTTAACTTTTTTATTTTATAAATGTGTAGTATTTGAAACATATCTTTAAAAATTGTTCAATTGGAACTACATTAACTTCTGATTTGTTTTTATTAGGATTTTTAAAAAAAAAAAAATACACTTTTTCCATGTTGGTGCACAGCACTTAACAGAAATGTTTGTATTCCCTTTCTTTCAATTCAATAAACAGAATAAATAACTGGAATGGATAGTTCTTAGTTTCCCTAACTTCACTTTATATGACTGACTTGGATGCTAATTTCTTGATCATTAATTGTAGATTTCTTACGTATTTGTAGCATTTTACTTCCTTGCTAGGAAAATTAATTTGTGGCAGTTTAGCTGAAGATGAATTCACTCGGTGTTGGGTGCAGGCTTTCTAGTCTTTGATGTTTGGCTCTGACCTACCTCACGCTTGTGTGTTTGCTGTACATTGAGCAGTCGCCTTGCCTGTGTCCCGCTCCGCTTCTCTGACTTGTTGAACGTCGGCTCCTTCGAGGCTCCACGGAAGCCTCAACTCCCTAATGCTGGAGCTTGCTTAAATACCACACACGGGTTGCTTTAGGTGCTCGGTGGGTTTTGCGGGATTTTCTGATACTTCATATGAAGAAGGTGCTCCTAAAGAACTTGCATCTCTTGCTTAGACTTCTCTTAACCTGGAGGTCAGGGGCCTCCGGACTTCTATCTGAAGTTGACCGAAGCAGCCTCTGTGGCTGACAGCTCTACTTCTCAGCTGTTGCCTTTGTTCCCTCCAGCTGACTCTGCATTCTTGTCCCTCTTCCCTGTGCCTTAGAACAGAACCTCATCTTCGTCGGGCATTTTTATTCAGCTCTAGCTAATGTTCTGTTAAACTAAAGGTGATATCTAAATTTGCCCTCCCCTTCCTCTAGCTTTTTCAAACTCAAACCTTTTGCTGAAGTGCATTACACTTTTAAATGTTTTGAGCTTCTCTATTGATTAGAAAAGGTCTTTACTCCCTCCAGTAGCACCTTTGTATTAAATTGTAAGGCGGGGAATAAAGTTAAGCAGTGTGTAGATAATTATGGCTTAAATGCAGCTGCAATCAGAAGGGGCACGCCTTATTCCTTTCCATGTGCTGCTTCCCTTGGGTGCTCATATTTGCAGGAGGGTTGTTAGATTGCAGACCTGCTTCAGCCATAAATGAGCCACACAGCAGATGAAGGAAGTTAAGTTTTTTGGCTGGGTTTGCTACTGTGCTTCATCTGCTGTCCTATGTCTGCCTTCAGCTGGTGAGAAGAATGCAAGAGAAACAGGTATATGATTTCTATAGAACTGTGAAATTTCAGCGTATGTAAAATTCAAGTGTAATTTTTATTTTTTTTATAAACCTTTACGATTATTTAAAAGAAATTACATAAGGAATCTGATAGTAGATGAGCATTTAATAATTGGCTTAAATCCAAACTCTGCCTCGGGTAGGGTACTTCTCCAGAGGCACAGTTTCTGTTTTACTCTCTTTAGCCCTTGGCCTGTGCTTTCTGTGCTGCCTGATGTGCCCCTCTCTCACCTTGCCCATGCTTAAGCTATCAACTCTTTACAGAAAGACGGCAGCCCCAGTTGTCTCCCCGCTTTGAAAGATCTATAGCGCTCTGGAGAGTAACCACTGATGTTTAGATGCCTCTACACTTCTGCCAAAGATAAGGTGGTTAACGCACAGTGGTCTATATAGCCCAAATTTTTCTATTGCTACCTACACTCTCAGCGTTACCATATCCTCAGAGCCAAAAATGGTCTTTTCTTAGCACTTGTACAAAATCCTAGAGAGCTTCTTGTGAGAAAAAGAATCAGAATAAAGCAGTGCCAGGACTGAACAGATAAAGATATGCTTTTACGGGCTTGTCAGGGATTTAGGTGGACTGTTAACCTGCACATAGAACTGTTCCTAGGGCTACTCATCACACTATCATTCTCACTGATCTACTATGTTGGATGATACAGGACTAGCCTAGAAACACCCAGTATTTCACTAGGAGGAAGACAGAAGTATATTCTTTAATAAAACAGGCGAAATTACCAACTCTGTAATGATTGATCAGGGGAAACATGCTATCATACATATTTTAACTAATCCCCCCGCTCCCAGGTGCAGTACTGTAACAGCTATCTCATGTCTCTGAAAACTATTGAACAACTGCTATCTTAGCAAGCTGACTGGGCTCTAGAGTGTGGGTTAGGAAAAGAGTTTAACCTTGGTTAAAAGTTAGAATCCCTGTAGGACAATGTCAGATTTATTTTCCTGGATTAAGAGCTTTCTGTAAATCATAGCTAATCAGTTGAAAAATAAGTTAATGGTCCCCTCATGAAGTTACACTGGGACATCTCAGTTCCCAAGGGAAATATATTCTGGTGAGTAAGAGGGAATCTGTGTTTGGTCTCACAGTGATTGATAGCGATAGGTCAATTTTTATTTAAAACCACTGAGGTTTGTAATTGTCTTGAATTCTGTATTGTAAGCTTGGATTTAAACTACCCTGTTCTTCCTTGATGGAAACCCAGAAAATAAGGAGTTTGGTTTGATTTTTATTACTGTAAAGCTTCTGTGCTCTGCAGATCTCCCATGAGATGACTATAGGATCCCTATTTCTAGCTAATGAACTACACTTTTAGCAATTACAAATATATTTTCCTATTGCTGATACTGAGCTCTATTAAGGCAGGAAATGACCCTGTGCAGTAAGGAAGGCTTCAAAATTGCCAGTGTAATTACTCAGCAGAATTGAAGTCTCTAGAGCCTGCTACTGAGGTTTTTACAACTATTATAACGATGTTAGAAATGAATGAACAGAGGATTTATTTATATAAAAAAAGTGGGGTGGGAAGTTTGCATTCATATAAAAGTAGATTTTGTTTAATATTTGACAACCACTGCTTTGAAAACATACCTGCATTTTTTTTGTTGGTCTTCATGGTCAATAACTCACCTTGGGAAGGAAGTGGGGAGGAATCCACAATACCATCCCTCTAAGTCAAAGATATCATTTAAGACATATACTACCCCCAATCTTTTTTTTTTTTTTCAGATATGTTGTTCTTTTCCCTTATCCTTACCTGTCCTGCTCCCAGCTCTGAGGAAACACTTCCTTTAGTAGAGGAGAATAGAAGCTTTTCATAGTGAGTGATAAATTTTACCAATTCTATTAGGGAATGGATCTACCCTACCTAATACCATCACTGCAAGTCTGAGGTGCTAATAGCTAGAAATAATTGAAAACAATGTATCTTATACACATTTTCATTATTAATAAAGCTCTTATCTCAAAATCATGCCTTAAACTAGCAGTTTTATATCTTATGCTAAAGTGGTGGATTTATAGATTAATGATCATGTTTCTCAGTGTGAATCATCATTAATGACACTTACCTACTGTTAGCACTACAGCCAGGGTTTAACTCAAGCAGCTTACCAACACTGCTTGTTCTTCTAATAGGTAGCACCCAAAATATGCAGGATGTTTTTTTCACAGACAAATAAGATAACTTAATTGCCTACCATATAAGCTGCTACAAAAGTTACCGACTCTCCTCTTTTAAAGTTTTATTTACTCTCCTTTTTTTCCAGACCTATATCCTGTCAGGGTTTCAGCTTTGTAAGGCAGCAGTACTTTCTGTAGTTTGATTTTTGTGGTGTCAGGTAGTCAGTGGCATGCAGCTGTGGTAGAGATTTCATTAGTTATTTCCTAATGAGCATAATTTTCAGCAGTTTTTCATCTTTGCAACAGCTGAATTTGGACTCCATCCATCACAAATTTAAAGCCAGACTTTTCCTAGAACAATGAACACAAGGTATCTAGAGAAATCAAGCTTCAGTGTTGTCTTTTCACTGCTGGCCATGAAATCAATCTGTTAACTACAGCTCTACACCAAAGAACAAGGAGTACTTAAGAAGGAAAAGCTCATAAACTTTAAGACTTGATTACAGAACTGTATTTTTTAAGTGTTTCACTTTATGTGTTTCTTTCAAAAAACCTGCTTCTATGCACATATAAAAAAATTAAAGACAAGGATGATACAAAGTCAGGTTTATATACTTATCGCTGATGCAAGAGCTGCACAAAACCAACTTAGTTTGCTGGTATCTTTGAAGTAGAGTCACATCAGCATTGGGATAACTGGCTTACCAGACCCCTTCCCTGAGCTAAATACTCTTGATTCACCTCCCTGGATATGGAAACAGCAGGTTCATGGAGTAGTGGCTGTAGGTAGGCTTTTGTTCTGCAACCAACTCCAGTCCTGGTACAATATGATGTTTACTTTATATGGAGGTTTATGATCTGTTTCAGTGACAAAATAGGAGTTGAAGGGAAAAAGCAAGTATTAATCATTTTCCTTATTTATCTGTTTTTCACTCTTACATACAAATGTCACTTTCACCAAAGGGACCTTCATCCATCCAAACACAAGACTTATAGAGATTGCTGGAGGGAAGGGTGGAAAGGGGGAAAAGCATAACTTTTATTCCATTGCTTTTTAGCTGGAAAAAACACTGACACAAAGATGCAAGCTGTGCTAGTGTTCCACTTCACGTTCCAAGTGCTGCTTCAAACTAGGCTCTAGTAGGACAGCTTGACAGCCAGAGGCACATCCTGATGCCTTTCTGCAAGAAGCAGACAGAGCTGCACTTAAATTTCTTCTGGAACTACCACTGTTATCAGCCCATGCTGCAGAAATAAGTTTCCCTTATCACCATTTAAGTCCTATGAGATCAGTTCTGTAAACAAGGATTTAATCTTACAAAAACAGCAGCTCCAGCAGTTTGGGTTGTAAAGGAACAAAAACAACTGCTACACAAATCCAATGTCTTTTGAAAATATTTTATGTTAAAAATACAGAAAAATATTTCTTGTTCAAAGAGGAAAAATATACTGCATGACGACACTGATCTAGGTATGTTCGGAAGGTGTCTGTGGCTCCACAACCAGTCACTGGAGTGATGACCCAATTTGGCAGCTAATGGTTCTTTTTCAACTTCTCAATCATTTATCAAAGCCAGAATCATACTGTGACAAAACAAAAAACATTATAGCAGTGGATTACTGAAGCATGTGCAAGTAGGAACAGCTATCGCTTTCATGAGAGAACTGCCCTTGATTCTGAAAGAGAAAGTCAAGGCAACTATGGTATGTGCTTTGATTATGAAGACAGTGGCTGCAGAAGTAACACTGTAGTAGAAGAACAGTAGTTCTTCCATCTCGTAGTATGTGGCCCCACCACAAAACTCATCTGCTTGTAACTTGGCGAGATCAACATTATCTGCTAAAACAGAACTTGTAAAACAAACTTGGTCCTTGAGATGATTTACATTCTAAATAGGCCACTTATTCTGGATGCGAAAAATCATGTAGCTCTTTATATTGTGCTTATGGTGCATTTGAGATTAAGGAGTAGTCTGAGTTTCCAAACAATGTTTGATCAGAAAGAATGAAGGCGTGTAATGAGACTGGAGATAGCTGTCCAAATATATTATTGAGGCTTAGCAGGATGCAAAAGAATAAGGCACTTATGAATACCAGCAATTACAGTAGCAGAATAGAAGAGATAAAAATAGCTGGCAGATAATTCCTTTGTTCCTTGGGAGCAATTTTTGAAACTAACCTGTAAAGGTACATGAAGAAACAGAGCAGATGAAAGCCTAGTTTAATCATGGCTTCCTTCATGTGTGATTTCAGTTGTCCTCGGTTATGGATCTCTGTGGGATCAAATACGCCCATGTTTCCACTTGGCACCATAATGTACCTGAAAGTTTAAGAGAAAAAAAAACACAACAGAAGTACAGTCATCAAAACATGAGGGAGTATCAGGAGAAGGAGAGGAGGAGAGCTTGCACAGAAGGGACTTTCATCTAAAGAGCTGTTTCACAGTTCAACATAAGAGCGCTCTTTAATTCTGTTTCAGGATATTGTGTATCTGCCATTACAACCCAAAGAATAATAGGACAAGAAGTCCTAAAAGCATCAGCCCAGCCTCTCATGTATAAATGGGAGAGTTTCCAGGTAATAGCTGATTCTAGTTCATTTTATTTGCTGTTAGTTGTTAGTTGGTGTTACGAAGCAAACGTCCACCCACAGTGGAAAGATGCGTTAGATGAAAGGGACTGGAAAAGAATTAATTTAACTAAGAGTTAATGATTTATTTACCAAAAAAACCCCACACAGATAATCACAAACTCCAGTGGTCAAAATGAGATAGCATAAGACAAAGTATCTGTGTATTATTCCCATCTTTGTCACAACCATCCTGCGTTATTCTCAGCAGAGACACTGAGGCAGACAGGATGAGAGACCAGGCCGAACTGAAGAAGTGCTGCTGTCCTACCCTACATATGAACAAGTGCTGAGTGAAACAAAGTGAAATAAGCAAAAGAAAGAATAAAACCAATAAGACAAATGTCTATGTCCTGTGAAAATTCAACAAGCAGCATGTTCTTTTGTCATAAACATTTCTCAAGTGAGAAAATGCAAGCACATGAGTTCTCACTCCAGCAGAGCTCAGTCTAGAACAGTATTACCATTTCACTTAAATGACATAAGGGCTCTGCCTTCCTGGAATAACACTCTTTCTACACAGAAACTTAACTCGTTATCTTACACCTAGAGCAAAAGCAAAGTCTCAGAACAGAACACCTTGATTTTCTTTATATAATCAAAGAATGGCACCACTTGTCCTCCAAAAGGCACTCCCCCACCCCTTACAACATTTATTTCAATAATAGGAGGAGAAGGAAGGGAAGAAGAAACAAGGATGTTTTCTAGCAGCAGCAGGAGACAAAAAAAAAAAAAAATAAAAATGTTAAGACCACAGTATCTGTCTTTCTTTCAGAGACATTAAAAAGCACTGCAGTATATTTGGCTAATAACAAAGACAACTATTTCTTATTAAAAATAATTCATATGAAGTAATTACAACTTGAAATTCTCTTCTAAATTTGAAGTTTTAAGCAATTGTTCTATTTTTAGTATTATAACACAAATTATTGCCCATTTACTGGGAATGTAATGCATCTTATTGGAATAAAAAGAACACACGTTTCTTGTACCACTTTATCCTAGAATGCATAATTTTCTTATATCTCTAGGATACGAGTGCAATAAAGGTAGCGTCTACTTATTTTGCTTTTTAAGAAGAATGATAACACTGAAATGATGCAACTTAGTTGCAGAACCTGAGAAGTAGTTTTTCCAAGAGGCCCACAAGCTAGTACAGCTATTATACATCTGAAGAACTGTACTCATGGACACAATGATGCTAGATGCTGACAAACCCAACTGAAGCCAGTTGTCATACTCTAAACAGCAAAAAAACCTTCTGCAGCAAAACCACAAAGAAAAGTGTCTATATACATTAGTGCCTCCAGCATCTCCATTCAGTAGAAGCTGCTGCCACAGCAACAGGATGTTTGCCTCTAGATTATGCAATTTTGTAAAGGATGTAGAAGTCCTGCTTCACTGTATTTTAAATATTAAAACAAACAAACAAACAAAACAAACACTCTATCCGTTTTAAGAAGGGTATAATCTACTTAAAGAAATGGCAAGAATCACATTATTTGGATCTACTGTCTCAAGCAGGCCTATACGTAGCAAAGAAGAAACGGAAGTGTTAAACTTTAGAAGTTGCTTTCATCTACTCACATTCAACATTTCCTTTGTAATTCTTGCATTTTTTACATAGTAGATCTAAGACATACTTAAGAACTAAAAAAAAATGCCTATTTTGAAATATGATTAGTTTTCAAATATGCTGCTTCAACATCTAGTTTTAAAACAAGGAGAATGTAAGACAAAACTATGTCTCACTGGAGACTGTACAAGACACTAGAAAATTCGGCAAAATAAACCAAATTTAATCTGAGTATGTTGAACAAGAAGGGCCAGTAGGATGTTACAATAAACACGCAACTTTGAACATCTCCCTCGCTGTTTTTGACCAATTTTTCCTCCCCAGGATTTGATCCTGATGCCCCTTTCACACAAAAACCTCTCTACTCTCACTGAAACCATTGAGACAATTAGTAAATTAAGCCAGTAATGCCTGTAACTGCCATTTACTCAACAAGATTAAGCAGGTGTTAAAGAAAACAGAATAAGGGATTATTATCCTACCTTTCCCTCTATTATCGCTTAAGTATATTACAAAGCACAGACTTCTTCAATCTCAACACAATTATTTTTATTTCTGTACTCATCTTGAAATAGAACGATAATCTTAAACCTTTCTGAGTTCATATGCAGCAACATTTACTCCAGAAATTGGTTCTTGAAATACTATAACGTAACACTACGACTCAACCACATTCAGCTGATGTTGGAAGTTTGCAGCTCATGATAATGGTTCACACTTCATCTGTTCTCACTTAATCCTCATTTAGTAACTGACACCTTCTCCTCCCTTCAGTGCATTCAAACTACTTTACAGTCCACCATTTTTCTGACTACCATACCTTTTGCCCACTGAACACTGGGTCAATTATAAATTCAATCCCAAATCATTATATTTCCTTTATAACGCTAAACAACACACTTGCTTTTGCAGACCTCTAACTCCTTCACTATAGATGAGATAGTCCAGGCAATTAATGTGGGTGAAACTCCTCCACCCTCAGAAAGAAGGCAGGATTAGCAATAGAGGCTTAGAATTTTGAATTCTTGTAGCAGGCCATGCAAACTACCATATTGTCATAATCATTTATTGCCTACACCACACATCTAAAATTGAGGAAACAATCCCGCATTTTAGGATATTCAGAATGTCTACCCCATGTATGACAAATATAAAACGAGAGCTGTCAATTCCAAACAGCAGTGAAAGCTTACTGCCTGAAGTGTGTAAACAGAAGTAATTGTATCTTTTAAAATTCCCTCTGACCAGGTTTAGAAGGGAAAGCAAGTGGCTACTTTAAACATTAACATAAATAAGCAAAAAAAAAAGCAGCAAAGGAGTAACCAGTAGGAGAAATCTTCAAAGCTTCAAATCCTCTCTTCAGTTTCTCTGTAGAAACATCTAGCCTAAATGAAACATCAAATGCAAAACATCTACTTGTGAGCAGATACCAAAGGGAATACTGGTCATTTTGGTAACAGTGTATATAACACAGTTGTACATACCAGTGGCCAAGCAAAACTATCCCCATGTGTGCGCATTTAGGCAACATTTGTTTATTAAACATAAAAGTTACACCGTCTCATGTTACTCCAATCTTAGGAACATTTGAAGGCTTTGCTAGCAGTTTTGTAGAAAACAAGGGTGATTAATGCATGGTTATTTTGCCCAAGAAGAACAAGGTTATCAGTAAAGGGATCTTCAACGCCTTCTTAATAAGAGATATGAAACCTCTTGTTTAATTTTACCAGCACCTTGACCCATCCCTGCATACTGTTAGCCCTAGCAGGTTCAGGCAAACAAGAATTACAGCCAACTTTTCATACTTGTATCTTAAACATTTGGTCTTTTGGACTTCCCATTGTATAGAGATTAGAGATAATTCCTGACAAATTCAGACCCAGTTTTCATTAGCATAACACCTGTAAAGGTTCAATTCTCTGCACATCAAATGATACAAAATAAAAAGAACATTTCTGAACTGACAGTCCCAATGTTGACACATGAAAACCCCTACCAATAAGGGAACCATTTCAAAGCAGTGGATGGCCCAGTGTACAAAGACCAGTAATACTGACAGTTGTCATAAGATGAAAAGTCTGGAAACCTTTCCAAGTACAAAGAGGGAAAATGGGGGGACCAAAACCAATGCAAATAAGGGGGAGACAAGACAATAAATGAAGCAGGGTACAGGGGATAACACCACAGCCTGATGGTTTTAAAACAATCGGTCATGCTGACCTAAGTACTTTTATGCTGATATCACTATCAGGCATGTAGGCACAGCATGAAAAACATTAACAACTATGTGTGCAGTACAACTGTAGAATTCCATAACGTACTACTATTTCCTATGAATTTGAGAATGACTCACAAATCAGGATTCCTGAGCACTAGAAAAAATGCACAGAAAGGCCAAAAGTTTCATACCCTTTACACCGTTGGATTTCTTGTAATTTTAATTGCAAGGAGAAGACAGTTTTATGTTAGTTAGATCCATGAAGACTACTAGCAGCTCAAGAACACAACTGAAACATGTCATCATGTTATATTATTTATCTTCTTACTACACTTAAAGCTAAACTTGTAACAGTGGGGAAAAAAAAAGCACACAAACCCCTTTGCACTTACCTATATATATTCCATGTTGCTACTGGCAAATTAAGGAGAAAGATGAACCAGTGCAATGAAATAAGCATTAATACAGTTACAACAGCATGGCCAATCACCTCAGGGACCACCCACTGTAAAAAGGGAAGAAAAGAGTTATAAGCACAAATGTAAATTCCTTTCTGAAAAAGAGAACTACATGGCGTTATCATCTGACTCTAATATTGTAAAACTCAGACAGAAAATTCATGGTAGAAGCATGCAATTTCATCACACCGTGGGGAAATTAGTATCTTTGGACAGATTCCACACAAGTAAGCCAGAATCAGATATTATAACAGAGGTATTTCATCCAAGTATTACAAAAATGTCTAGAGAGAAGCACAGCAGCTGTTTGAACACAACTATACTACACAAGCACTTAAGAAATTGAGTTATAGAGTGTTCATTTGAAATCACTGCAGAGAAGGGTGGATTTAGGAATAAGAGAAGCAGATAATTAAAATCTGCACAGACACAGGACATACAAACACCCTCGGGCTTGGAACAGATAAGAAAGTTGATCAATATGAAAACTGGCATAGTTAAATTGGGTCAGCCCCTGACAATAACACATTTTTGGCTTGATAGTATCCTGTAGCATTCTCTCTTACATTAAGAAAGAAAATACCTTTAAATCAAAGTGAACACCCATGGGGGAATGCCACATCGATTTAATTAAATCACGTTTAAGCAGATTTGGTTAGTTTTCTTTATCATAGCAATACTGTTCAAGAAAGGTTAGAAATTAAACAGAAGCATAAGAGGAAGTTGCTATAAAGGTCTGAGAGTTCAGTCATGAGTAGACATCCTTGGTGTCCCACACCTACAAGAATGAAAGCACAGAACACAACAGCTTTGTGAAGAGTTAAGTCTCAGTCCCAGGAATTCAGATGAGCAGCCCATCTCAGAGCACCAAGGGTTGGAAGAACAGTTTTTCCTGACTGAACTTGCTGAGAGATGGCATCCGAAGCAGACATGCAGACTGAAATAAAGCATACAGGCAAAATACTGCCCACCATGGCTCTTCAGATATGTATTACACCTCTGTTACTTCTGATGCTAAGATTAAGGACTGTTTTCTTAAACCCTATTAAAATGCAAAGAAGAATAATTTACTTTATTGAGTTTCGAGCAGCATGATCTAGCATTAATGTAGTCACATTCCAAATCTGACAGTGTAATTATCTGAGGTCCAAGATAAGGAAAAATTGTATGGTAACTCAGAATACACAAAGCTTTATTTTTATCCATTAAGTTGTAGAGAGCACCTTGCTCTCAGTGGAGACTGTCTTGTTCTGCAGCTGATCTGCCAAAGGCGTATTTCAAATAGTTACAACTCATTCCTACTTCAGGAAGAAAGTTAGACCACATTTTATCATCAGGCCAAGTGGTTTTATGATGTTTTTCCAACAGCAAGTGTTGCACAAGTGCTAAAGTTCAGTTCAATACTTAAAAGAGACCAGGGAGGCAAACTCAATATTTTTCGGTATCATAATTATTACCATTAGCACTTAAAACAAGAACTTAGAAGGAAGAAAAAGTTAATGTAGTTTTTAAACTCTCCTCACAATAAAGCTAAATAGTGCAGTTTTAAGAAGTGGATCTGCTTTTTCTACATTTACAGCAACACTGAATTAATTCATACTTTGCTAGCAAATAAGAGGGTAACATCATTATCAAATGAACTTTCAGCAATTTAAATGTGAAAGTTTTCACCAGAAAAGTCCTCCCAAAAAAGGCTTAGGATGCACACGTGAACATCATCATCCAATGTCCTGTAAAGCTCATGCTCCTTTTCTCCAAGAAAAGGAAAAAGCACAAGATTTTTTCTATCCCTAAAAAATAGGTAAAGCCTTTTCATTTTTTTCAATAAATAATCTATCCTTCTAGAATGGATTTATTTCAAGCATTTCTGTACTTTCTTCTGTTAGAAGAACTGGGTAGATTCTGAAATCACACCAGGACTTGAAAAAGCATGAGAGCAAATTCTTTTATTCGTAAAAATAAGAAACCCGAATCAGTGCTTTTACATTCTAACAATGCCAGACAGCAGACTGCTGGCAAGTTTGTAACAAAGAATATGAAGACTGTGTTTATAAAGGAAATCGAAGTCTCCCAGCTACGAGTTCACATCTAAACTACAATAAGGTGTCCTTACAATTAAAGGACTACCGCGTGGCCGTATTTTCTTAGGCTCGTGTGGTTTCTGAGGGTGTGAAGTGCGCTTAGACACCCCTTTCTCTACACCAACGCCACGCACACGCAGCTTGTGCCGAGGCACGGCACGTTTCCCACAGCACCAGCCCGCAGCCCCCCGAGCTCCAGCGCTCGAAGGTGCGAACGCGTTTGGGGGACCGAATTACGACCCGTTTCCCCACAGCGAAGCACTCCCGCCTCCCCAACCCCCACCCCTGGCTCCCGGGGGCTGCCGCCCCCCGGCCAGCAGCCGTTACCCGGCCCAGGCCCTCACCGCCCGCCGCTCTCACCCCACCGACATCCCGCCGGCTTCGGCCCCGCTCGCCCGCCCTCAGCGGCGCCTCAACGGGCCCGGCCCACCTCGGTCCCGCCGGCCGCGGGCGCAGCCCCGACCCTCCCCGCCCCGGGGCGTCCCCCAGCCCCGGAGGAGAAGGATACGAAGTAGACGGAGAGGAAGATGAGGGCACAGCAGTCGATCAGCGAGAAGATGAAGACCACCGACTCCATCCCGCCGCGGCCGCCGCCCTCCCGGCCGCCGCACGCCCCGCCCCCCTGCGCGGGCGGGGCCGCGCCTCGCCCCGCCCCTCTCGGCCGCTCAGCATGCTGGGAAATGGAGTCCGCCGCGGCAGCCCCGTGGGACGCGCGGCCGGGCGGTGGTAGCCATGGCGTATCCTGCTTCTCATGTGGGTGCTGGGATGCCGGGCGTTTCACGCAGCCCCGGCCGGGGAGGACATAGTCTGAGCGGCCCGGCGAGCCGGAGGCGGGAGCGCACCCAGAGCGGGATTCCGCTGCTGGGCTAGTCTGCCGGTACAGGCGGGCCGTTCGGAGGGGGCCTGCGGCAGCGCGGCTGAGGCGCCCAGGTGCTGCCTGCGCACAATTCCCGCCTTCCCGGCAGCTGCCGGCCGCCCGCCCGGCTCAGGCGAAGCGGTCGGGCAGCCCCAGTGCCGGCGGGCAGGGCCTGGGCCGGGCGGGGCAGCGGACAGCCATGCGGGTCCGGGCCGGGCGCTGCGTGGACCCGCGGCTGAAGCAGCGCGTTAAACAGGTACCGGCCGTGGGCAGCCCGGCGGCTCGGCCCCCGCGGGGCGGCAGGCGGCGGGGGGGGGTCCCGGCGGGGGTCGCCTGTCCCCCTGCGCGCTGCAGGGAGCTTTGAGCATCCGGCCTGCCCGGGGGCGGGGGGGAAAGTTAGCGGGCGCCGGGGCCCGGCCTTGGCTCCCAACGGCTGTAAAAGGGCATTTAAAAAAGTATTTTATTTTTATTTTTTTTAAAAAAAGCTTACTTTATATTTGTTCGATTTGTTTTTTCCATTCTCTTCAGCACTTATGGTCCTGAAGCTGGCAGGTGTTTCAAGTATGAAATGAGTAGTTAAAGAAAAAATGCCTCACTCTGGGTAGACACAGGCCCATTAGAAGTGTTTTCACTTAGAAACGTGTACATCGATTATATTGAATGAAGAAAGGGAGAAAATGTTGCTATTCCCGTAATGTACATGTGAAGAGTGGGGAGGACAGTGATTCCTTCAGGTGGCATACTGCTGTGTTTATATTTTATGAATATTTATGGAAACTTTGCAAATTAAACCATTTTCCTGTGTGTAAATGTACTCTGTTACTAATTCCTTAGAATGTGAGCAGCTGGTTGAGGAGCTTAATTATTTTCCTTTGCAAAGATTTCAGTATCTATGTCATGACTATTCTGAAACGAAAGAGCGAGAGGGATTTATGGTAGATTGCTATTTTCTGTAAGTCAGTAGGTACACATGAGTGATGTGATGTGTAATATTATTACTTGAAAAGCAATTGTTTTCAATTTTAAGCAATTTGATTGATTTAAATAGAGAGATTAATTTCAATGAGATCTTGAAATTTTCCTTGCTGTGACATTTGTGATACCGTGACTTTTAGGGAGATTCTCTATATTCTTTTTATTTTTTTGAGAAGGAATCCATCCTTACAGTATTGAAACCTCCTTCTCACTCCTAATTTGGAGAGTGAGAGAAGAAAGCAAATGGGGCACAGTTGTTACATGAAATTTAGTACGTTTTCTTGCGCTTTCATAACTGTGGTTTGAAAATGGGTTGGATCAGTTGCTGTCGGGGGAAAAAAAAAAAAAAAAGGCTTGATAGAATTCACTTTCATTTATATACGTTTCCATAGTATTATTTAAAACACCTTGCAAAGATTAAAGGTCTTATTATGATATTATCCATACTAATTGATGTAGATTTTTTCATTTTTAAGGTAGGAGATCTAAAACAAAAGATTAACTGAGAGAAACCAAGAACATTAGAAGGACTGACAAGAAGATGGTGTGTGGGTTACACATCATCTTTCTTACTAAATGAAAACAATGGAGTTGCACCTGCAGAAGTCACCGAAGCACGAAAATACAGTGTGCTGCTTTTCCCTGGGTAACGTAGCTAGCTAATTCTCTGTGTCTTAAGAAGCATTTTCCATTTCATTGGTGCCTCAGTGACTTCTGCAGGTTCCCATTTCATGGGGGAATGCTGTCTAGTGTGTTCCAAGGCAGTTCAAAGCTGTTTCTGATTTTCATTTTGACTTATAAGAAGAGTAGAGTTTGAAATAGGCATATTTGCTCTAACTGTTCTGCTAAAGTGATTGACAAAGATTTTATTTGCCACTTAAAACGCTTCATTTCAGTATCTTGCAAGTAGTAAATGTGGCCAGTATGTTGACACTGGAGTTCTTGCATCTGATTTGCAGAAAACCTACAGGTGAGCAAAGATTTGTATTCTTATATTCTACATGCAAAATATGGAATGTATTATCTTGTTATTTTGCATTTCTGTACTTTTAATAAAAATTTTAATTTTCTTTGTTAACTTCATTACCAGTTGTTGAGGTTGATTGAAACAGTAAGATCATGGCCACTCCAGTGTTTTCCTCTGCTGATGTATATAGTAACTCAAATTTTATTAATGCATTGGCACTGCAAGATCTAGTTGCGGTTTGTTTTTGTGTGTTCCTATTTTTATTTTAATTAAACAGTTACACATGCATTACAGCATGTTGATCCTCACCCCAGTGAACTTAAAATATGAGGAAAAATATCACTTCAGTGCAGGCAGATGGAGAGATACAGCATTCAATAAGACACCAAATCTTGCTCAATTGCCCAGCAGGACAGTCAGTCTTGCCTAATTATTTTTATTTTTTATGCTTTTCTGGGTGGGGAGCAAGGTTCTGTTTCAGCAGATCATTGGTGGGTGTGAGGGTTAATGAAGGTGAAGTATATTCATTTGTGGTTTCATATTCTATTTATTTGTGCTTTGTTAGAGAAAGGGAGCCAAAACTCTTGCTTAGGATGCTTGCAGGTCTTGGGTTTTTGTTTTGATTTTCCTCTGCCAGCTATTGTATAAAAACAAATAAAGTACACCCTCAGGAAGTGAAGGTAAAGGATTGATTAGTTTTGTTTGCATTTAAGGCTGCTCATTGAATCAGATTTTCTCACAGTGACCGTTATTAATTAGCACAGTTATTCCTCTCTGGACTGTCCTTTCTAGACCGTAGTCCTGTGTCCCTATGTTCTTGTTTTAATTGAAATTCAAAAATAGATAGTATTATGAAATGGAATCCAGTGTGCTTATTCATACATTGCTGCTTTTCTATATCGGCAGTTAAAGAGGACCGTAATAATTTTTATTAAACATCCCTTTAGAAACCAGTATAGTTCAGTGATTTTGTCTCATCCCAGTGATTGAGCTGTTCCAGGTTTAAGAAAAAAGTCATGTTTTCACATAGTTGTTTTTTAATAAGAACTTGTGTAGAAGCTTACAATGTATTTTTTCCACTGAGAATGACAATATGTTGAGGGAAGAAAGCAGTTGGTGTAACCTGTTCATTTTGTTTTGTTTTTTTTTTCAGTGCAGAATATGGACGAAGAAAAAGAAATGCTTTTAGAATACAAGTTGAAAAAGGTAGTTCTGTTAGTATTATGTCCAAGATGCCAAATTCTTTGATTATACTTTGGCTGTTTTCTTACCATGCTTGAACTTTTTCTTTCAGTATTTGGAATAATCAGTAATGAAAAAGAACGTGAAGATTTAGCAGCTTTAGAAGCCGAACATGTGGCAAAAAGAGCAAGACAACAAGAGAAAAATGAGTAAGAAGAATTTTTACGATTACTTCAATGATGCCATTAGTATTATAATTTCATTAATGCTTTCTGTCTTCATATTATTAAATTTTGGTAGTTTCAAGGTTACAGACCATTGATTACCCATAGGCTTGTTTTGATCAGAATAATGGAAGCACTTTTGTCACTGAAGACAGGCAGATACTAGAGCCAACCATTATTTTTCTGTCACAAGGAACATACAGCCCTTAATTAGTGGATATCCTCGGGGCTTCCTTGATAGTTTTCCACATAAGGCCCCAGTCCTCATGTGATTCAGTTCCTTTGGTTTTGTTTTGTTCTTAATTTTTCTTGGGTGTGAGGGATGTTAGCTAAATCTGAGCAGTAAGACTACAAAACAGGCTATTCATAGTAAATACCACTGGGTATGAGATTGGAATTAAGATTTTCTGACTTCTAACCCTGTGGTAGTCTCACAGACCGTTCTGGCTTCTCTTACCTGTGATAGATATTAAGGGTCTCCTGGGAAATTAGGATATTGTTGTCAGAAGGACTAGTCTAGCTCAGCAGTGATTTGCTACTACTTCTCTTATGCCAGCTTTGGTGAGTGTGTGGTCTCGGTGAACTGAATCAGATTCATCCTACATCACTTTTCTTAGGACTTTCAGCCAGGTTGCCAAGTTGATCCAACTCATTGCAGACTTGGAAAGGATTCATTCTTTTAACTCTTCATGTTAGTAAATATAGAGCATTTGAGTCAGGAATTTTTCTCCAGTCTTAGGCTACATATCATGGTTGTGGGGAACAACATTGTGGAAATTGCATTTGTTTTGATTGTGGGTGTCTCACAGTTCCTCTCTAATACATTAATAGTTTTTGTCTTCCTTCCATGTGAAGGACTTCAGCAAGTGCCACAGATGACTCTGATTATGATGATTATCCAGAAGATCTAGTAAGTTGTATTTTATTATGATTCTATTTGCATAACACATGATTCTGTGCTGTGAAATTGCAATGCAGTTGAAGAGTTTAAAAGTGGAGGTGACGCTGTGGTATAGTGAGAATTGGCAATTCCAGTTGAGAATCTATAGAGCCTAAAGGGGGCTATTTTCTGAAGAAAAATTAGGACTCTGTGGTGGGGAATCACTTTTGAGGAAAGCACACTGAGGGCGTGAAAGACGTGGCTATCGAATGAAATGATTGAAGGAACTGACATATCCCAACTATTACTAAAAGAGGTGACTGTCAATTAACAGGGATCATTTCAGGGTAAATTGAAAAGGCTGCTGCCTCTTTAACCAGCAGATGTAGTATTATATGCAGTCGTTTGATTTGGGGAGGAGTGGATTAAAAGATGCATGACTCTTTTCTCCAGCAGGGATAATTCTAAATGGTGTTTATGAAATAGCTTTCATTGGCCTCCTAACATAAATAATTCAAGTTTTAACCTGTATATTTTTTTTTTAAATACATGAATTGACAGTCTACAAATCACATGAACAGTTCCCTGCTGAGTTTATACAAGAAAGGAAATCCTGATTCTGTTCCAACCACTCCAAAAAATGAACCAGTGGAAACCCTTCCTCCTATGCGAGCAGCACCTCAAACAAGCACCCTCTCACCAGGAATGCGAGTTGAAACACGCATCTCTCAAGGTGGCTGGTTCATTGATAAAACTCCATGTGGAAAGGATTTTTTCATTGACCTTTCTGAGGATGGAGAAGGAAGTGAAAAGAAACTGATTTCTGAGGTATTGTGTTTTACAAACCCAATGTGATTTTAAGTAGCAAGTATGAATATAATTTGCTGTGTAATTTGACAGGCTTTTGAAGGGTGATTCTGTGCCCATACTGAGAGAAAGATAAGTGGAACTTAGCTATTTTTTATTCCACTTGCCAGTGACCAGCCTATCTAGTCAGGAAGCATGTGGTCTCCCTTAGCCAATGGTTAAGTCTTAGTGAGCCTGGGGAAAGCTGAAGTTTTTTGGGTGGACAAAAGTTGGGGAAGTTGAAAGGAAATTGCATTGATTTATAAAGCAGTTAAAAATAGGTCATGCTCCCCATACAGACATATTGCCCATCTTGTGATCACCTCGTTCCCCCCCTGCCCCATTTTTTTTTTTCTTATTTAGAAAAAACAACTTTGTTTAGCTATTGAAAGCTTTCCATTTATCTGTGGGCGATAACATTTATGTTGTTTGGCTGACCAGACATTTTGTCAGGATGGTGTTTTTTTACATGAAGGAAGAATTACATTTACATCTACCTTTCTAATTGCACAAAATACTTACTAAATAGGGAGGTTTGAGAAGTCATCCCTTTATTCTACTAGTTCTGCATCCTCTTATATAGAGAAATTGAATAAAAGGCAGGTCTTCAAATGGTAGAATGTTTGCAATACTGTATTCTAAAAACAAAAAACCAAAACAAAACAAATTTTCATCCTTGAGCTTTCATCCTTGAACCTCTTTTTATTTTTTTTTTCCTGTATCAGTCCTTTTCTTACATGCAGTTAACTTTTGTCAGCACTGAATAATATGTTCTTACAGCCACTCATGACTTACTAGTAATAAAAATTGTTTCCATTGACGTAAATGCATTCATACAGTTTTATTCATCCCCAAAGTTAACTGCTCTATAGTATGCAAATAACTGGTGTCTGATTTTGGTTAGGGTTGGGGGGGGTGGGTTTAGGGTATTTTTTGCTTATAAGTATGTCCTCTTTGCAAAAAGCGATTGGTGTAATTAACCCTTTAAAAAAAAGATCATTACTAAGTAAAAAAAGTATTTTCTATGAATTAAGGTTCAATTCCTGCATTGCTTGTCTTTATTCCTATAATATGTGTAAGTTAAGCATTATAGACAGACATTTTATTCTTTTAAGTATTTGAAGAAATTCACTGACTTGGAAGGTTTTGTATATATAATTCTGGTTTTATGCCCTAGAAATCCACAGAACTTTCTGTCTTGGAGAGTAAAAGAAAGAAGACCAAGGGTAAGAGAGCAAAAAGAAAAAAAGAATTTCCAGATGTAGATGGGGAAATTGATTCCATCTTACTTAAAGAGAAAGGTGAGAAGTTGGTTTTGGTGTGCTGCTCCAAACAAAGAGATGGTATTTGACCATGGAAGTTGTTACCAGAGAAGTGTTTTCTGAGGTGCAGAGAAGTGACCTTGAGCAGTTTTTTAAGAAATTTAGCCTTAATGTTGTACTAAAAAAAATATTCTGGTCCTGTGTCTACTACCAAAACATAATTCTACTCCATGTACTTAGCTAATTGCTTAGGCTGAGTACTCTTTTGTTTGGTGTTAGCAACTACTATTATGCCATGTCTAAGTTTGCATGACTTTTTCTTCTTAACAGTTAGAAGTAAGGGACCAGATCTTTACCACCCTTCAGTGAAGTTTGAGGATGTAGGAGGCAATGATGAAACTTTAAAGGTTAGTTAAAATTTTATTTGTGGGATACAGAATGCACTGAATAAAATGTTGCATGAAAAGTGACAAAGAAGAAATCTCTCAGAATTCATCTCCATGGTACTAAGAATAGCTGCTTATACCAACAGCGACAAAGTTTGGGTTTATTTTTTCCTTTGATTAGTCTTTCTGGAAGCAGTCACTGAAATTACATTAATAAACAGAACTTGCTTTATTTTGGCCTGTCTATAATATTAGCAATCTATAATACTAACTTCTGCAATTTAAATGGAGGTGTCTCTTGTTCCTGACAGGAAATATGCAAGATGCTCATTCATGTCCATCATCCTGAAGTCTATAACCACTTAGGTGTTGTTCCACCTCGTGGTTTTCTTTTACATGGACCACCAGGATGTGGAAAGACACTACTGGCACAGGCAATTGCTGGGGTGAGATAGCTTTAAATTTACAGTTTCTTCTTTTTCTGAATTATATTTAGAGAGAAAAAAAAATAATTCTCCTTCATGATACACTAGATCTTTCCTCTTTTTTTAATCTCTTTTCTCTCCTTCCTATCTTAGTTGAAAATACATTCATCTTTACTTCCTTTGTTTAAATTCCATCTGAATCTGTACTTGCTAGAACCTCATATGAAGAGAAGGGACATAGTGGCAGGGTTTTATGTTTGATTATTGTTTTGAGGCATTCCCAGGACAATAGAATACGCATGGGTATTGAGAATATACTTTTGGTTAGATTTACCATTGTGTTTTAAGTCTGAACTCAACCTTGCAATCTTTTATGAGGCATTTTTTTCAGTTATTTCGTAATATACGTTGAAACAATGATTTCTGAATTCCAAAAGTGGTTGTTGCCTTGCTTGTGTCAAACTAATGATTTCAGAGCATATGACATTATTGTTATTAATAGTTTGATGTGCAGTGAGGCTGCTGTGCTTCCTTCTGCCTGTTTTGGGTTTAAATCTAGGGGTTATTTAGGGCTATTAAGTGATACCTATGGACATTTATTTTCTTTATTAAAGTTGTTCCTTAAATGTCATAAATTATAACCTTGAAGTTAGATACATGTAAATTATTAACCTTTGTAGTGCAGATTTTATCTTTGAAAGAAAATACTGATGTTTATTCCTTAAATGTTAGACCATTTTAATATTATGTTTCAGATGTTTTAATTAAAAATATTTGGGTGTTTTCATTTTAATGCCTTCCTGTAAAAAGGTACCCAGTGAATGAATCTGTGATATTTAATACTTCAGTGGATACTTGTATCCTGGAAGGATATTAAATTTGGGGAGAGAAATATGACACAAGTGAAAAATTTTCAGAGATGAGATAAATTTAATGACGACTACTTTAAATAATTTTTCTTAAATAAGAGATTTTTCAGTAGTGCTATTTAAGGCAAATTATCTCCTTCAGGTTCCAGGTAGTGCCTCTGGTGGCCTTGATTTATGTAAATTTGGATATTTTTTTTTTATGTAGTTCAAAGAGCTTGAAATAGGCTGCAACTACTAGTGTAGCACAGTAGTGCTACAGTCTATCAAAATTACAATTTTATTTATTTATTTTTAATACCAAAAACCTTGAGTGTGAGCTTTACAAGTATCTTGCTGTGCAGTACCATTGAGGTATTCCTGGAGCAAGATTAAGGGAACCAAACGTGGTGGGGACATCTTCCACACTGCTAAGCAATGCTTTGTAACAGATGGAAATAAACACAGTTCTCAAGAAGGGAGCCCAAGTGTGAACTGAAATGTGTGTGTCATGAAGGATTGGGTTGGGGACCAAGGTGCAAAACTATTTGATAGTGCAGCCATTCTCTAACTGAATTAGGGAAACCTGTTTTTTGTATCCATTTCTGTTCACTTGGCCAAATAGCTCAAACCCATAAATTGGAGGATGCTACTCATCTCTTTTAAAAGCTCTTTAAGATTTAGTCATGATTACATAATATTTTGCTGTAAAAGATGTTGTATTGAAAAATATTTTTTCTCTAGGACAGCCAGAATTTCTAACCTCTGGATATATCACTCAATATTCCTTGTCTCTTTCAGGAACTTGAGCTCCCAATGCTGAAAGTGGCAGCAACAGAGATGGTGTCTGGAGTGTCGGGAGAATCTGAACAGAAACTGAGAGAATTGTTTGAGCAGGCTGTGGTGAGACACCCATTGGAAATAACACTGAATTGTTTGTCCTTTTCTTTGTAAAGATTCATACTTTATTGCTGTGGTTTGAATTTGAGTGCGTATTAGTGAGTGAATCTTTATACTGCTGCACACAAGTCATAGTGTCTCCTCTTCTGTGACTAGAATTCCTTTGTGCTGTCATAGAGGACAAAGATTCTGACTATTCTGAAATCTTGATTAAAGATACTTCATCATCTCAATGTAAAGAGAGCAACATAAATTATTTACATATTTGAAGCCGTTTGGCTTGATACATAAAAATAAAAAATATGTAAGAGCAGTTCACTGTGCTTTTTTGTGCTTACAAGGTCTTTTTGCTGGTTTTGTATACCTTGGAATTTGAATGAAAGTGAGAGACTTAAAACTTCGGGGGTTTTGGTACAAAGTAATAAATTTGGGACAAATATACAAGTAGTAGTCAGGTTACAGTTGAAGTCTTGCTTTTGTGTGACTTCCAGACTTAGGAAGAAGTGAAGAAAACCAGACAGGTTGAGATAATTTGAATTTAATCAAATGCAGATTTTTCTTTTTTCAGTATGTGGTTAATGTTTTTTTTTTTTTTAGTGAGGACAGTTTTCTGTGCCTGACCTTTAAGAATGTCCTGATTTTCCAACTTTATTCCATTTTTATACTCCCCCACAGCTGCATATAGGTGTTAAGAGTATATTCCTGTAAAAAGGATCGCTAAATGACAAACAGATTGATTGTGAAGCTGCTAGATTATTATGTTTCCAGTTCTTACTACATTTCAATTTTTAGAAAGCCTTGTTAAGATGTTGCTTAGAATAAAATTAAATAAGTGATTGCCCAGAGTTTTTAGAAATTACGTACCTTTTGTATGTATAGTGATTGTGGGGAGATTGTTGTAGAAGTTATTTTTGAATTAAATGTATTCCATAAAATTGGTTGCCTTTCTTATAATCCCTCACACTCACTTAAGTAGCCTTTTCACTGAGTTTTTCTACTAATTTTTGTGCAGAGAATGAAGACATTGTTCCACATTATGCATGTGCTGTGGAAACTTCATAGCTTAGTTGCATTTTTCCCCCTCTGTCAGGTAGCAGAAAAGTCAACAACTAGATGGCGCAGTTGCTATCCGAGAACACAGAATGCATGGGATGTAAAATACTATTTTTTCATATGGGACATTTTTGAAGGCCATTCTAATGTTTTCCTTAAGTATTTCTTTGCCTTACTGTGGCTTTTTGAGCATATTAATAATCTTATGTCAATTAAACACTATTCTATTAGTTACATGAATGATTGTTCTCAATTAGTGTTGGCTTTTTATGAACATGAAGCACATGGAATTTTAGAACACTTGTAAGAATTGCTCATTGCTCGTTTTTATTCTTTGAACATGGTCAGGCTCTGTAGTAATCATGAAGTTGGCAAATCATTTTTCGTGACCACCTGCTGCTCCTTTTGTTGCGTTCAGTAATAGTGGCTCTTGAAATTTCACAGCTCTAGTGTCACTAACAAAACAAAAAATTACATCAGACCTTTGTCTGATTTTCTTTTTTTGGACTTAAGCAAGTAAGCAATCACAATGGAATATTTATGGAAAACATAAAGCAATGTAAAGGTAGATTCAAATTTTAAACAATATATATAGACATTTTGAACCTCATGCCTTACTTATTTCATAGCCTCAGCTTATCACAGTTTTACAGTCTGGTGACTCTCCAGATAGTCAATAAGAATAACAGAGTTGTACTGGGACAGGTTGATTGTGCAGCAGACTTAGAGTAATAATTATAGAACAGAAAATCTGAAAAAATATTTCTTGTAATACACTATGTCAGTGTAATTTTCTAATTATTAATATTTCTTGTTCCTAGTCCAGTGCACCATGTGTCCTTTTCATTGACGAGATTGATGCAATCACCCCCAAAAGAGAAGTTGCATCGAAGGACATGGAGCGGAGAATTGTTGCTCAATTCCTGACTTGTATGGATGGTCAGTACTAAGCTAAACTGTGTAATTATCAGTCTCGCTCTCTGCTTTCCTTCAGCAGTGACTCATGGTTACTTTAATGGAGATAGTGGTAATAATTTTTCATATTTTGGCACAGTTTACTTGGGGGGTGGTGGGAAGATTCTAACAAATTTGAGGGGATATTATTTTCACTCTGGTCTGTACAGCATTATATAAGCCAGTCTGTTGTATAAACAGATATCATGGGAAAATATGTCTGATGTCATTTGAAATGCTTAGTTTTGCTTGATTGTTCAAAATGCAAATGCTATGTAGTAGAAATAAGGATAAACAGTTCAGTATGACTGGTTAGTTTTTCTCTGTTGTTCTGAGTATTACTGTGTGCTGCAGAAACAGTGTCCCATAGATATCAGAACACAGTTGAGATGATGAGTATGAGTACTAACTTCCTTCCTTCCTTCCTTCCTTCCTTCCTTCCTTTAGACTTGAATAATGTGGCTGCCACTACCCAGGTCCTTGTTATCGGAGCAACTAACAGACCTGACTCACTGGACCCTGCACTGAGGCGAGCTGGGAGATTTGATCGAGAAATTTGTTTAGGGATCCCAGATGAAGCAGCAAGAGAAAAGTATGTGTTATAAAGCTTAAGCTTCTTTTTGATTAATTAATAAATAAGGAAATAATGTGTAAGTTAACATACAAATTAAGGAAAAGTACTTTATTGTGCTTAGTCCTATTTGTGCTGGTACACACCTGTGGATCACCACACGCTGAAAAGTGTAGAAGGCATTAAGTGTGCATCTACTGTTTGTCTTGATAGCTCTGTCTACATTTGAGGTGGTTTCCTTCCTTGTGTGCAAGTCTGCTTTTAGAATTATGTTAATGGGTTTTCAAGTGCCTTAACAGTATAGATGATGGAATTAAATATATCTTTTCTGTTATTCAGTAAGTTCTGTCTTTGGTGCTCCCTGTGTATCCATTAATTTAGGAACTTAAATTAAGTATAGCCTGTTTGTTAGTCCTCTCAACCACATACCTTAAGCAACAGGCCTAGATTCTTTCATTCCTTGTGGAAATATACCAGTGCAGGCATTAAGCTGAACTGCAGTCATCCTGTTTTGTGTAACTGGCCCTTTTTACTCGAAAGATCTATGACCATCAGACTAGATTTAAAGAAAAAAAAAAATTTGCTTTTTTAATTAAAAAGGAGCTGCTACTCAATTCCACAGCAACAGAAAACACAGGAAGGGAAGTGTGAAAACAGCTGTGGCTTATCTTGTTACAAGAAGGAAAGAAAGGTTGAAGGATAAGTTTCTTCTAGCTCAACTTATCATATTTCTATGTTGAAAAGGCAAACTATTTTGCTTGCAGTATTGCTCACTTCGTGTTGACATCGCTACTGGCCATTATTCCACCCTTTTGCCCCGCCCCAGCCATGCCTCCACTTTTTTTTCTTTTCTTCTTCCTCCAGATCTGCAGCCCTGTAGTAATTATGTTCAGGAAGAAAAACAGTATATGTAGAACACAAATTTGGAATGAGCCATTTATAGTTCTTAACTTTTATAAGTTGAATCACTTGATTAGCTACAACTGTTGTCAGATTGGAAAATTCTTGAGAACCAAACTAGTATCACTAATAAAGATTTAAATCAGAAATTATGGTAGTTGGGAGGGCAAACATATGTAAGGTATTATAATTTCAGAGTTTTTAATATTTTAATAACGTGTTATTTTTATAACATTTTTTGTAATTACATTACTTGATCTGGAAATAATTTAAATCCATTTTCATTGGAATTTAAATGTACGTTAATGATTTTCACTTCTTTTGGTTTGTGCTGCCTTTTTAAAATATTTTCCCACTGAAGGGATGTTTTGCTGTTTTAAAGAAGTTGATTTGATCTCTCTGAGCAGAGTTGTTCAGCACCAGTATTTGTGCAGTGACATTGGCTTTTGTCATCCTTTTTTTGTCTTCTTTTTACTAGTCATGTAGTTTTCAGTTGTCCTTGGCTTAGAAGAACAGCAGGAAGTCTTGGTAGACCTTGAAAGAGGTTTTTAAAGCTTCAGCCTTGATACAGAATGAAAAAACTCCCATTTTAAAAAAAAGGTGTTAAGCATAGCACTTCACTGTCAGTTACACAGAGCTGTTTCGTGTTAGTGATGGAACTGCATAGGTAGGTGTAACTTTAACTTTTGAATGAGGATGAGGTAACCCGAGGTGTACATGTAAGCGGTGTGTTGCCTATTAGAAATGTTACTGGGGATGCAGGAAATACCTGCAGTTGTATTCCACCGACAGTGGTAAGGGGAAGATATTGAAGATTAAAAGACAGAGCTCCTCACACAGTCTGATTTCATTTGCTCCTTGCAGAATAGTTTGTTGTGGATATTCTTCAACAAAAAAATTAAAGTGGGATGGAACACTCTTTCATGTGGACTGAAAGAGACCTTAAATCAGTGCTGTTTGTTTTCATATGAAAACAAAAAAAAAGCCACCGCTTCATCTTTATTTTCTTGTTCTTTTTCTATGTACTTGATAAGAATTCTTCGGACTTTATGTCGAAAACTTAAGCTCCCAGAGTCCTTTGAATTTCATCATTTAGCACGGCTGACTCCAGGTTACGTAGGTGCTGATCTGATGGCACTTTGTCGTGAGGCAGCTATGTGCACAGTGAACAGGGTCCTGATAAAATCTGAGAAGCAGAAAAAGAAACACATACACACTGGAGGAAACACAGCTGAAGAAGGCATCATAGCAACAGACATCCTGGTGGAAGAGGATGGCAAACAACTAGAACTTCCTCCTAAGGTATTTGTTCCTTGAAGCATGTACCTCTAATATCTTAACAATATTATCTTGAGCTATTTTATAGTTGTGAAAGTTGTTGCTCATAAATCCTTAAACACCTATGACCAACATATTATTAAATTTAGAATTATAAATATCAGTTCCTAAGCCAGAAGCTAACTCCTAATGACTCATAAAATGTGTCTGAATAAATGGTTCCCCAAACCCCCACCTTCTAAAAATAGTGCTAACGTTTTATACAAAGTGTTTTTTTAGCTTGTTTTCTTTTGTTGTTGTTTGTGCTGTGTTGTTTTCTAGCAGGCCATAGGTTGAAATAGTGGATATAGCTCTCTTCAAAAGTCTGTTGACTGTAAGAGAATTGTAATAATATCACTTGCACTGAGTTTTCACCAAGCTGTTTGCTGTGCCCTCAGTGAAATATTTATTATGATACCTGGGGCTCTTCCCTGATCTGGTGTAGTTACAGTTAGCTGGAGTCTAGAAGCATTTATGCAGTCTACATTTTCCCTCCAGCTACGTGATTACTTGGGGTAAATTGCATGTTGTATCTAGTACCTACAGCAAGTTTGAGAAAGAGGTATCCATCTGGCAGAAAAATTGGGTTAGCAGTGAGACTTGAGCTGCAGAGAAAGTATCTGTTAATGTGCAGTACATCTGGAACTCTGTTGCAGAAAATAGCATTTCCAGTTCCAGAATTATTCTGTGGCCCAAGTAACATGCTGTGGTCAGTGAACTAGAACATCCTTATATAGAATTCTTGGCCCTACTTCTGAAAATTTGGAGTGTGTATGTGCCTTCACTATGTGTAGGATTCCTAAAGATTTTCCTGGAGAAATAAAACGAAGTGGTTTTAAATCTACATTGTACTTCAATTCTGGTTTTGGAAAGACTGTCAAAGAAAATTGTTACTGTAAAAAACATTGTACAAAGTGTAGTAAGCCTTAGTATTAGAGTAACATAACCGTACTGCATACCTCCCTGTGTTTCCTGGGGCCCAATGTAGCCAAAAGAAAGTGGGGAGGGGCAGGTAGTTGCAGCTTTTATCAACATCGCCATGATCAAAGGGGTTATTGAGGATGAGGAAGTCTAATCCTAACAGAGCCATATTTTGATAGCTGGCAGGAGGCTGACATAGTCTAATACAGGGTATTGTCACTAAAACCGTTATATTATGTTTATAATGGAAACATAAACATACAAAACCTTTAAAAATCATTCACACAATTCAACTAAACAAACCCAGTGGTCTTGGCTATTTCAGAGTTTCTCTTAATGGTTCTGTTAAGAAGAGGAGGGAGGACTTAAAAGGAATATTGGGCACTATAAACACTTCTGCTATCTTAGTTGCAACAAATAAGAAGTGATACTTTTCTCATATACTGGTGTAGGAAAAATGTGGAAACTTAATGGAGTTTTTACTTTTTTTTTAACCCCTCTTTTTTATAATGAAAATCCTGGTATAGTTTTATTTGTGGTGCAGTATCAGTTTGTTTTGATACTGCCTTTCCATATTAGAACTGGGATGTATTTATGTTGTGAATGTATAAAGTTCTTTGATCAACTACTTTCTCAGATAATTTTCCCCAATCAGGAACTGATTGGGGAAATTGGAACATACCTGCCTGGGGTGCTGTGGTCTGCAAGATGGGACAGTGTTGAAAAGCATTCCCCTGTATCTCTGTTCTGTTTGCCCGAACTTCATCAGGGCCTGGTTTCAAAACCAGGTCTGATCAGCCTGAGGACATGAGTTGGTGATTTGAAATCATCACATAAAAGTGTAGAATCTAAAAGTGAGTGTGTGTGTTTTAAGAATTTTAAAGGTTTATATGCAACTGAATATTCTGCGAAGTGTTGAAATTGTGCTGTTCGGCAGAGTTGTTCACTTTCTCTTGAGAGCACTTCCTTATTAAAAGCAGAATTAATACATATTTTGGAAATTTCGGCATGGATAAAGCTTTCTCCAAATCACTGTGGGAGAAGCAGTAGGAAGAATTTGAAGACAAAATACATGTGCTAGCTCTGTTTCTGAAATATCTGAATCAAGACTGTACTCAGTCAGCTTAGTGCTTTCACAAGTGTTAAATGTACATAGTGCTTTCCTGAAACATTTTTATTGTTAATGTTAATTTTTAATGTCATTTTACATATTTTATGTATTGTACATAATAATTTGTTTTATAGTAATATTACAGTTGAAGACAGTATTGCTTTGAAAAATCCCTAAAAAAAAATGGTTCTTAAAATCTAATCCAGTGCATAATGTTTTGGTCTCCCTTTCCATGTACCCTAAGGATGAATTGCAGAGACTTTTGGATTTGCTGAAGAAGCAAGACCCCTTGCCTGAGGACCAGCTGCAGAAGCTGTGCATTGAGATGAATGATTTTATTGTTGCACTGTCATCAGTGCAACCCTCTGCCAAGAGAGAAGGCTTTGTCACGATTCCTGATGTGACATGGGCAGATATCGGAGCCCTGGAGGATGTTCGGGAGGAGCTGACTATGGCAATATTGGTATGTCTTAATCTCACTTTCAGAGAGTTTTTGCACTTCCCCCTGTGCAAGAAATAAAACTATGCTTGTTTGTTTTTTATTTAAGGTACAATGTGTTGCCCATGCATTCTAACAAGCTACAAACTAGAAATTTGCAACATCTTCATTGAAAACAGTCAGACTTCTATAAGTTACTTTCAGATTTGTTACAAGTCTGGTGCATGCATTTAACGCTTCACTTACTCGTGCTTTTAGTTTTCAGTATGTTCATTATTGCTGAATCTTAAGTATTCTACAAGTTTTGTACCAATAACCTTAGTTACACAACTGCAATACAAAGAATTGGAGACTGTTTAGCTGGAAGGTTAGCAGTCTCGCTGCCGGTCTGAGGGATACTTAACACTAACACCTTAAGATGAGAACTTGGGTAAATAACATCTGCTTCTGTATAATGATACTTGTTCTGTTTTGGGGTAGACCATAAGATGCTGATCGATTGTTTATTCTTTTAGCCTATAAAGAATTGGACTAAAGAACTCACTTATCAATGATTTTTTCATCCAACTGTAACTGAAATGAAAAGTTTTTTGTCACAGATAACTATGATGATTTTTTTCTATAGGCACCTGTGCGAAACCCAGAGCAGTTTAAAGCTCTAGGCCTGACTACTCCAGCTGGTGTCCTGCTTGCAGGACCTCCTGGGTGTGGCAAAACACTGTTAGCTAAGGTAATACATCTTCTAAATATGTTTAAAAATACTGGAGAATCTTCTTGAGGTGGATGTTTTTGTAGGAATGACTGAGTCTGGATGATACTGCCAGAAGTTGGGCTTTTGTACCACTTCTTATCAGAAAATTAAATTTGGGCCTCTGTGCTAAAGTTACTTGTTTTTCTTGTCGTAAAGTTACAATTTTTCTTGAATTGAGAGGGGATTACTGCAAAATTTGAGGGAATTAAGTTGGTGAAGAAGAAAATGGCAAAGGTGGGAAGAAACTGTTAAACAACCACTTCTATGGAATATTTCACTATAACAAAATTGTATCTTTGGAAGTAGTTTACACTCTGTGTTTTTATTTATTATATTTACCTTCCTGAAAATACTTCTCTTTTCCGTCTTGAGCATTTCAGTTCTTATGACCTTCCCATGTAAATGTAAATAATCATGCAAGTTTCCAGATTGAAACTTATCTTTGTCTTCAAATGCTCCTATGTAGTTGAATAACTCTTTAAGTCCCACTAATTATTCAGAATTCTTCAGCTAATGTGGGGGAAGGGGTGTGTGTGTGTGTGTGTCTGGAACATTGCCTCATTAAAGAGAGAGAACACCTTGCAAAATTCCCTGTCCCCCTCCCACTTAATTGCAGATAATTATACTTTGTACTGTTCTCTGTATTTTACACACATTTGAAAATTATGTTTCTTCCCTTAAGTTTGTTTATCACTCCAAGGTCAGAACCAGAGAAAACATGAAAAAATTTGGTTTATTTATACATCTGTCTTTCCCTTTTTGATAGGCCGTGGCAAATGAGTCTGGGCTGAACTTCATATCTGTGAAAGGTCCTGAACTGCTAAATATGGTATGCACTAACCATTGTGCTTTCATCTTTTATGGGATTCTTGTCCAAAGCTTGGGGCAAGCAAAATTCCTGATAATTACACAACTGATAGTGGTGCAACTGAAATTGCCTCATTTTAACCTCTGCTTAAAGTTTATTAGCAATGAAGTTGTTCATGTGAAAAGGAAAAAGCTATATGTGTAGTTTAAGTATATATCTTGGTTTAAATTACCTGGCAGATGGAGCCTACTTTGGCCAACTACATGCATGATTGCTTTTATGTAAATCAGGAAGAAGAACAAAAATTCAGATCTACAGTGAGGACAGTTGGTGATTGGTAACTGCAAACCAGCTGCTTTCGCTAAGCAAAACAAAATTTTAAACTTTTAGGTTTGGAAATGTGTTTTGCCAGTCATTTTAGCTTCTTAGTGGAAGTTTGAAACTTTGGAAAACAATGTGTTTTTTATAGTTGATCGAAATGATTTTTAAAGATTTTTAAATGTTAACAGGTAAGTGCTGTAGTCTGAGTTTTTGAAGCACTGGACTTAGAACTGTTGTGATATAACTTTGGTCACTTTTAGAGCTAAGAGAATGTGTCGAACTGAGCAAGATGGCTGCAGCCCACATCTCAGAAGACCATGGCAGTTACCTGTTTATCAATAATGTGGAAGCTAAAGCGAAAATACTGGATTTGATTATTCTTTTCCCAAACATTTTTTCAATTGTTTGCATTTACAGTTTGGCAACCCCTGCCTGTGTAATTCACTATTCAGAGTGAAATTCTTGCTTCCTTTTCAGTTCTCTACCAACTCCTCTGTCTTCAAGCAACTACTATATGAACTTCAGATGTTCGTTGTGTTCAAAGTGCTCGTTGGTTTTGTTTATGAACAGTTGAAGAGCAACAGGGTCCTTAATAAAGATTATATTTGTTAATTTTCATCAGAGAAAGATGGCAAGTTAGATTCATTCCCCAGGAAGCAGTAATTCTATTAAACTCTGAATATACTGCCAACTCAAAAGTGTGAGCTGGTGACAACTAGTTGCCATGTAAATCTTCATCAGTCAGGAAATAAAGATAATAGACTGTTATCAGAAGTGAACTGGTTAGCAGGTTGCACTTCTCCCTCGCAAAGCACCTCAAATAGTTTTTAAAACTCTGATTTTTATTTTTTTCAAGCAAAATCTTAATGACTTACATTGTTTCACTGTGATTTGTCATTTGTTTTAGTATGTTGGTGAAAGTGAACGTGCTGTACGTCAGGTATTCCAGCGTGCCAGGAATTCAGCCCCATGTGTTATATTTTTTGATGAAGTTGATGCTTTGTGCCCTCGGAGGTCTGACCATGAGGTGAATCTGTCTTAAAATATCTCTGTAGATCAGTTCTCTCAGTTGCAGCTTTTGTGATGTTATGCTGGCAATGGAAGTACCTGGAAGGGTACTACGTTCAGTATCTATCAAGAAAAACAATCTGATAGGTTTTCCTCACATTTGAGGACAAATATGTTGGTCAACTTTTATAAAGCTTAATACTTTTTTTAGTATTCATATACAGAAAAAAAATATCTGGAGAATGTGTGTATATCCATGGACTGGGATGTGTAGATCCATAAGAAAAGATGGAGTGCAGTTTAATATCATGTTTAATTTATGGCCAAATCCTGACACCTGTATGCAACTGTTACACATGCATGAAGTATATATTTATTTGGACAGTGTGAACTGGGTCATGAAATTACTTGAGGCAAGAGCATAAGTGTAATGCATTAGACTTTAGAGGTATTCTGCCTGTGAAGTTTTCTCTGTCTTGAGTTCTGTTGTTATTTTGGAATAGGAACTGCCTACACCTAGAGAATAACTTCTGCTTTTGTTGGGGTGGTATTAGTGCAAACTGTTAGTGTGTGGAAAGGAAAGGCACTCTGTTTTTTATGCAGAGGAAGTCCATCTGTTTTATGATACTGTACTGGTGCATGTATGTTGATGACTGAAAGAAAAGATGCTTTTTTGCAACAGAGAAGTTGAGTACAGTACTGTTCAGGTATTACCACCAACAACTTTAACTGAAAGACTATTGTAGCTCCAGTCCATAGGAGAGAGAAGTTTGATCAACTGTTTCTGAATTGTAGCTTGTCTTCTGAATTTGCATACTTCACATCCTATGAAAACCAGCCAAGCTGAAAAGTTCAGACTTGACTTCTTGAATGTCCTGAGGTGGTGGTTCTCACAGAGCCATAAAAGAAGGTGTCCAGTACTAGGTGCCACAGTAGGCATGGATGGTAGCCAAAGAGGGGGAACAAGTGTGCTTTGACCTTGCTATATTTCACTTCTGTGGCAGCAGCAGCAGGCAGCAACTTGGTGCCTAGAAGCCCACCCCTGTTCTTCACAGTAGAGGCACTGTCTGGGCAGGAGACTGGTGACTTTATTACTCAGGCTGTGATACTGGTGACAATACTTGGGATTTGTAATTGAAACTCGGGGGTGTTTGGTGTTTCCATTGTTTTTTTGAGACCTATGTGCATTTTCACCACGTATTCTAACTATCCATAGGTGGATTTATATTTTTGTGTGTTTAAAATAAAACAGTAACACATAGAACAACGTTCTTCAAAATCATCAGGCAGTTTTACTGCATAATCAAGTTCTTGTTCTCCAGCTCCTGTGCTTTCTCTCTCTTTGTCTTCCTGACTAGAATGAAATTCAGATTAAGCTATTGAGTTTGGTTATAGGATGTCACTACTGTGGAGTTAAATGTTAACTCTGAGTAGCTCACCTGCTGAAACGGTTGTTTCAGAAATTTAAATATTTGGAGAATTAATTTACCACCACCCCACCCCCCAAAAAACCTGAATTTTGAGAAGTTTTGGGTGTTTTTGCTGAGGTAGATGTGAGAATGATTAGTATAAACATCTATATGTACTTCTTTAAGTGAGTCCTTCATTTTTAATGGGAAAGAAAAGGCTTGCCGCATGTTAAAATGTGTGACAAGTGTATAAGTAGCAAGAATTTGGAGTGGAAACATACTAAGAATATGGTAGTAGAAATCCAGAATGTAGCTACATTGAAAGTGTGAAAGATAAACTTTTTATTTGAGTAGTAGTTCAGTGCAAGAAACTAGTAAATCTTTCGTTTCTTTTACTTTGAAACATTCATATTCCCATTGTTTCCTAATCTTTGACAAATCTTTCCTTTTAAAGTCAGGAGCCAGTGTCCGAGTAGTTAACCAGTTACTCACAGAGATGGATGGTCTAGAGAATCGTCAGCAGGTTTTCATTATGGCTGCCACAAATAGGCCAGGTAAGGACCCAAAAATCACAAACAAGAGAAATCAGACGTCCTTGGTTCTCTTCTAATGAAATCATGTGTTCTTACATATTTGAGTTCTATAACTAACCTTATTCTGTATTTAAAATGACAATGTCTCCTCAAATCCATACTTTTTCTGATCAATTCATCTGTTCCACATTCTCGTGACTGAGAATGAAGCAACATCTTTAAAATGTGTCTTAATTAGCACCTCGTACCATTTCTGTAAAATGTCGTGAAAGACCTTTGGCTGAATTGGACTTTGGATTATCTCCTTGGAACATAAAAGAACAAAAGATAAATAAAACAGATTTTTTTTTTTTTTCTGCTTAAATTGATATTCTATCCAAAGCAATCTTCTAGTTTTCTGCTGTTTACGTTTTTTTTTTTTTGTCTTGAGGCATCTATCTCATGTTAAATCATTTTTCCATTTGCTTATCTTTTCCTTCCTGGGCTTCATGTTCGAACTCAGTTGCCTCAGCCTGAAGTTCTTCTTCTGTTCCCTTATGTTCTATCAAGCTTTCATACTGACAGCTGTCTGTGCTCTCTTGCTGGCACTTCAGTTTTTGGTAACTTTTGCAATTCCTGCAGCATCTTCTTAGTTAATAAACTGAACACTGACATCTACTTTACAACCATAATGTGTTTTACAACCAACTTTCTGCCTCTTTTTTTTGTATTATGGAGAAGTTTTGTGTTTTTATACATAGCAGTAAACTTGTCTCTTCCTGAATTTGAACTCCATCTAGAAGCTGAGAGTTAGAAGTAAAGGAATTTGTTGTCAGTATAGAAAGAAACATATGCGTGAAGATGTTACACTTCCTTGGTTATGAGCATTTTTCTGAATACTGCAAGGGAAATTAAATACAGGGTTAGTAGTCTATCTTGGTAAAACGAAGTGGGTACTGGAATTTTGGAAAGAACCTTTGTGCCTATAGCATGTGTTTGGCAAATTACTGGTAGTGACAAGACAGTTGTTTCATACTTGAATGTATTAAGTAAGGACAAGATGTAGAATTCTAATTAGAAGTGGTTTAACGGGGAAAAAAAGTAGCGTATACTTTGGATAAATTGGAAGATGAGAAAGTTAAAATACTTGACAGATTGCTTGGGTCCTATAGATTAAGGAAAATTTGGTCTGAAATCACCTAAAATAGGCAACTGTGAGGTGGTTTTGGCTCTTTCCAATGGTCAAAAACCTCAAAGATTTTGATTTTGAGGAAAATTTTCCTGCCACTAAAATTCTTTCACCATGACAGACTATCAAGCCTTCTACATGGTGAAGTGGATGCTTAAATCTATATCTGCTTGTAGAAATTCTTTTATTTAAAGTGGTAAGTGTTCCTGACATGAGCTTGATGATTCTGACCTATCTATTCCAAGGTAGAAAAGAGAATAAGGTTATACAATGTAGCACATCTATATATAGAGACAGCTGGATGTGCCCAAGGTGTTAGTACTAGTGTCAATTGCCTTAGGAGAGAGATGTCTCACTAAATTAGACACGCTAGTGCAAGTATTTATATCAAGCAGCCTTATTTGTTAGTGTTTCTCGGGGGCTTCATATCTAATTGCTGATTACACAATAAACTTGTAATTATCTGTGACTGGTAGCTTGGGCTGTGAACTCCAGCACTTGAAGTTGAGGAAATCACCAGCGTGACTTCCTACAGTGCCCCCTCAGATGTTCCACGTGGGGATAATACTTTTAGGTCCACTGTTCTGAGCTAAAGACTCCTCTCATAGAGGCAGCTGAATGCAAGTGATTTAGTAGCTTTACAAGGACCCGTTCAGAGTAAATGTTGCTCAGACATTAATTTCAATTTATGAATCCTTGTGTGGCAGGTTTGTCCTAATTCCCAGATTTGCTGGGTTTAGATTTACACCCATCCAATACTTGGTTATGAGTCTCATTTTCATGAGTATGAAATACACATCTGTGCAATTGTTAATCCATCCCTCAATAAGCCTTATACTGGATGCAGTTTTAACATTATGTTGGTGTAAAGAACCTCTGTAATGGTTTGGGGAATCTCTTTTTTTTTTTTTCCTTTTAAAAAGTCACTGTTGCCTTGTACAGCTGCAGTGGTAAATGTACTGTTTTACTATATCAGAATAGTTAAAATTACAAAACTTTCCTGAGTAATGAGGGTTTAACTAATATTTGAGGGAAGCTGGGAAATTTGTAAGGCATGAACTTGGTGTATTACTAGCCAGTGACCTTGATTAAAAAAGTGAATATGAGGTAAAGATGCCAAACATAAAGAAAATGCAATGGCATTGATAGCAAATATAATCATCAAATTGAAGGGTATAAATGTATCTGCAAATTCTGTAAATGGAAACTAATTGTATCTTGATAAAGTTGTTTTGCCAACATGATAAAATATTTTTTTTTCTGAATGGCAAAGCTTGGCACATCCAACTTCTGCTAGAGGTGGCAATTATCTATGCAGTTTGGATAGGATGCATCCCTTGCTTCAGAAGGATATCAGCTGTGTGTATGAATAACACTTTGGATAGGTTTAGGTTACAAATTTTTGCTGTGTTATCTGCATTTGTCAGTGTAAAGAAATCTAGTTTCCAATTCATGCAGCTTTTATCAGAGTGGTTAAATAGAATAAACTGATTTTTCTCTTGTGCAGTTTATTCACTATTTAATGAAGCTTAGGAAGACGCAGTGTTAACCAAATTAAATTTTGCTAGTATGGTGTGGGTGTTTAATAGGGGCACACTGCAGCTAGAGAACAGTGAAGTCTGTGCTAGTAAAGCACTCTTACTGCCATGAGAATGAAACATCCAAGCAGAGATCTGTAGGAGAACTATAGTTTATACTGACTAGTATGTTTTAATGATTCCCTCAAACAATAAAAGTTGTGGTACCTGAAAAGCTCTTTTACTTACATGTCTGACATTTGTATGAAAGACTTTTCTGTCATAGTTATGTTGAATGGAAGTGCTGGGGGGTTGTATAATATAAAACTAAATAATATATGTCTCCTAGCAGAACTTCCTGAAATATTCTACTGGGCTCGTACTGTGAAGTGTGAGATCTCATCTTTTTTAATCCATGTTAATATAATTTAGTGGGAGAGAAAATGGCTTTTCAAGATGCTTCTTTTTTGGAGTGGTTGCATGCATGGTAGCTTTTATAGTTGGTTGCTGGTACTGTTCATGATTTGGTGTATGGTGTCAGCATTGTAGTCTCAGAAATCATTATGCCAGAAGAAGTCTTCTCATAAAAAAATGATTATTATAAAGAATAATAGTACTAGCAGTAGGGCAGCAGTGGCTTAACCAGTTTGGGCATCAAGGTATGTACCTGGCACAGTTGTTCCAGTGAGGCATTGGCACCTGTGATGAGGTATTATTGTGAAATGATGGTTTTATATACCCTGTGGCTGAAGACTGCCAAATTCTTTTTTTGTAATAGACTTAAAGGACTTGGAACACTCTTAATTCCCGTTTTGCCAGAAGGGCAGGCACAATAGGTTGGTTCCTTTGTTTATCTTCTACAGTCTGCAAGTGGTAATTCTTATTCTGGCAGTGCTGAAATAAGCCTTTGATCTGTCCTTAAAAGTAGGATGTTTGAATGGTTTCTGCACTTACTCAGTGACTTTGAAAGTCCTCTGTAGATCTTTCCTGACTACTACTAAATTAGCAGAGATGCAGTATTCCCAACTCAATCTCTTTCCACCTAAACGCAGAACCACTATCAAATTTTGTCTGAAGAGGATTAAACTTCTAAAGCACTCAGTCATTAAAAAGAGAGGGAAGAAAAAAAAAAATGGCAGAGATGTCATGTCCTGTTAGAAACTTTATGGGTCAGAATAATTATATTCTTTTTCAGTCTACTTCCTTCCCCAAATCTGAGACTAAATACTTAAAAAAACATCAAGCATTACTGTTAACTAAGGTTGTAATTTTCCACAATTTTCTTATTATCAGTGGGAATTTCAGTATTGGATCCTGCTGCTTTCTGCTCTTTTCTTACTTGCCCAGACTTTGAACATTTTATAAACTCTTTAGAGAAATGCTGACCAAAGAAAGCATCAGTGGTATTTGCTGTGGGATCTAAGGAACTGTATGTAACCTGAGGACACAGACAAAGAAATCAGTGAAACACTACAAACTGATAGTGATTTAAACTTGATGTAAATTATGGTGAAGTATTTTCTTTTATTCATAGTCTTTTTCTCTAGCTTTTTTAAAATTAATTCTTGCAGAATCCCCCTTCTACTGTTATCTTAGAGCATGGTCCTAGTTTCAGTGAGTTCTTGATTTTTATTTTTTTTTTTTTTAGCAAGTTTATGTTCATTTTCTAAAGTTATTCACCTGAACCACATGCTTTGAAATGCAGTAAAAAAATAATCTTCAGTCTCTGACAATGGTTACAGTTTTGGTTTGGGTTTTTTGTTTGTTATGTTTGTACCTGTTTATACATGTTGCTGAATTAAAGGCAAGATAAGATCTAATAAAAGCACATAATGTGTGAGGCACGGAACAATTTCTTTCATGATAGTCCTAATTCACACAAATTATATTTCTGCATTTCACCAGCCCTTGAATATTATGTATCTTTCACAGTAGCTTTAGTGGAGTTGTTTGTTGTATAAGCAAAGTTGTTAACTGCAGTATTCATCTGGAGTCTCAGAAAACCTTTCAAGGCTTCTGAGTCTACGTTCCAGAATCCCATGAATGCGAGGACCTAGATCTTGTATACTTAAAATACAATTTTAAAAGCTGTAGTGAGTATAGGAGAAGTTTGATGGACTCAGCATTGTTGCTGGTATGCACTGAACTTTCATAAATGTTGTTGACTCTTGTACAGTCGAGGTAAGACATGAATAATCAGCTGGAAACGAGCGTGAGACTAACCGATTTCATTAGAGGACAATAGATTGACACATAGGGATTCATGCAAAGATACTTCCCATGAAACTTAATGAAGAGGATAAAATTTTGCAGTAGTTTGGAGAGCAGTGTAGCAAACTGAAATATTACATAATTCTCTGGACACTAATACCTGTTTTAACCTTAAAAAAACAAGGAATGAATGTATACTAAATGTCTTCCTATGTAATTTTGCCAAATTATTTGGAAAATAGTACTACTGTCTTCTAACAACATAGTCAACACTATTGACTAAATCAGAAAACCAAGACAGAAAATTATTAACCAGTCATTTCTGTTAATAGAAGTATATTCTCTCTGAGACAACTGCTTGGAAAAGAACACATTTCCATGTTTCGCTTTCAAACTTGAAAGATAATAATAGGCTTTGAAAGAGTTATCTATGACAACTACCTTAACTTCATTAAAATGTTAAATGTATCTAAAATTAGTTTTGAAATAATAGACACGGTGAGAACATTATGAATCATCAGAATGGAACGCTTTGAAATGCCTAAAAGGGGAGGAGCATCATTCAGTTCTTCAAACAGATATGAAGTGCATCTTATGAGTGAGTTTGATCAATGAGTAAATTCTAATTTCTGTGTTACATGACTTGAGTTTTCAACAACTTCGGGTCAAGTTCTGAACCAGCAGAGTGAAGCGAATTGATTCATAAGGAGATAGGGAACGTAGATCTGTGTGTTAAACTTTGGTGTGGTCTTCTCATTGTAAATCACTATTACTGCAGCTTATTGAGTTAGTGTGAGTTGTGTTGAGTTGTGTTAACTCTTTGGATGCTGGCAGTGTAGTCATTTACATACAAGTGGATGAATGCATCTTTAGTTGGTATTGCTGGACAAATAGTGTGGCAAGTGCCGTGTTCTCAGCATGCAAAATGGAGACAGTATTTTCCATACTGTGCTTAATGAGCTTTTGAAACTTCAGAATAGGGACGTTACCAAGTGCATGGTGTTGTAGTGCAATCCCTATTGAGAGTATTTGTTTTGATGTTTGTAACTGATCTGTTGAGTGAACTTTCTGATCTGTAATGTGGCAGGACTTCCATCCATGGAGACACAAAACCAGGAACGTGCACTTCTGCCAGAGGCAAGATAAAGTATCATGTAGCACTGTGCACAGATGTGTAAGAAAGATGTTTTTGTCTGGGCCTGCCATGGCAAGGATTCTGTTTAACCCTTGTTTCATTTGGTCTGGATTAAATTAATATATCAAGTTCTTCCTTTTTTTCTCAGCATTCTCGGTGCATTCATAATAGCTGACACTTGCCTATATAGATGCCTTTGGCCATGACTACTGTATCTTGGAAAAAAAAAATACTGCTTTTGTCCAAGAAAAAGATAGTGGAGCAATTTTTAATGTATGCATCTCATTCTACTTTTTGTTCTTTAAGCATAGATGAGAGAGTAACTTGAACAAAACTATGCACATCTTTAAAAAGTGAGTCAAGACTACATTGTGGTAGGATCAAGTAGTTTGAGCCTTGACACAGTTAAGCAAACTTTTCATTTGCAAAAAAGGGATAGCTGTGCTTCCATGCTATTGTTTTGGGGGTTGGGCGGTGGGTTTTTTCTTTCCCCTTTCCTCTTCCCTTTATTTTCAGTACAGTAAGGATTAACATCTTAACTTTTCCCAGTTCTTCACCTTTAATATACATGAATGCATGTAGTTTCTGTTAGCTACGTTTTGTCAGGAGGATGTTACAACTGTAAGGGTGTTGACAGCATCATTTGGAGGCGGTGATAGTTTCCAGTTTAAGACCTAGGTGTAACTTCAACTGTTACTTTTGGGTAAGGTTCTTGCAATAGCTACCTAACACATCTATATAACTTACAGACTTGAAGTCTGTTATACTAAAAGTACAGTTTTCTTTATATCTTCTGGGGGTGTTTTTGTGACTTTGCTGTTCACAGTCCTGTAGTATGTAGGATATCATAGAATTGTAGAATTGTTTAGGTTGGAAGAGACCTTTAAGATCATTAAGTCTAACCACTAACCTAACACTGCCAAGTCCACCACTAAACCATGTCCTTAAGTACCACATCTACACATCTTTTAAATACCTCCAGGGATGGTGACTCAATATAACTCCTTAGTGAAATAGAGCAGGTATTACTGTCATTGGTTTTTGGTAGATGGGGAAGTGGGGTGTCAAGAAGCATTTGGAAACATCATCGAGGCAGTTTGTACTGAAACATGGACAGGAATTGAGGTCTTTCCCAAGTTATATGCCCTGTTTGTATCTCTTGTTATACCAATAGTCCTTAGTATTTATCTCCTGACTTACTGTTTGTGGAAGTTCAGTAGTGAACCCTGTGGTGCTAAAAGGCTGCTAGACATTTCTATTACATTTAAGCATAGAATCTTTCTCTAGAAACATTTGTGATGATTTCTGGTTTCTTACTTCTCCTCACATAATAAAATGTGGACTCCGTACTTCTTCCTGGGAAACAAGTTCTGTACTTTGCAGTTCTGTTTTACCATTCAGAAAATTAATATGTAGTAGAAATGCAAATGACCAGTGAAGTTTACATATGGACACTTATGAGTGGCCCTGTGTACTTGTTATTCTTAATTTGTCACTGTGCCTTTCAAGCAGATTTGCAATGGTTAATATGTGTAGAGTTCCTTACAATTGAACAAACTGGAAGCATTTTTTTCCCTTGTTTATGAATTACTCTGGAATTCCTCACTTGACCATAATAGGTATGACAGTAAACATTTTCTAGTACTGTATTGACAAAGATAGAGTTGTATTCATTTGTGAAGAAATGAAACTGGTATTTATGAGCCATCTTTGAGCAGATGTGGCTTAATGTACTGGGCAGTAGAGGCTCCTACTTGACCAAGATGAGACTATTTCAATCAGCTATTTTAATTCTCAGAGCTTCACATCATGACACAAATGCTTCTTTGAATCTTGGTACAAGTATGCATATATTCCTTCTCACGTGTACAGTTTTGTAAAGGTGTATCTCATTTCTGGGTAATTTCTTATTTTTCTCTTTTTTCCCCCCTCCATAAGATATAATTGACCCAGCTATCCTGCGTCCTGGTAGACTGGATAAAACACTCTATGTGGGTTTGCCACCACCTGAAGATCGACTTGCTATTTTAAAGACCATCACCAAAGTGAGTATTTGGAAATAAATCCTTATCTTGAAGCTTGATGAAATGATTTAAGATAAATCAAATTTTACAGAGAATTGCAGGATCCTGTCTCATGAAACACCTCCAGATATTACATGAGGTCATAAAAATAAACCATCAGCCTCATCTGCTGTTAAATTTGCTGTGAGACTGCAAGAGGTTGATAAATCTTGAGTAAAACAAACCTGTTAAACATAGAAGCTGCTGCCTTTGTAGTCACAGTTTGAACAGATTTAATTAAAAGATTCCTATCTGTGTGAGTAATGGGCCTAGAAGTGTTTTGTAAGCTTTTTTGCGGGGGTTCCACACATTCACCAAAATGATTCACAGGCTCCAGTTGCATTTGTTCAACAGTAATTGTGATACTTAGTTGCCTTTAGCATTAAAGGGAGCTTGTGATGATAAAAGTCAAAGGTCAAAGTAAATGTGAAAATGTAAAATACCTGCCTTCATGGGTCCTCTCTGTGGTTAGTGGCACATTCTGCCTCATCAGAGAGTGGATTACTGAATTCTATTTGAGTATTTCTCTAAGTATGGTACAGCAGTAATCAAGGCCTTAAAAAAAAAAACAACATACAAAACATTCTGAATTACTCAGATATTTCCTACTTTTTCCAGTAGATCAACACTAATAGTTAAGAGCAGGTATTCTATCAGATCTTTTTTGATCTGCAAAGGCGACCAAGTCTTCAGTATAGAGGAAAAATAGCACTGTATTATGAAAAGTGTGGCCAAAATTATTTAGCAATTGTGTAAAAAAGATAATTCAGACTTGCGTAAGCATAAAGTTGTGACGTAGGCAACAGTTAATCCCATAGGAGAATTCACAAAGAGAGAACTAATTCAAGCATGTTCTTTCATGCCAAAATGGTTGTTCAGAAATCAGGCTGTCATTACAAATTAATGATGTTAGACTTTCCTTCACTTGTTCTGTGCGTTACTTCATGGAGGAAAGAAAGTATGCCCCCGTTTGCTATTAGCAGTAGATCAGTTGATTGTTTCTAAGCTTTATAAAAATATTTCAGTTAAAACTGTTTACAGTCTTCTTCATAAAAACGTTTGCCTTTTAAAAGACCTAGAGAGAATTTGAGTGTAACATCCTTTTTCAAACATACTGTAAGGAATTATGGTTTTTATTTTAAAAATTTATTTTTAGAGATAACTCAGTCTTCTTTAAAAATTGGGCTTATATGATTGTTCTGACTTAATACAAACACCTTGTTCTTCTGGAAGAAGTGGGTAGTAAAGGTCAGTCACTAGACTGGTTTTTTTTAACATACAGGTGTTGATCTTTACTTTCCCTAATTTTTGCTGGAAAATCTTTGGAGATTTGTAACTGTCTCGTGCTCTCACTGTAATCAGTGGTGTAGGAAAATGGAGCAGCAAAGCTTGGTGCAAGACCTCATGAGAGGAGAAAGTGGTATTAAACAAAACTGATTTCTCTCACTCTCTCATAGATTTCACTTGCTCACACACACTTTCACAGCACCAAGTTGCAGGCATCCAAGCGGTAGGGCCAGGATCGCTTGTGTGCAACACTGGGGATAGAGAGCTCTGTGTTGAGGCCTCACTTAATCTCTTGGCTTCCTCTTGACTGGTGATGACAAACTGATTGCTAGAGAAAACTGTTTTCTAGATTCCCCTTAAGAATCAAAGAGGTTGATGAGAAGTGTCGTTGCTCCTTCCTCCTGGGAATCTTTGTGTCTGCAGTCTATCTTCCTCTTGGGGTAACACCAAGAGGAGTGGCACATCTGATGTGGTAATGCTGTCATTATCCTGCTATCAGAGCATACTTGTCTTCTGCTGACAAAACATCTTCGCTGTGGCCTTATCTGATAATGGGCTTTATTGTGATACAAACAAGGCATTGCATAGTGTTTACCACTTGGTTCCTGTGGATCCCGTTCTTGGTTATCAGGGCATGTTATTTTTGGAATGCCAGATACTTCCATGTGTACTTAATTCATAGTAGCCTTAATATTTTGGTTACAAATCTTTGTAGTGAATGAGGTGTTGTCTTCAATGGATTTTTTATTTTTCTCAGCTCTTAATTAAGAGGCCAGCAGAAACGAGACACAAACATTCTGAATGAGTCTCTTCCTTGTGTGTTTCCCTCATTCCATGAGGAGGCTGCTGTGGTTCTCTCTTTACTACCTGCAGTCACCAGAGTTCTCATGGAGCTAGGCAAAGATTTCTATTTCCAGTGTTAAGAACAACAAATAGGTTGTTGTTTTCTTTAAAAAATATATAGGAGTTAACTGCAAGAAGAACATGGGGTACAGAGAGAGGGAAATATGTTAAATTAATTGAAATACCTTACTTTCCTGTAAGACTTCATCCATGCATTCTAGTAAGGAAATTTTTAAAATATGTGTAGAGGAACACTTGCTTAACTATGTGCTCAGGGCTAGATAAAACAATGTTTGGTGCAGATGTGAGTGGCTTCTGGGTGACAGTATGTGTTCCCAGAAATTCCTGACAAACACATGCAGAGGATGTGGAAACAGAATGGTTGCTGAGGGAAAACATGGATGCTTACAAAGGCCAGCATGAGTAGAAAAGGGAGATGGTGGGAGAATAGGTTGTAAGACAGACAGCATAAACATAGGTTGAAGCTTTGTTGTGAAAGAGTTTTATTTCAGTTAACTTGTACAAATCAGTCATTTTCAAATTGCATACTAATTATGCAAGAGAAGCATGTCTTCACATGTTTAAGTTACTAGCATACTTACATTCCTGCAAGCTGCATCAAGCTTCTCTGGTGCACATACTGCTGAGCTTGTGTCCAGAGTAGGCAGATCATCCCACTCAAAAAATACCCAACCTACATTGCTACCCAAAGCGATAGGTAAAAGATTTATTTTTACCAGAAAAGGTGTCTCTGGCTTGCAGTCTTGTACAACAATTACTAAAGTATCCCATATGAAATTGTATGAGGTTTCCTGTTTCCAGGTTAAAGTCAGCTCAAAATCAGGATGTTCCTTTGTCTATTTATTGGTTTGGGGTTTTTCCCTCCGCCCCCTCTCTAACTGGCATTCTACCACTCATTCAAGATTGCTCCCTTACTCTGTCTAGTCCTTGATTATTCTACTACCTGTTAAGTATTCAAGGGTTTTAACTTGCCAGTTACTATACATTTTTTTTTTTTCACTTGAAAGTGTTGGAGGCATGTGGTATATTAGTTCATCTGAAGAAGTGTATTTTTGTCAAATAAGTTTCTGGCAGAAATATGTCAGTTGTATCAAAAAATGTCCTTTTATGTCTAAACACAGGTCTTGTTTGATATTACAGACATCTAGAATCCCTGTACTACCATGATACTACTTTACTGTAGTCCAAGGGTAATAGGGAGATCTCCACACTTACAGTGTTTGAAAATTTTGTTGGCTAGCTTCAAAGATAATCTATAAAGTTCAATATTTTTTGCTGTTGGAGATGCAGAAATAATAACAAACCAATTCTGGGATCTTTGTGGAGGAAGCAGTAATAATATGGAATAGTACCAAGAATTCTACAGTAATGTCTACAGTATATGTAAACTTTTATGAAATCAAGAATGGAAAATTCTAAGTTTGAAAATGTGACTAGGACATAAAAGATTATACAATTAATTCAGTCTTAAAGGTGATGAGATAGTATTAAATCTACGTGCTTATTGCTTAGCTATTTGATTTCAACACATAGTAACATTAGAGGAGGTTCAGCTAAACAGTGCTGTCGACATAACCAGCTACTTACGGCATGTCCACATATGGAACAGTGTCAGTGTTACGTTGTGCTGTGACAGGCTGGCCATCATTTTGTTAGAGCAAATCTAATCTGTTGGTGGGAAGTTAAAATTTAGCATTACTTATTATCTCATAATTAAATGTTTTTAAGGCTGGTCGTCCTTCTTGTCAGTTTGAGATTAAAAATGTTAATAATTGTGGCTATTTCAGAGAATTTGTCAGACCCCTATATGATTCCTGATTGTTGAAACTTAATCACTTTGGGGATGGCATGTGTTTTAAAAATAAAAACACAAAAAAACCCCAACCAATCAAACAAACAAAAAAAAAAAAAAACAAAAACCCAAAAACAACAACAAAACAAACACATGTTCTTACCTTCCTCTTTTTATTATCTCAACTCCTTTAGGATGGCACCCGGCCTCCACTAGATATTGATATAAGCCTTGAAGAAATTGCTTACAGTCAACATTGTCATTGTTTTACGTGAGTAGCTTCTAGTTTTGACTTTAAATATTTAATGTGCTGTGCCAACAGTCTTCTGATGAGTGATAGTGTTTCTCATGTTGTTATTATTAAGAGGATCTCTTTAACTTTTAAGGTTTATAAGCCTTCTCTTTTATGCTGTTTTCACTTGTGCTTTTTTCCAAGCAGTTGGTAGGAATATATGGATGCTAAAGTCTTTTTCATCTGAAATAGTCCTCTTTGCGTTGTAAATACAGATCAGTAGAGTTCTCTTGGTTTTGCTTGGGTTTATTTTATAATTATTGCATAATCTGAGGATAAAAGAGCCCTCTCAAGTTGTGCACCCATGTACAATGATGATGAAAGCAAATTGGTTAAACAACCATAACCAGCTTGTTCTGTCATACAGCTGAAAGCAACGTGCTTGACAAAGTAATGAGGACCTATTTCAACTTGTACTTTGGGAATACCAAGGTGTGTGTTTTAGGAAAGCCTGATAGCCATCTCAGAATAATTTGCAATTGCGTTCTACAAAATTTAAAAAAGCTTTAATATCTTAAATGATTTATTAATAGTTATTGATTTTTCTGGAGTTCACAAAAGATAAAGTTTATGACACACTGCTTGTCACAATATTGCTTTTGAATCTTCGAAATGGAGGCTATCACCACCAGTAATGATTTTTAGTTGGTCATTGTTTCCTACTTGGGAAAGATGAGTACTTTTTCTTTCTTTGACTCTTTCCTTCGCTGTCTTTCTTGGGGGTGTGTGTTGGTTTTGTGGGTTGTTTGTTTTCTTTTTTTTTGGGGGGGGTGGGTGTTGTTTGTATTGTGGGCTTTGCTTCTGATTTTTTGTTTGTGGGGTGTGTGTGTTTGGTTTTTTTGATTGGTTGTTTTTTGGGTTTCTTTAAATATGACAGTATTTCTGGCACCCCTAAATTAAGCACGGGGAGTTATTTGTGAAAATTTTTTTTGTCTCAGTAACTTGCACCAGTTTGAAGGCTTGTGAAAAGTTCAACAGCTGGAAGCTGGAAACATATATTTAGACAGACTGATCTGACCATGTTTTGTGGATACTGTTATTTTAAGAGCATGTTAACTTGACTGTTGATGCAACTTGGAGCATGAGTTTAATAATATTTTTATAATAATGGGTGATTCCATTTGAATCTTTCATAAGACTGATACAAAAAAAAAAAATGTATCATGTTCCCACCAAGTGGCACAATATTAATCAGTCCTTTGGCATTCTTAAGTATTCTGAGTGGGTTTTTGCCTCTTCCCTTGCTTCATATTTATTTGATCTTAATCTGTGGCTAAAATCTGGAGGTTGTCGCTCCATAACAAAGGTTGCAGCGCTCTGTAGTCCTCAGACCTCTTTCCAATGTTCTTAAGATGAACCTTTATGACAGCACGACCAGTCTCTTACCATCATTTGCAGTCTTGCCTTCCTATATGCCATCAGCAAAAGACGAGAGAAATTTATCCTAAAATAACCTGTTTATATCTGTAGAGGAGCAGACCTTTCCGCTCTAGTGCGTGAGGCTTCGGTTTGTGCCTTGAGACAGGAAATGGCCCTGCAGAATACTCAAAGCAAGAAAGGTAAGAAAGCTTTACAAAAATCTGAACTGAACAGTGAGAAGAGAAACAGAATATAAAGTATTTAAGATAGTTCAAGACAATCATAAAGGCATGCCTGCTGTACATAAATGATTGACAACTTCTGAGCCAAACAAAAATTAAGTCAGATTTGTTTCAAGAACACATAAGCATCTTTGATGTAGATGTAGGGGAGAGCACAGGAAAAAAATGGGTATCTTGGAGGTTCAGCATAAGTTTTTTTTCTAAAAGAATTGAACTTTGTATCTTAAAGAAAAAAGGTTATGTTAAGTAGTAGTATAAACTGACTGAGAATATACCAGACTGAATAAGTCTCTGCCAATTTTCTACATTACTATCAAAGACTAATTCTACTGACTTATTTGCAGATTTGAGTACAGTTGTAACTGCACACCTACTGATCACATACCTTTGGCACACAATTGTATTGTGTGACTGAATACATGCATCTAGTAGTAGTAAAGGCGCTAGGAAAATCTGAGTGCCATGTTTGACTCATCAGTGGCTCTTGCTAGGACTTTAGCAGGGAGTTACAAACTGTTTCAAGTACAATGTCTGCACTTTTGTTTTAAGTTGTATCCTGCACAGATAGGAAAATGTAATTGGAAATAGAAAATCTTTTAGATTAAAAATGTATGTTTATCTAGATTTTTTTTTTCAAGTAATTTTGTTTGTTATTTTACCCTTAGGTCAAAATGCAAAGCTAAAATGGAATTGTGACTTTTCAGATTATGTCCTTGGACAATATATTAGGCTTTCATTATGCCTCTGATTTCTGAGAACCACACTGGAATTTTAATGGTTTTGAGTCATTCTTTTTGATCTACTACATATCCAGTCTCATCTGGTTTTTAACAACAGTAGGTTAACAGAGCAGGATATTTGTATTTGTTTTGAGGGAACTACCATGTTCATTTAGAGGAGGGGAAAAAGAAACAGACTATAAAAATCTTCACTATTATATGACTTGCTTACCCAGTTTGCTTGCTGTAGATGAAAGAAGCTCTTGATTTAAGATGGAAATTTCTGAGTTTATCCTGTTCATTTTTATAATTGCCCAGAATACAGCAGGCTTTATTCAAAGACGGTCATCCCTTGAATTCAGCCTTCACATTTAGGATTGCAGCCTGAGCACTTATTGTATGGATGTGTTGGCTGCCAGCAAGTCCATAATGTATGGATAGCTTGATCTGCAGGCTTATAGCAGCTGCTTATTTAGGGTGTTCTTGGGTTTGTTTTTCAAAGGTGTCAGCCCTGGCTGGTATTAAAGTACATAAACTGGTTTTGATTTGAGACCGTGCTCATTTATATCTTCAAAAGAATAGTGTGTGTACACAGACTGGAGAATTTCTTCCTTCAGTGTTACCACAGGACACGCACAACTGACTCCCCTCCCACACTCTGTACATGACTAGATGGGTGCTGTGTGTCTGCATCAGTCAGTACTTTGAAATTACCTGGCTGAGATCAGTGCTGCTCCCTTCTATTCTGTAGAACCTCTGTTGCAACTTCCTTGTTATACCTAGTATTTTCCCTCTAGAATAAATTCAGGGATGGGGCTTTTTTAACACTCAACAGTGGTTTTCTCAAAGGGACTTTTTCTATAGTGAAATAGAAAGGTATCCATTTTGTGATATTTCTTGTAAGAATCCATAAATTCTACTTCCAACCTGAGCAGTCCTAGGAGAATCAGATCATGTTAGTCACTGTTGTATGGGAGTTGCCAGACATTGCAGTTTGTCTGGAGGAGTAGGGGGGGGATTCCTAACAAAAATTAGGCAGATTTTCAGTTTTATGATGTCCCTCTGGAGTTCCTCATCAGTGGCCCAGCATTCAACTGCCCAGATGATTCAATATCGTTTGCAAACTTGGAGTTTCCACTTCTGGCTCTCTTTTCCAAACCACTGATGAAGCTGCTTGAAACTGATTTCAGCACCAATGCCAGAGCAGGACCCTACTGCTGCCTGTTCCCTGTTCTGAAAAGTGACCATTAAGCCTTAGATGTTATTTCATATATTTTAATCAGCTTTCTGTCCACCAGAGGATCTTTCCTACAGTTCTCTGGAATTTACCAGTCCTCTGGTGGCTCTAACAAGTTACATGACTTAGCCAGCAGTTCTGCAGTTTTATAGACAAGCTCCTTCAGAACCTTTGGGTAAACACCAGCTGGTCCTGATGATTTACTGTTAACATCCTAACTGACCTACTTTAGTTTAGTACTTCCTGTATACTTACTTCAGATAGATCTAATTACAAAGAATGTATAAGGTATGAGAATCGACACATTCAGTTGCAAAGACAAAGGCAGAGAATTCATTACACCTTCTGAAGTATGACTTTATTCGAGTGTCCCTTTTTGTATATTTTTTTTTTAAAGATAGCCAGTACTTTTTGGATTTCATAAAAATGCACCAAATTGTCTCTGACATACTTTGTGTATTTCTATCAGATACCTGTGCAGAATGTTAACATTTTAATGAATCTGTATAATAGTGGTACCTTGGCATTCTTAAGTGTAGATTAAACAACATACTTGCTTGTGAGAGCAGAGGACTCCATGATTTTTTTGAGCTCCGCTTACATTTCAGTGTACTAAAAAAACTGTTCAAAAGGCTGTGATTAGGAATAATTACTGTGGACAGCTGCATTAAGGTCAAAAAGGCAATTTGCATAAACTGAAACACAGGGAGTTGTGAAAGTCAAAGCCTGCATCCTTCTGGGTAATGCCAGACAAGGCAATGGTATGAAGTCAATTATTTAGGAATTTGAACATCCTGTAGTAGAATGGGAATAACAGTTTTCTAAGTACTTGCTAAATAACACTCTGTAGGGAAGCTTAATATTAAATATGTATAGAAAATAAAGTCCCGAACTGGAAGCAGCAGGATTTGAGGCACTCACTTCCAGAAGGGTTAAGGGACTTGAATTCTAACGGGATCTGATGTGAGCTGCAGTTTACTCAGCGTCTTTGAGAATGAAATTATCAATCTGCAGATGGAAACTCTAATACCTAAAATAACTTTCTGAAACACTTAAGTATTCTTTGGCTTAAGGTGCAAGGGGTAGAGGGATTATGATCTTGCCTAAGATAATAGACAAGAGGCTATGTCAGAGTTCAGGTGTTTAGATCACTACTGAATTAGATCTCATCCAACTGACTAGCACATTAGGTTTCATGAATGCTGCCTTGAAATACATGCAACAATCACTTGATTGCCACATGCCTGCAATTTCAGTCATTTATTATGCATTGCTCTTTAAGGAGAAATCAAGATTTCCCGTAAACACTTTGAAGAAGCTTTTAAGAAGGTGAAATCTTCAGTATCAAAAAAGGTAAGACTCATTACTCCCCTGGGAAGGATTCTCTTTATGCTGGAGACTGGTGGGAATAGTTAAGGTTGCAGTATACTTGCATGTATTTCAAACTGACACTACATGTTTCTGGATTAAACAAACCTGATGTTTTTTACAAGACCAGAAATTTAAGTGTCCCTGTTCAGCTACAGGTGATGCATTGCATGTAGATGGATGACCATGCTTTTGAGGTTGTCTTCTAGTATGGCATCTTGGAATTCTTACTGACATTCCCAGATTAGTTATTGACCTGGCCCTAACTTGTGTCTGTAGAATTTTCAGTTAAAAGTCAGGGCCTTTAGAATGGACTGTACCTTGCCACCACCTTTTTTCCCCTCAAGATGGATGTAACACCTAAAGATGCTCAACCCTTTCTGTTAATGTGCAAAAGACATCATTTTAAGATAGGACATAAAACACACTATCATCTTACTTATTTCTTATCATTCCTTTCATTATTTGCATTTGTCAAGGAAGTTTGTCTTAAAGGTTTCCTTATGGCCTGTTCTTTTAAACAACTGAAAGGAAAGCTGTGCCATCATCCTAATTACTGTAATTAAGTAGTTAATATATATGGGAATTGTTATTGCTGCAGAGCTTTTGTGTATAGGCGTTTGTGTTGCCAAGAGTATACTGCAGCTAAAATACATTAATATATTCACTTTGAATACAGCCAGAGAGAAGTTAATTATTTCCCTTCATTATTATTGTATGTTGATGGTTGGTGACCTTTTCAAAAATGGCCCATTAAAGATGGCATTGGTGGTTCTTTTCTTCCCCTTTGCTAATCACTAAGCAAACAGTTTAGAAACAGCAGCCACAAATGCTTAAAACATCTATTCTAATACAGTAGGCACTGGCAAGTATTAGGGTATCCTCCTTCTGGCTCTTAAGAGTTAACTAGAAATGTAATTTTGCATCTCAAAGACAGCTTAAATATCACATATCAGAGCCCTGTATTTCAGTTACATCCATCTGAAGAATTTTCAGTTAAGTATTTTGAAATAACTTTTGGAGTACAAGATATTCGTCTCCCATTTCCAGATACTACTTCCTATCTAATAAACAAATTCCATCTGACAAACTCTCTACAATCCTTCCTTTGAATACTGGAAAATAAAAAAAGCTGCATCTGATTTAGTGCTTCTAATTCTTATTCTCTCTCCCACACACATCTGAGTTCTGATAACTTGCTTTTGGTTTAATTGACTTGAGACAAACTAAAGTATGTTGTTCTTACAGACATCACCTTCTGAAGCCAGTTTTCTCAGTGGAAGTTAACATCTCTGTTCTTCAAAACTAAAACTAACATTTTTAGTGACTAGTGAAAAGGATTAAGGAACAGTTAGTTAAGTTACACTAGTAAAAGGTCTTGTCTGTTCATTTTGGTAGAACTGGATGGGGAGTAAAGTGTCAATTCAGCAGCTCCCCTGGTAAAGTGGGCAGCTGCAATTTGAGCCTGGCATGGCAATATTAAGTGTAAGAACTCTGCCAGAGTCTCATGTTAATTACATACCATTGGTGGCTATCACTGGAGAGCCTCATTTATAAGCCAGGGTGGTGGGCTTTTGCTTCATTTAGAGTTTTTCTTGTAAATGTTTTAAAATACAGCTAGTGGCTCATATAGCTTGTTTGTTTCACTTTGTTAATACTACACATAAAGTCACTTTTAAACATTGTATTATTTTTAACTATTGTCTGAATTAATTTTTCCTCTTACTTGGCACTGTTAGGACCAAATAATGTATGAAGAACTGCATCAGTCACTGCACAGGTGATACATTTGGATAATTCCCAAAAAAACTTGTTCTGCATTGGTGGAAAGTCTGCAATACCTGTGCCTGATTTCAAGAGACAGGTTGGAAAAGAAGCTGTATTGAATCTCTCTCCACTTTTTCAACTGTACCTGAAAAAGGTCATCATAACCTACTGTTCTAAACCATGCTTAGTTTAACTGTTTCCAGAATAAACGATGCAGTACACCCTTCCTGCATATCACCATTTACTTCTTAAAAATGAATGCTTTTAGTGCTGAAGAGCTAATAACCATTCTGATATATTTGGTGCCTTTAATCAAAAATCCCTTAGAGGCCAACACTTCAAAGTGTTTACATTGCTCAAATAGCTGTTTTCAACCTTAGCTATTTTCATTTATGTTTTTCAAGGACTCTGGAAGAACTACTGGGAGAAAAGAGCTGTGAAAGTAGACTGGGAAAGTGCTGCACTGTATGTTACCATACTATTACTCACGCCTTTCCCAAACAGAGTGACACATTATGATTGTGCCAGCACAGGTTCTCAGACAGCTAACAGCTTGCTTTCACCTTATCAACAGAAACTATCCACAGATGGCAAGCTGTCTAGAAAGTTTGGAAATCTGCAAAGTGCTGCAATACTATGGTTTGACAGCCACCTAAGAAACCTTTGAAACAGTAAGAGTGATCTAACAAGCTGGCTCTTTATTTTTTTTTAAACTATAGATTTGAATTTAAGTGTTTTGATATCCTCTGGAGGAAGAAGAATGTTACTGTTTTATGAAACAGGCCAAGAGCCTCTTTTTTAAAAAACAAACAAACAAGAAATTCCATCTTGGAAAGAGGGTCATAACTTCCAGCATCAGCAAACTTGGAAGTATCTCAGTTCAGACAAAACACGGAAATGTGCCAGAGCAACTAATCTCAGAAGCCTACAAATCTTAATGGATTTTTTTTACCACTGTCAGCGTTCTACAAAATTCTTTAATCATTAATCTCAGTTCCTATCTTGAATCAGTCTTATTCATCCTAAAACCACTGCAGCCATCAGCCAAGGATCAGAAGAGGAAATGGATCATATCTGCTAGCAAATTTCACAGAGTCTTAAGTTTGATGACACCAAACTTGAAAAATTTAGTCATTAATTTTCCATATAAAAAAACAGTAAAATAGTTGTTGTAAGCAACATTTATTCTGTAAGCATCTTCCCTACTTTACCACTTAAGAGGGAAGAGATCATTTAATCTCCTACTCAAGTCATAATTCATTTAAAGAAGTTGTCATGCTTTGCTAGATGTGACTCTGAACAACCTGATCTAACTTTAAGACTGACCTTGCCTTGAGAGGGACTAGTGCCTTGTATCTTAGATTCTTCTCTCTGAATTGCCATCTGACAAAGATATTGCACATTGTTCCCAAGGGTAAGTGTGGAAGGCTATTACAAATATCTAGTCACCAGACTTGTGTTTTAAAATTACTGACACTCACGGTAACTGGTACTTTGGACAATATGGTCTAATATTCCCAGTGACTCGAGTTGTGGCCCATCCCTGCATGTAAAGCAGATTATATGTCTGCTTTTAATTGTAAATCAGGCTTGGAGCTTCAGGAATTACTGTGATTCCCAGCAATCTAAGATGAAGGATCACCATTTTATCTCACGAGTATTTTCACTGGTGGATTTTACATTACTGTGAGGCAATGCAATCAGTACATATCAGTTCAGTGACTAATTTTACATTAAAATCATACCTAGATGTCATGTACAGAACTATATAAGAACTATCTCTGTTACATAAACTTCTTCCTGATTTAGCTCTAAATCTACAACTTTACAGGTTTACCACCCTTCTTAAATAGAAGTGTTTTGCTTTATAGGAAGCTACAATTGTGTGAAAGTAAGCTGTAAGCTGTTTTAGTACAATACTCACTTTGCTTGAGTGTTCAAGAGCTGACCAATGGAAAAAAAATCAAGCAGGAGCCCCATGAAAACAGTATATGATACCTCAAATACCAATTTTTAAACTGTCACCCATTCTGCCTTTAGATATGGTAATTCTCAAATCAGGAATTTAACTGTCTAACAGTGATACAACTTCAGTGATAGGATTTAGAAATGTTTGTCATCCTTTCTTGGAAAAAAAAATGTGGCAAGCCAGCCCCTCCTTACAGTTGAAAATAACCACATGAATGATTTCTCCTTTATGGATATATTGAGGAAAATCCTGCTACCATACCTAAGGATACCTGCAGCTGAATTTATGAAGGAGTGAAGTCCTCAAGCCCTGGCATATTCACCTGAGAATTTTCTCCTCCTCACCTCTGAAGATGATGTTACTCCTGTGTATATATACGGAGCAAGAAAGCAAGGTGGGACTTGCAAGGCAAGACTAAGAAGGAAATACTATTAAGTAGTAGTAACAATATTATCTTGTCAGGAGTTCTAACACAAACACGTTTAACATACAAGGTGTCTGATGAACATTCTTAACATGTGATAGTAGAAGAGGAAGTGGGGCACAGGAGGGCTTGAATTTACAAGAAAATCTTGAAGGGCAGAAAAAGCCAGATCAGTTAAGTGTCCGTGTCCTGTTTGCTTACCTTGTCTGGGCTACATATGCATCAGGGAACACACATGGGCAGGCAGCTGAACTCTTATCAACTGTTCACGCAAGAAAGTGCTGCATCCACACTGCTACTTGTTCTTGTTGGAAATTCTGCTTAGGTTATAGTACTTATAACTAAAAACCCAACTTGATAAGAAATAAAATGCAAGATCCCTTACACTTCTACACAGAAAATGAGAATTGTTTTAAGTAACAAGCTTTTTCATGCAGTAGAGACCACTACTTTGTTCTGCATCTGCAGCTAGTGCCCCTCCTAGCAGACATGCCTGAAGGAGGTTTTCCTTCTAGGCATCTTGTTTCTGTTGTGAAAAGATCAAGAAATTGTTTATCATGCCATTCTTCTCTCCCTTTTCCTCAGGCTAGCCACGTAACTAAATCACAAAAATGATTCTGTCCTGGAGCATATTAGGTGCTAACTTAAGCGTGGGTAAGGGGCAGAGGCAATGCAGGGAACTGTCAGCAATAAAAAAATTTCTGTTTTCATTCTTGGCTCAATAAGAAATTTTTTCCAACATTTTTATCCTCACTGAAGTCTTGTATACCATTGTAGGCTTGATTGTGAAATAGAGGATTTTTGATAGAGACGAGCTACTTGTGTGCAGAGTTGCAGGTTGCTATACTAAAGACATTTCTACTTGATTTAGACACTATTTGTCAGTTGGTTTTCCTAGTATGTTGCAGAAGTAATCTTGGCAGACCCAGAAGCAGCTCCTGGGCTTTGTGATGTGCAAGCTGAAACAGCAGAACTTGCTTTGCCTTAAGTCTTTTGAGACACTTCCAAATTACAGGGGAGTACACTTTCCAAAAGCCATGTCTTAGACCACTTATCATGCAAGATTGCTACCTGAAAGCGACTTTTCTCCTGTTTGTCCAACAGGGTTAGTATGGCAGCCTGCAATCTACAGCACTGACATTATTGTTTGTTGAACCTCACTAAGGAATGAACAGCTTTTAATTTCTACTGTGGCATGTCAACTCAGATGATACAAGAACTCATGCCAAGGAGGCAGAGGGGAACCACTGAGCTCATTATCTAAGTGTCCACTTACCTAGAACAGATCCATTTCTATACATGTGTAGACTCTAAGTATGTGCTACATACCTGCTGGCTACATTTAAATACTTCAGAGGAATTCTGAGACACAGAACCAAGTCTTAACTACTTTTCAACTGACCTCTGGTTCCAGGTATGAAGCCTTGCCCTGGATGTGAAGTAGAGAGCTCTGTAGCCAGAAAGATGCACCCATTTAACACATGTTAATTGGCCACTTGTGGAACAGACAGGTTCCACAGCGAAACAAGAATGCTAGAGGCAGGAGTTGTTTTGAAAGAGAAATATACCCACACCTGTCCTGTGAGAATGCTCATGCCTAGTATGATCAGATTCCAAGATGCATTACTTACTCTACTTAAGTGGCTTCACATAAGTGTGGGGGGGTGAGGGGAGATGGTGTTAAAAGCCATGTAAGGCAGTTTATTCTGAAAACTATGTTACTCTGAAAGCTCTGAAGGGGATTGAGCTCTGCACAATTTAATTGCAGCTAAAATATTTAGATGGTACATTTAACACAGCTGACCCAAAGTCAGCAGCGTTTTGACAGTTAAACTCCTGGCTAATTTCACATAAAGGAGAGGTTTGCCAAACAAACTAGTAAGATGCTTTAGGTACACAGAAAGGAACAAACCCTAACAAGCATGTAGAAAGGACAAAGTTAACTTATTTCATCTGAATAGATTCATAAAAAAAAATATAGTTAGGTTAACTGTCAGGGTTCTTAATGCTCTTTAGGTTTAATTTGTTCTTCACTGGTTAGTCACAGCTCCCTCCCAACTTCCAGATAAAATATTTCAAAAAGTATACTAACCTATTTCTAACAGATATTTTAGTAGCATTAATGAAAATTATTTAATTCCTTAAAAACCAGTAACTAGATGGTTCACATGTATTTTTAAAAAATTTAATATTTCTTATTTCTGTGACATGCCTTTGGACTAACCACATTATAACTATGACTGGAGAAAATTAGTTAATTCATTTAAAAAATATCAAACCCGTCCAGTAGTCCAGCTACTCTTAATGGTAAGCCCTCAACACTGAAGAGATTTAATTCTACCTTTTGTTTCTTAAATTCACCAGTCATGCAGAGGTGGCTTAAAAAGAAACTGTTTTGCAGCTTAAGCCTATTCAAGTCTTTCAAAGTCAGTTTTCATCCAAATAGAAAGGAAAGGCAATGATTCTTTACAGTTCATCTATACCACTATTGAATAGAACAGGTCTTACATCTGCTTTAGAAATACCAAATTTCTCTAAAGCTTAAGTCCTTCAGCATAAAAGGACCCGTCAAAAATTCACCCAATATTACTTTAATCTTTGCTTTTTAATCAGACATAAACAGTATTGGATAAAGTATATTTTGACATTACACTCTACCCTGAGCAATATGCTGGCTAGCTAGCCTGTTATTGGCTTCACAATGAAGTCACTTTAAGTGGTTAGCACACTTTCATACCACTTCTATTGCTTAACCACAGGTAAGGGCCCACGCTTAAACAAAACACACATTAAAAACAGGGCTGCAAGCAAGCAAGGGTCAAGATGTACCAACATATTCTTGTTAGGCACTCAGCTGCTTCCAAAAAAGTCACAGCCACCAAAACATGAATTAAAGGCATCTAAAAAATAAGTTACAGCAGACCAGTGTGGACAGCAGCTAAGACTTCCACCTTGATCAGATTCCATCTTTCAGATAAGTGAAGAACATACCATAGGATCACCATTTGAGATTTAAGGGCCATCTGTAGCCATCTTTGACAGCTTAAAGCCATCATCAATGCATTAGATGATAGATGGCAAATACACTGTGCTGAGGTATGTAGAGATTCTTCAGTGTTGAAGAAGTCTATCTTTTCTCTGTTTCCAATTTAAAAACTTAAGCAGGACATTTGATCTCACCACATTTTAATATATAAGGACAAATGTTTATGTAGGGTACTGTAGGTTTATGGAGCAGGGGGGATGGGGGGCAGAATGGAAATCAAGATCATTTAGCAAAACCCTTCTGTGTACCCAAATGATTAATATGCTTAATAGGTAGAATTGTCAGTGGTTGTAGCTAGCCTTGTTTGCCAGAACAATATCTGATTCAATTGACTAATTTTTCCATACAAGTCAGATTTCCAAATGAGTATAAATATTTATAGATTGAACATTTAAAACCATGGTAACAGCAGAACCAACTAGGACAAGCCTAATCATTTTTCTTTGCAGATGTGAGAAACTCAAATGTAACAATATTTTTACCATATGAAAAACCTAATCAGTCACATTGTTACCTAGTGGCTTTCACAAGAGGGTTCTAAATGCTGCCTGCTCAAGCTGTATGCTAACACAAGCAGCTTAGGCAGTAGGTGGGGACCCACAGAGCTGGCAATACCCTTGAATTCCCCACCTTTTTAACAAGGAAACCACACAAGCCATCTCAAAGATGCCAGCTTCATTCTGATAGATTGTTCCTTTAAGGTACTTTCCATAGAAAAGGCAGAACTTTAACAGTGCTTCAAATGACACATTACATATTTAAACAAAAGCAGACTTAACATTTCTGTGCAAATTTAGTTCTTCCACCCCTAAGTTAGGAAACAGGTTCAACAGAAGGCTGAAGTTAACAAATCATGTTAGTTTAGAATTAACAGGTAAGTACAGCATTTTAATACTACAGTCATCTAAACAGCATTGTGGGCAGTGTACTACATTGAGAACTCATAAAATAGTAAGAGTCAGACAGGCATTTTATACAGAGTTAACACCTGCCAAAGTAAATTCTGTAACAAAGTGATTTAGCATTATGCATATAACACTGATCCTTAGGCAAACATACACACATGAAACCAATAAATCTGAGGACTGCAAGGAATGTTATGTTATAGCTGGTGGGAGTCTGCTACAAAATCCTTAAGGATGCATTGCTGTGTTGCTGTAGATCTTAATTCAGGACACTGGTGAACTGCTTTAGCAAGAGACCTTATACCAGCCACTTTAAAGCAAGCAGACATTTCAAAGTTTTTTGGTTGGCAGAAGCTTAATCTTGCTTCACTTCACCCTTTAATTGCCTTTTCATACGTGAATATGGGCTGATTGTGTCATCCATCACGAAGTCATACAGTACTTTTATCCAAGAGTTATATTGTGGCAGGTTGTCATAGTATTCAGCTGCTATCTTCTTCACCTAAAGAGGAGATATGAGGTTTATTTGCTGTTTATATTAGTGCCAATCATGACAACTTGAGAGTCCTCAATCTGTAATGCAATGCAAAGCACTAGAAGTTTCATTTTAGATGTTGGATTGTACAGGAAAGGCTACTAGCACCACAGTGTGAAGGTTTCTTGAAGGAAAAGGCAACTCCTTTGCTGGTGAAGTAAACTTCACATGAAACCTTTATATTGAAGCTAACCAGAACTCTGCTAACACTCTGAAGTCTGCTCACTGTGCTACCTACGAATGATGTAGCTCACAAAAGCAAGCAGTTTGGTTGCTAGTGGAAGTGGGTGACTCAGTTCAGTGCTGACTCACAGGTTTAAGAGTATCACTAAAAAGGATGTTGCAAGTTCTAGGAAGCAATGTTTAAAACAAGCTATTTTTACATGTAGTTTCAAGCTTCAGCACTTGGAAGAAAAAAAAAAAAAAAAAACATATTTCTGAAGAACATCTTGTTTCTGAAGACAGACATTAAAGAATATCAACTGCTTCCAAAGACTTAATTCTCAGATATACATGCTGACAATACCAGTTTTAAACTAAGAGAGCTGGAGTTTAAGTTAGATATCGTATCCTTACTGATATTTAAGGCCAACCACCTAAAGCCTTAAAAAGGTAAACAGAAAAACTTTTTTCACTAAATTCCATAGTTTTAGACAGAATAAAAATATTAATCTGTATAAGCAAACAAACCAACCCAAGATATTTGCATGTCTGATTTGGAGCTGAAGATCGTTTTGATCTGTTATCACACCTATAGATTAGTGTATCTAGCCAGTATACTTTTATTCATCAGTAATTACTCTCAGCTCACCAGCACCCCAGCTGGAATCAAGCCTTCAGTACTTCAGTGATCTTTAGCACTCAGCATAGCAGAGTCCAGTCCAATCAAATTAACTACACTGTTGCAAAAGAAGGCTTTGTTTTCTTATTGGAGCTGTGGATTAAGAGTTCTGTAGCAGAGCTAGGTATTTACCTCTGCAATTAAATACTTGAAAAAAAATCATTCCATATTTACAGCTTAAGTACTGGTACATGAAGTGAAATCCTCATTCACCAGCACAGATCTAATCAAAGGTGAGTTAAAGCAACTTTAGCTGTATTGAAAAGATGAAACCAACAAATAAGAAATCATCCATCTTTTTCAAAAAAAACCAACCCCCAAACAAATAAAATACAAAAACAGTCTCAAACCAATTACAGAATTTAACTTTCATGCTAAAGCAG